GTATGGTGAATAACTAAAAGCGCTTTCCAGTAGCCTGTTGGTAAACGGCTTTCTCCCAGATCTTCACGGTCAATTGATTTCGTGGGCGTATCGAAATATTGAGCCAGACACCCTTAACGCATGCGTACTTGTCTTCAATTATTCTGTCAAAAATACCCTTTACATTTTGAGCATGTCTAATCAGCACGACTTATTTAATATGAGAGGAACTGTGAGAAATGTTAACTTGTAGAGGTGAGTCAGTGGAGTTATGGTTATCCTCCCACCTTTAGATATTTAGCGCGAACATAGCTTACATACACGGATACACAGGATAGGTACGAGATGAGAGATGAATATACAAAAATGTTTCAGGGATGAGGCCTTCTGTGCCACTTGGCGCGAAGAAGTTAGGTGAAGGTGAAGTTAACACAATGAAATTTAATAATTGAAAGAAAACGTTAACCAACATACCTTGGTTTTTCAATCATTAATTTTAAGAGAAGGCTTTGGCTTTGGCTTTGGCTTGTGAAAATGCTTGTAAATAGATCATAAATTTTAGAAAAAGGGAAAAGTCTCTGCTTAAACTCAAAGCCTAAATGCTGACTCCTAGGTCCAAGCTGGCAGTGTCCTAATACAAAGTTTTTTGAGCCACAGCATCCTTGTTTTATTCCTACGTTAATTTTTGGCCTTTGCCAGTGGACTGCAAGAGTTATTGTTACAATAGCAAACAGAAACTGGCAAAAAGATGAGTCATCTTGGCAGTCCTGTTGATAAAAGATGTGACATCTTCACAACAGGAATACTGATTTGCTAAAGTAACAATGGAAACAGAATGTTATATTGCATATGCCTAATTCTTCTATTCTTGATTATTTTCTTCTTCCTTTCTTTCCCAATATTTCAACTACAAGAAGTGTTAGGCTCAAATAATTTATTATACCATTTTTGCCTACATTTATGTCATTCTAGATCTCACAGTGAACACTAATGTAATAGGGAACACAGTTATGTGGCAGATGATAATGATCAAATGAATAAGTCTACTGAATTCATTTAAAAGTACTATGTTTACACACTAGATGGACAGTACCATTGACATGGATAAGTCTCAAAACAGGTCAAAGCCTATCATTTGGTCAGATAGAAACACACCCAAACTACTGTGTCATGCACCAGGTCTGTTAGTAAGGGCTATTCTTCAGGGTTCTGATATTCAAAATTACACCAGAGTTAAGATAGTATGCACTTATTTCTAAGAACTCAGAAAACAACACACCAGAACAGATGGGTTCTCAAGGCAACCCACCCAGTTTTAACTTTGTTTATTTACTTTTAGATATGCAAACAAGTTATACTTGGTTTTACTTCCAATTGGTCAAGAAATTGGCATTAATGTCTAACAATGGAAAGCCAATATGATGATAATTAGTTATTATTACAGAAAACTATACCATAAAATTTGACACTGAGTTACTGAAAACAATTCATACTTCATAATATGGGATTAACACAAACATGCTGGTACACATTTTGCAATTTATTTTCCAATTGTATACCTGGCCATCCATCTAACATTGTGGCCTTTCTGTGCTGCTGGAACTGTTTTTGTGATAATTTTTTTGGTCTTTAATTTACTGTGGTGTGACTTTCCCTAATCCAATGCAATACAATAGTTTACTGACTGTTGCGGATGTATTTTCTTCCCCTTTGAACTCCATCACTAGAGATATAGGCTCTCTTTCAAGCTGGATTCCTATTATTGCAGGAATGTTTTTGTGTGTGAGAGTCTACATGATTTGTGCCTCCTTTACCATCTCTTTAGTGCTTTGCATCAGACATTGTTTTTCTACCACAAGAACATTTAATCTTTTGAGAGATTTTAAAATGCACCGGCCATATGAACCCTGTCCTAGTATTAATTCCTTTTCACTGATTGGTTGAAGCTCAGATGGATCAATTAAAATTAACAGTGGCAAATTTGCTACTGGGTGGTCCTGATTTTGTATTCCTGTCTCTAATCTGAAATAAAGTAATAAACAGAAGAAAAGTGAAGCTGGTCAGCTTAATAAGATTCACATGCTAGATTGTGTAATAAGTGGTAATAGGACTGAGTAGTCTTTGGTCTGTAATCATATGAGTGATAACTGTTAGATCCAAGTGTAACATTTTTTTTGATTATTCGTTCTTGCCTAATTTGTTTTTCCTTTGCGTACGCAAATTAGTTTATACTTCCTTTCGTTCATTTGTTTAGTCTTCTTTTTCGGCGTTAATTTAGGTGTTTATCTCTTTCTGTTAGTTTTCGTGCCCTCGTTAGCGTTTCCGTGCTGTTTCATCTTCATTAGCGCCTTTCTATAGTTTTATTTTCCGCATTTTCTAGCGTATTTGAATATCGTAGTTTGTCAGTACAGTTTGTGAGTTCAGTTTGGTCCGCGCTTAGCGCAGTTCTGTTTAGTTTGTTTCTAGCCTCTTCGCGTTATTCGCAGTCCTCTTTACAGAAGTTTTCTCTGGCCAAAACAATGTAAGTGTATTTCGCAGTCCTCGTTTTGCAGTTTTTGTAACTTGTAACGTGTTTTGCAACTTGTAACCTTTTTGCTTTTTTTTTCGTTTTAGTTTCAACCCACACTCTTAGTATCAAGCACGTTCGGCTCCAATAAATCTTTTTCTTTTTATTTGGTGTGTGGTGTTATTATTCAAGGCCAGGAGTCTTGCAGGTTTATGGCAGTTTCAATAACAAAATCAGACGACTGCATAGTGGGAGTACAATTTGTTTATCACGAGTGTGATTACAGACCGAAACGAATGACACAAAGTCCTTTTACCAATTCATCATAATTACAATTTCCAAATTAAAAAGAACACTTAAATATTGTCATTGCTCAAGGGAAACCAATTCTCTGTTTTGAAGAAAGCCCCAATTTAGGAATCTGTACACTGTTTCTATGGTGATTGAAACCAAGGTTGTGATTGATTGATTTAAACCACAACTTTGAATGTGATTGGTTGACTTAAACTACAACTTTGAATGTATTTGGCTTATTGAACTGTCCAACAACAACTTGGCAAGTGAATTAGTGGAAAATAGGAGTTTTTAAAACTAATCACAATCGAGGAAATTGTAATTCCCATGTTAATGGATTTATTGATAAACTTTATCCCTTTCATATAATACAAACAGAAATTTCCAAAATTGCCTGACTATTAAGGTACTGACCTATCCATGATAAAAATAAAATTTCCCTGATGAAATGGATACAAAATGTCCAGTCTCCTCTTCATTAAAACATTGCTGAGATCATCTGAAATATTTCTTCCAGCATGGTATGAAATTCAGTGATGTAAAAACTTTAATTTCCCTGACTTTTCCCTGACCTTGAAATTTCTATCCCTGGCCATTTTTTGGTCTGTGGTAACCCTGGTAGGGCAAGATCAACACTACATGGCAAGATGGAAGGGAAAATGCTCAAAGCTCAATGACTGTCCTTTTCAGACGAAAGTTTAGCCTGTCTGCTTGGCAAACAGAAATGAATGAATTCCCGCTAAATCATTTCAGAATGAGGCAATTTCAAATGGGGATTCCTTGCCTTATTTTACGAAAATGATTGTAGTTTTTTTTTCATTTCATCAAAAAAAAGGAGAAGAATTTTGAGGGCTACACTCTCCCCTCCCCCTATGAGTTTATGTTGAAGTCAACCCCAGGACGTTTTGTACAATGCAAGACAATGCTAGTTTGATTACGTTCAGCTTCAGTTCGGTGATATCGTTTTTTGTAACCAACTGCTCATTTTCTGATATCTATTTTATTCTATTTTGACGCTAACCGAGTTCCTACCTTGGTTTTGTCCAGGGTCTTTTTATTCTGTTCGACTAATGCCTTCCATTTGCCATAATACATTCGCGCCAAGAATATGCATCTCTTTCCTTTTGTGTTCTCATTTCTCTGTTCTCCCTTTCCTAGCTGTCCTTGACAATCGTTTACGTTTCCTCCTTTGATTTCGCATGCTGCGTTTTTTTCTTTGATTGTACTTTCCCGAGATCGTCGTGGAATGATTACTTTGCCAAGCACGCGCCAAGCGCGCGCTTTTGTTGGCGAACGTCTTCGATACTCGATTCCCTGTGGCTGAGTTTGTGCCCGCGTTTCCATACTGATATAATGTTGTAGAAAATTCTAGTGGACAGCGGCCTATCTCAACGCGATAAAACGATAAAAATTAACCGGAAAGCTTTGTTCGCAGTGAATGTACAACTACGAAGAATTAATGTGGATGAAACAGGGTACAAGGTTTATGCAAGGACTACCAGAAAAAAAAAAAAAGGTTGAAATCCTCCAAGTATAAAGTTTTTTAAACGTAAAATGCATTTTCCACGCGTTTCAATATCACCCGACCTGCCACAGACTTCTGATCAGATTTATTTATTATTCCCTCATCGGTAGTAGTATATCCTGTGCCAATTACGTAAGTGGAAGTCATGTTTACTGACAAAGTTTGACAAGCGATGACGTGTCATTGATGCCTAACATTCCCTCATCGGAAAATTGAGACATGTATAGGTCTGTTGGTGTTCTGGTTCACTTTCAGTTAAACGACATTTCTGTCACAAAGTGACGAGATTATGACGCCTTGCGGTAAGCATATTGAAGCAACCTGGAGTGCTACCAGATACTTCAGAAAAAAAGCCCATACAAAGCCTTAGAAAAGTTTTCTAAGGCTTTGTATGGGATAACGGGAGGTACTTACAGTGCACGCGTTTTCCGTCCTGTCATGGAGTAGTGTATGTGAAGGGCATTGTGTTGAAAGCCTTCCAAATAAAACATTTTCCAAAGTCAGGTGAACTACCTGATTTGACAAGCGGAACCAGTACAATTCGAAATCATTTCAGAACTGTCTCGCATAAGTGCATTGATAAAGCAGGTGATATAGCGTTTCTCGCTCAGCTTCGCAGAAAGTGCATAAGTCATCAGCTCTAAAGCCAATTTTACACAATTTCGTGTTTGTGTAGAGTATATTGTTAAGGATTTTATACTGAAAAGCCTTAACATAGGATTCAAGTGCAACAGAGTGAGGTAAAATGAAAGATTCCCTCAATAGATCATCTGAGATATTAAAGTCGCTTTTCCATTTATTAACAATATTAGGAGGCTGTGATTTCTTCATGACAAGTAAGGAGTAATAATCTTTCGATTTCTTTTTCTTCACATCAAAAATGTTATTTATTTGAAGCGAAGAAGGCGTTAGTGTATAGATTTAATCACGATCATCTTTCAAAAAATCAGGTATTGAGTGTCGAAGACCTGCCCATTGTAGAAAGCTAATTTTTCTAATTTTATTTGAAACGTAACTGAAGGAATCATTAATATTCAAATCGAGCCGGAGATCGTGGATTTGAGTGATTCCGGAGTCAAAATATTTTTTGTAATAGATAGGCTTTTTATCTATTCTAATTTCTTTATTATTCCAAATAATATTTGTCCAATTCAAGTCTGTAGCGAAAGTTTCACGAAATTGTGACCACCATAGAAGAAGCTCTCGATAAAACTGGGAAGTGATTGTATAATCGTTAACATCATAGTTACAATTTAAAAAGAACAGTCCTCCAAATGTTTTCAATTGGTGTTGTAAGTACCGCTTCCATGTTCCATCATTTGCGTTAAATATTCGTTTAAGCCATGCCAATCTCAGAGCTTTAACCATGCTCTCTAAATCAATCATTTTTAATCCACCTTCCCCATAATCATTTATTGTTGACAGACGCGTTACTTTATCTGTTCCTTTCCACAAGAATTTGAAAAGCAATTGATTCAATTGTTTTACCATCTCGTTGGGTGTAGGCAGAAGTGAGCATACATAAACAAATTTTGGAATTAGAAAGGATTTTATTATTGTCACTTTATCAAAGATTGAAAGACCTCTTGAAGACCAAATGTTGATCAATTTTTTAATACTATCCAGTCGTTCGATGAAATTCTTTTCTTTGAGCAGTTTTAGGTCATAGGTAAAATATAGTCCAAGAGCTTTTATTGGTTCGGTTGGCCATTTAATTCCAAACTGTTTTGTTTTGTTTTCTTTGGATGCTCCGATCCACATACCCTCAGTTTTTGTGCAGTTGATTTTAAGACCAGAAACGTCCTTAAAAACATCCAACAATTCAAATAAAGTTTCGGCCGAGTCCATATCCGAGAGCACTGCAGTAGTGTCATCCGCGTATTGCAAGAGCTTTGTTTCCTCATTCTCGATAGAAATTCCTTTTATATCTTTATTTTGACGAATGGCAATTGCAAGAGTTTCCACAACTGCTATAAACAGGTAAGGCGAGAGTGGATCACCTTGCCGGACTCCTCGTTCAAGCACAAAATAATTTGAAGCAGTTCCGTTATTTATGGTACAGCTAGGAAGGAGAGTGCAGGCCCTCGAATATGAGCACGATGCTCTAGAGCAATACACGCGTAAATTTAACGTCGAAATTTACGGCGTTCCGGAATACGAAGGTGAAAACCTGCAGGACATTTTTATGAAAATAGGCCTAAAGATGTCGGTAGATGTAACAACCCAAGATATCGACATTGTACATCGATTGTTCCGAAAGTCGCAAGTCATAAAACCCATAATAGTTCGTTTCCCTTCATATAAGAAGAGACGAGAATTCTACAAAGGCAGATTCTATTTGAAAGAAACGAATATTACGGAGATCATTGGAATTGCACAAGGTTATGCGAATGGAAGGATCTTTGTCAAACCTATTTTGTTTACTTACTTTCATATTGTGTGTTTGAACTTTAGTTATTATTAGTACTTGTATCTTTGTCTTTTTCTCCTTTCGTTTTTCTCCTTTACTTTTTCCCTTCAGGTTTATCTGTATTATATATTTAGGTCGAGCAACAGCGAATCGCTTGTCGCTTTTAAATTGTTTATATCCTACATTTGTAGTTTGCATTTATTTATATTGTCTGTTAGTGGCTTTTGTTCTGCTGATTGATAGCTTCTGTGGTCCCAGAGTTACTTCGCGGAAGTATGATGTCTTTTAAGCTGATTTCGCTTAATGTGAAAGGCATTAGCAATTTTAAAAAAAGAAGAAAAATTTTTACTTGGTCCCGAAAGCGCAATGCAGACATAACCTTCCTACAAGAAACTCATTATACTCTTGAAACAATTGTTCGATGGAAGAATGAATGGGGCGGAGAGCTTATCGCCTGTCACGGTGGCTCTAATTCACGTGGAGTGGCAATTTTGATAAAAAATGGTCTTGATTGTAAAGTACAGCATACAATCCTAGACCCCATGGGACGATATATAATTTTAAAAGCTGATATAAAAGATTCAAGGTATGTTTTAATAAAAATGTTTATGCTCCAAACAAAGACAAAGATCAAATAGAATTCGTAAAAAATCTACTTGTCATATTGAGAAAGGAAAATCTCGACACTGAGGAAAAGGTAATTATGGGAGGCGATTTTAACTGCCCTCTCAATCCAGCTTATGACAAAAAAGGAGGCAATCTAAATCAACGGAAATCGGTTGTGGAATGCATTGATTGTTTACAAAATGAGCTTGATTTAGTAGACATATGGAGAATTGAAAACCCAAACACAAAAAGTTATACGTGGAGCCAAAACTCGCCCAAAATCTTTTGCCGTTTAGACTACTGGTTAATTTCAAATAATTTAAATGACCTCGTAAAATCAACTGGTATAATTCCCGCCATCAGAACAGATCATGATGCGATTACTCTGGATATTGAAGAACTAGAAACCGAACTAAAAGGTTCCGGATACTGGAAGATGAACTGTTCTCTGCTAATTGACGAAGAGTACGTAAATAGTGTCACAGAAATGATCCCGATTTGGACTGCAGAGGGACGAAAGGTATTGTCAGACGATCGTTCAACCTGGGATTGGATAAAATATAATATTAAACATCACGCTATTTTACACTCAAAAAAGAAAGCGAAAGAAAGAGATGTGGAAGAAAAAACTCTTCAAAAGGAACTCAACAAAGCAAAGGAGGCATCTCTGGTCAATGTAGATGCAAAAATAATGTCCAAAGTAATCGCTTCGAGAATCAAAAATGTGTTACCAGGGATTATTCATCACAATCAAACAGGATATGTCAAAGATCGATTTATAGGCGAAACGATCCGATCGATCTATGATGTAATGGTTTATACTGTTGAAGAGAATATTCCAGGTCTAATGATTTTTATTGATTTGAAAAGGCTTTTGATAGTGTAGAATGGGATTTTCTTTATAAATGTCTTGAATCCTTTAATTTCGGTCCAGACTTTCTCAAATGGGTTAAAACTTTTTATAAAAACATGCAGAGCTGTACCATAAATAATGGAACTGCTTCAAATTATTTTGTGCTTGAACTAGGAGTCCGGCAAGGTGATCCACTCTCGCCTTACCTGTTTATAGCAGTTGTGGAAACTCTTGCAATTGCCATTCGTCAAAATAAAGATATAAAAGGAATTTATATCAAGAATGAGGAAACAAAGCTCTTGCAATACGCGGATGACACTACTGCAGTGCTCTCGGATATGGACTCGGCCAAAACTTTATTTGAATTGTTGGATGTTTTTAAGGACGTTTCTGGTCTTAAAATTAACTGCACGAAAACTGAGGGTATGTGGATCGGAGCATCCAAAGAAAACAAAACAAAACCGTTTGGAATTAAATGGCCAACCGAACCAATAAAAGCTCTTGGACTATATTTTACCTATGACCTAAAACTGCTCAAAGAAAAGAATTTCATCGAACGACTGGATAGTATTAAAAGATTGATCATTGGTCTTTCAATCTTTGATAAAGTGACAATAATAAAATCCTTTCTAATTCCAAAATTTGTTTATGTATGCTCACTTCCACCTACACCCAACGAGATGGTAAAACAATTGAATCAATTGCTTTTCAAATTCTTGTTGAAAGGAACAGATAAAGTAACGCGTCTGTCAACAATAAATGATTATGGGGAAGGTGGATTAAAAATGATTGATTCAGAGAGCATGGTTAAAGCTCTGAGATTGGCATGGCTTAAACGAATATTTAACTCAAATGATGGAACATGGAAGCGGTACTTACAACACCAATTGAAAACATTTGGAGGACTGTTCTTTTTAAATTGTAACTATGATGTTAACGATTATACAATCACTTCCCAGTTTTATCGAGAGCTTCTTCTATGGTGGTCACAATTTCGTGAAACTTTCGCTACAGACTTGAATTGGACAAATATTATTTGGAATAATAAAGAAATTAGAATAGATAAAAAGCCTATCTATTACAAAAAATATTTTGACTCCGGAATCACTCAAATCCACGATCTCCGGCTCGATTTGAATATTAATGATTCCTTCAGTTACGTTTCAAATAAAATTAGAAAAATTAGCTTTCTACAATGGGCAGGTCTTCGACACTCAATACCTGATTTTTTGAAAGATGATCGTGATTAAATCTATACACTAACGCCTTCTTCGCTTCAAATAAATAACAACATTTTTGATGTGAAGAAAAAGGAATCGAAAGATTATTACTCCTTACTTGTCATGAAGAAATCACAGCCTCCTAATATTGTTCATAAATGGAAAAGCGACTTTAATATCTCAGATGATCTATTGAGGGAATCTTTCATTTTACCTCACTCTGTTGCACTTGAATCCTATGTTAAGGCTTTTCAGTATAAAATCCTTAACAATATACTCTACACAAACACGAAATTGTGTAAAATTGGCTTTAGAGCTGATGACTTATGCACTTTCTGCGAAGCTGAGCGAGAAACGCTATATCACCTGCTTTCTCAATGCACTTATGCGAGACAGTTCTAGAATGATTTCGAATTGTACTGGTTCCGCTTGTCAAATCAGGTAGTTCACCTGACTTTGGAAAATGTTTCATTTGGAATGCTTTCAACACAATGCCCTTCACATACACTACTCAATTACTTTATTATTATCGGAAAACTGTTTATGTGGGACTGCAAAAGAAAACAAATACACCCTAAAATACAAGGTTATCAGAACAAGATAGCTATCAAATATGAAATTGAAAGAAAATAAATAAGAAAACTTCTTTGAAAAGAAATGGATATTCAAATGAAAAGGAATGGTTAATAATTTAAAAAATCTTAAGCCGATTTGCCTTCTATCCTGTTTTTTCTCTCTTTTTTTTTACGTATGTTGCTTGGTTTAATTAGTTTAATTTGTTTAATTTCTTAAGCTGAAAATTGGGTAACTGCGTAAGATTGTTAAATATATCGAATTGTTATCATTTTTAACCTATTTTATGAATGTAAAATTGTAACTGTGTAAATGAAAGTCCAGAATAAAAAAAATCCAAAAAAAAAATTTGTGCTTTGATCTGATAGTTAACTCGTTTTTCTTGGCTGTGATTAACATGGTTTTTGGCGAATATTCCCTTCAATGGAACGAACTACACGCAACAACACAAGAATGCAAATATTTCCGCACCCCTGAAGAACCGATAGAGAGAGATAAATAGACACCCCTTCCTGAAATAAGGTACAGACCCTAAGGGAGTACCCTTCTGAAGCAATAAAAGGCCAGAAAAAGGAACTTCGGAACATATCTTGAGTCAATTTAGAACTGCGTTGCTTAATCCAAGTTTAGTTTAGAACTCGGTTCGATTAGTACATTCAGATGGCTAACTTTGCTCTCTTTGAACATCAACAAATATTGGAAAAAAGTTGCCGAATTTGTGGAGAGCGATTGAAGAAGGCAAAAGATAAGTATGAGAACAGTTTTCTTGGCGCTAATAGGACGGAGATTATTTTCACAGCCTTTGGTGTCAAAGTTCGTAAAGATGACCTTGGCATGTGCCCTCCCAAGTGCTGCCACAGGTGTTGCAAGGAAAAAAGTTGCCGAATTTGTGGAGAGCGATTGAAGAAGGCAAAAGATAAGTATGAGAACAGTTTTCTTGGCGCTAATTGGACGGAGATTATTTTCACAGCCTTTGGTGTCGAAGTTCGTAAAGATGACCTTGGCATGTGCCCTCCCAAGTGCTGCCACAAGTGTTGCAAGCTTGCTTAAAGAGAAGGCACACGCCTTGCAATCAATGTGTGGCCTCCACACAAACGCACTGGAAACTGGAAGATCTGCAGTTTCCTTAAAGATCAACAGAAACCTGATAGGAAGAAGACGACTAAACCTAAACCCAGAGAAGACTCAGCTGGACCCAAGGAGCAAGTGGAAATGGTGAAAGGAATGTCCAGCACTTTAAGCTTCCAACACGACCCAGCCTTACCCTCATTCTCTGAGGTGGTAAAGAATCTACAGAGCTCTAGAGGATCAGAACCCCTTTACCCAGAACAGTTTGTTGAAAACATCACGCATGAGTACATGAAATGTGGGGATCAGGTATGCTGAACTGTCACTGTAAATCCTACTGAGTTCATTGAGCCAGCCCTTTTGTTCTTTGCACCAAACTTTCAGAGTTAGATTTTTGATTTCCTACATGTAAACACACAGTAAAACTTCACCAACTACCTCTACATCAAGAAAGTTGCATTCAAAGTCCTACAACAGCACCCACACACATCTTCACCCCTTCACAAAGATCAGTTCCAGTGACACCATCCACCCTTGCCCCAGTGAAACCCATACCTGCAGCAGAGGAAGAGGGACCAGCACAGGTAAATGTACCATCACTACAAGCAGAACTTACAACCACCACTGATACAAATAAAACCTGCAGAGAACAACTGACAGTTAATCAACTACTAACCAGCCCTAAGGAAGCTTATACATCCCTAAAGGAGGAAGTTGGATTGTTCATCATTTCCTTTCACAGTCTCAGGATGGGGAAACTATTCTCCTCAAAACAGGTGGCCAGCTAATAAAATACTTTTTTAAGTTGAAAATAAAGACATTCATTTTCGAAACAAGAGATAAGATAATCCATTTTTAGCCCTTAGAATAAGTGAAAAGGACCAAGGCAAGGAAAACAACTGACAAGGTAACAAGGAAAACTGCTAGACATAGATCAAAGGTAGTAGCAGAGACCAGGACAGCTGTGAGTGGTGGTGCAGCTGGTACCCAGTTGAAAGATAAACTGTGCACAATGGGCATACTGGAAAGGGAGCCACTATAGAAGGAGGCCTTGGGAAAGGAATTTAAAATCACCATTCCAAGAGTTGACATCCTGGCAATGGAAGCAGACCTTGGCAAAACATGGTACAAAGTTAGAAAGCTTAGGATGTAAGAAAAACATGAACAAAAAATCATTAAAAACCCCAAAAATTTTCTGAAGACCTTAGATATCAGTAACAGTAACTGTTTTGAGTTTGTATCCAAATTTGCCAACTGCCTGAATACCCTCAATCTGCTTACAAAATTACGATACCTATTATGTCTCTACAGATGGTTTGATCAGTGAGGACTATCCTCAGAGTGTGAAATAAGCCAACGAAAGCAAGTTCAGTCCATCACTGACCCTGCCAACTTGGTTTGTGAAATGGTCCCATTTGAATTAAAAAAACCAGGTTGCCATCCAGAGGTCAGGGAAGCAGAGTTTGGTTATGTTACAGGCCTGAACTAATTCATACATCTTCATCTGGTTGAAAATGAAAATTATGATAATGAAGAAATAGTCAAAAAAAAAAAAAGTAAATGCAATCACTAGATAAATGATTGAAATCAAACAAAGTTAGCTGTTGCCTTTTGTTGTGAATTATAGTCAGTTAGAGTTGGTTATCATTTTAGGAATGGAAGGCTGACATGGAACAATGCAATCCCAGAAAATGAAGTGCACATAAAACTTGGAGGAGATGCTGGTGGTGGGTCATTTAAAATGGCCTTCCACATAGCTAACCTGAGGCATCCAAACTCTAAAACCATGGTCTTTGCCATGTTCCATGCAAAAGATAGTTGGGCTAATTTAAAGACAGCCTTAATGAAATATACAGAACAAGTAAACACCTTGAAAGAAGCAACCTGGGCGTAAGTAAAAAAAATTTATACCTCACTTTTAGTTAGTCTAGAGAATAGAGACTTAAAAAATAACATTAATTGAATTCTTCTTTTTGTTTTGCCCATTTCTAGCAGTGAAAAGAAAGTGGTTTTCCTGTTTGGTGATTGAATTCCTATGCAAGTTATTTGGAATAGCTGGTGCCTCAGGTATGATCTAGACAGTAATTCACATATACATTAATTATGATTTAGCAATTCAATAAAAGAATATAAATGTAGCCTCTACTCTATATTACTATTTCTGTGAAACAGGTTTCCACAGTGAGAATTGTATTTGCAGGCAAATATCCATGTCTTTGGTGCAAGATAAATCATGAATTAATGTAAGTCTCTTGCCATAAAAAATTGAAATTGCGCCTAATACAGGCGCCAATGCGACTAAATTTTTCACTTTGGCGACCAAATCCTGAAAGTTAGACGCCAAATTGGCGACTAGAATGTTTCATCATAACCTTACCAAGAGATATAGTGAATTAAAAAGATTTGCAAAGATAAATCCGCGACAAACTTCCTCGTTAAGTTTGTTTCCAAAACGTAGCACATGCATCTCGATTGATAACTAGACGCCATCTTGGATTTAAGTGAGCTTGAAGGTTGTATATCATCCATCCTAGTGTCCACTTTGTAGCACGTTAGAGATCTTTTCCCTTACTTAATTTTGGAGGGTTTATCTAGAACGCTGACAGCGTAAAGAAAGGTTTTGTTTGTCTTTGAAAATGGCGACCACCTTTTTTTGAATTGGCTACCACTTTGAAAAAATTAAGGAGCCAAATGGCTATTAGAAAAAAAAATTAATTTCACGCCCTGCAATGTGATTCATGAGAAACTGCTGGACAATGAATTGGACAAAGTAAGATACAAGAGTTTATTTTGTTGCTTCGAAGAGGGACTTACAGGACACCTAACTAAATGGTTCCCTGTTTCAGGTTTGTGTTCCTGGACTTCACATCAGCCAAGATGTGTTTAAGAAACTGTTTGATGAACTAGAGAACCAGTGCTTTGAGCTGGACAAAAAAAGTCAAATGGCACTAGCAGGAGACAGTGAAGAGAATGATGAAAAGTTCCAGGCATTCAGAGCTGCCCAACTACAATTTACAAGAACAGCACAACAATTTAATGAAAAAGGCAATTATTTACAGGAGTTGCTGAATTTACAAAGTCTGCATGCTAATGCATATCATGCCTGCCTACTTTACACTACTACAGGAGGAGATAGACAAACTCCTTGGAAATGCAAAGGAGGAGGTAACAATAATGTATTTGTGCTTTCCAGTATCACAGCTGTACAGTTCTCCCATTCAATTGCACATGTTTCAAACCCATCTTAATTTTTTTAGTTAAATAAGTTATGATTTTGTTTTATAGATCATTTATTTGTAATATTACACTGGCTCAATTTTTCAAATTATAGCTATTGAATTTTTTTTTTTTGGTAGGAAGACAACATCATTAAACTATGCAGTGCTGTGGTGACAAAAACATTGGAGCTGTGTCCTTCCTTCCTTTCTCAAGCAAGAGAAATTAGCGTGAAATTCAAACAAGTTTTCAAGTTATTTGCTGCTTGCCACTTTGTCTATGACAGAGCAGACTATCTCAATGATAGCAACATTGATAAGCTAGGTAAGCGAAAGAAAAAACTTGACTTTCATGGAAAACATGAATACAGTAATAAAATCATGTCTCAAGTCCACCTTTTCTTGTTTTCTTGTTGCAGAGGAAGACATCACAGATTTTCCTCAGTTCATTAGGGAAAAATTCCCAGACATGACAATTACACCAAAGCTGCATATGCTAGAAGAACATGTTTGCCCTTTTCTTCGACAATGGCACATGGGCCTTGGATTCTATGGTGAACAGGGGATTGAAGGAATACACTCTGAATTCAATACCCAGTCCCAGCATTTTGACCATGTGAAGGAAAAGGATACGAGATTGCTTCAAATTCTTGTGAACCACCACATTGCCACGAGTCCGGAACTAGCAGGGAAAGCTCCCAAACCCAAAGAAAGAAATTTAAAACGAAAAGCGAACGAGTAAAACTCTTTCCTTTTCACTAGCAATGTATCGGTTCGTTGACTAAGAACGAGTGCTATGTGTGTAAATCTAATTTATTTACTCAAGCTCTAATTTAGACGAATAAAAGTGTTACCGCACTCTTTGAAATCAAAACTAAACCTTTCCAGTCGTTTACAGTTACGCTGCAAGTGTGAGGAAAGAGTGACTCTTTTCCCAGTCGAAAGAATCGCTGCTAGAAACAACAACCTTTAATTCAAGTGACTAAACCTCCGGCAACCGGACTTAATAAATTCGCAGCACCGTTCGCAAAGAGACCGAAGGTTGAAGGCGGACAATCCTTTTGGCCCAAGTACATTACGATAGTGCACTTGGTCCTCTGCGAGAGCTTTAACGGGCGGTACAATAGATATAGTGACCGGTTTCTTCTAAAGATGAGAGGTGATCGATCGCTGGCGCTCCTTGATATATATTCAAGATTTTTTATAACCAGTTGGTAACGAAATGGAGACATCCTTACCTTACAAAGTAATATCTATGGTTTTCTGCTGTTCTTCTTGAAATGTCTATTCCAAAAGTCACGCAAACTTGCCTTAAAACCTTGTCGTACATCGCTGTTGTCTGAAAAGTTGACCATGAAAGAGTTTTGTTCACCGTCTGGTTCGTTAGTTTAAAAATAAATTACCAACTCTAGCCAATCAGAATTGACAAAAGAATCGGCAAGAGAGGTTAACCAACAAAAAGTCATTATACATTTTCTTACAAAAGAGCAACGTCACGGAACACGATTAGTGTCAGGTTTGGGTAAACGTTACCTCGCCTCCGTTTCACCTTTTGGGGGGGGGGAGGGGACGGAAGGGGAGGGTACGGCTACACGTAGGCTAAGTCAGTGGTCACCAAAACGCTTTTCCACATAGGCAATCGAATTAAGAAAAAGCACTGCGTGTCAATGTTTGCGTAACATTGACGTGCTGTTTGAACTGTTAGGTTTGCAGAAACAAAAAGGCTTTGATACACTAACGTAAGCGCATGTAATATCTTATACTTGTCTAAACTGGCATTGATTGACGATGCTCGGAATAAAAACAACCTTATCACGTGAAGGCGTTGTTTTGATTGTAGCAAGAATGTTTGAAAAGAATATTTCGATATTTCTCCGCTCTGATTCTCAATCAAAGCTAATGTGTTAAAACAGGAGTCAGTTAAACAAGCGTCATAAACGTTACGGTTCAAAGAATTAGAATGAGTCTACTAATTATAAGATGTGATAGAACTCTCATTTAAATTGCGTTTGGCTACGAATTAATTGTATCTTACTACCTCAACATATTTTGAATGTGATCTTTAAATAAGGTTGACATTTATGTTGTGACCCACGGACTACGTACTGGAGGACTATTGAAAGCCAAATAATAATATTATTTGTCTTAGGCCAAATCCCACAATGATCCAAACAAAGATACGCATCTCTGATATTCAAACAGACAACCAAGAGTGTCTATTTCGGTGACCCCTCATAAATAGAGTGAAACGCGGTTATTCCCCCATTCTTGTACACTCCGGTAAAATAATCTGCATGTAGACGTCTCCAAAATGTTTTGCTTTGTTTAGTTCACGCGGAACAAAGGTGAACATTGATGTTCACAGTTTGAAAGAGGCCTGTCACCTGTCACAGTTAATTCCTGTCACCTAGACAAAGCGCTTCTATCCTTTATCAAGCAGGAAAATTTTCCAGACAAAGGCTTCTTAAGCACAGTTGCACGTACGTGCATTCCAGCGTCAGTTGCCTTGTGCGGTGAAATCGATATTAAGTTAAAAGCAGAAACATTCAACAGGAGTATATCATTTACGAGCAAAACGAGCCGCGAACTACATGCAACATAATCATGAGCTCCAAACCTTACCGTGTTGCTCAATGGACTCCTTCTGACTACAAATTTCTTGACAAGTGGTTAGCCAACTTGATCATAGAAGTTCAAATTAAATACAAAGATAAGTTAGCGTTATTGATGGCTCTTCATCCACCGGCTGAAGATGAAGAAACAGCTAATGGTGAAACTCCGCTGATAGTTGCTCACGGTACAGAAGACCTCGGTCTCCATCCACCCGTTCAAGAATTATTGAAAGCTATCATCTCCGATCCCAAGATCAACATGTTCTTCCATCAGATGTTCTGGCAACAGTACAAGAATCCAGACAGTTCGAAAAGAACAAGGATCCCTTGCTGGCAACTGATGATTATTTTAATCGACTACATCATGACAAGAGCTCCAGAGTACAACAAAACCAGTTTGGTTGGTCTCCCCATCAATGTAATCCTGAACTGGCCGATGGCTACGACTGCTGGATTTTCTGCTTTCCTCAACGACAAAGTCAACAGGTTGTTCAAAAGTATTCTCAACTACTGGGGAAAGTTTCTTTCCAGTTCTGCTTCTTGTCACGTGTTGACTGATGATCCTCGTCATGGTTGGTTTGGTGAAGACGCAATGCAAGCAATGCCAAACTTCGACCTAGAGTTCAAATGCAAGCCCAGAGAAAAACATTATGGTTTTACATCATGGGATGATTTCTTCACCAGAGAGTTTCGTGATAGCATTCGTCCAGTAGCATCTCCGGACGACGATTCCATTGTTGCGAATGCCTGTGAGTCAGCGCCATACCAGATCTCTACAGCCGTGAAAAAGAGGGACTTCTTCTGGGCAAAGCACCAACGGTACTCATTGGACTTCATCCTGAACATGAGTGACCTTGCCAAGCAATTTCATGGTGGAACCGTCTACCAAGCGTACCTAAGTGCCACCAGTTATCACCGATGGCACAGTCCTGTGTCGGGCACCATTTACAAGACAGAACTCGTGGATGGTTCTTATTATTCTGCAACCCACGACATTCAGGATAGCCCCGCATCGCCCAACATATGCATGTCACAAGGATACCTAGCCCAAGTTGCTGCCAGAGGTATTATCTACATTCAAGCTGATAATCCTCACATTGGCTTGATGTGCTTCGTATCGCTCGGTATGTCAGAGGTGTCCTCCAACGAAATCACGATTAAAGAAAAGGATAAAGTGAAGAAAGGTGACCAGCTCGGCATGTTTCACTATGGTGGGTCCACCCATCTACTGATATTTCGCCCTGGAGTTAAAATCGAGTTCGATACGAGAGGTCAAACGCCAGGTCTGCATACCGAAAATATTCCCGTTAAATCGAAAATTGCGACCGTACATCCATCAACCTAAGCTAATATAACTATGGATTTTGATAAACAGCTTGATTTTGTCAGTGTTCGGTATGAACATGATAATTTTCTTTCTTTCCTCTTAGATGTCTTTTGACAATAGGAAATTTGGTTTTTTTCATTTTCACCTCGTCAATTGTTATGAACTACTAAATTTAGAAGTGTTCGGCAACTACTAAAATTAGGAATGTTCTGGCTTAGTGTTTGTGAATTGTTTAGGCCTGTTAGATTATTTCGCAATCCTTATGCGAGTCTTGTGAGCCTTGGTTTGTTATGTGCTGCAAGACCACACCTTTATTACTACCTTTTTAGTAGTTGGTCCTCGACCGTTGTAATAGGCCTGTTTTACGATAATTGTCATCTCTGGCCGTGTTCGCGCTTGTCCTTGCTTAGACCCCCCGACGGGAGATTTTGTTTAACGTTTTAGCCATCAAAGTTCGGAAGTTTTTCAGGCATATCTATTTGTACCAGGGGCATGTCTAATAATTGATGGTGTATTTTGAAACCGAAGCATTTAATCACTTATTCTATCATTTGCGATGGGATTTTTAATAATAGTTACTAACCAAAAGTTTCTTAACTCACATTTGGAGTGAAATATATTCCTATGGTTTACCGAGGGGGCATTAATAGAAAACTTAATCCTCAATGTGCACGTTACTACTTAGTTGATTTCTGATATGTAGAAATAAAGCACTGCCTTTTCATCTAAGCAGAGCTTAGATGTTTTCGTTTCAACGTTTCTTGTAAAAATATCACATTCCACATAACACAACACCTCACCTAGAGAAAAACTTCTAGCCCCGACCGAAACTGTTTGATCCATTTTTAATAACACAATTGTCAATTGTATGCTAATTCAACCGTTTGAATACTAGGCCAAAAGAAATTAGGATTTTAAAGGCATTCATTCTCTATGCATTAATCTTCGATGTGCACATTACTACTTAGTTGATTTCTGATATGTAGAAATAAAGCACTGCAAGACTGTTAAGGGCTTAGATGTTTTTCTTTCAACTTCTCTCATTAAAAATATCATATTCCACACAACACAACACCTCACCTAGAGAAAAGCTTCTAGCCTCGACCGAAACTGTTTAGTCCATGTTTAATAACACAATTGTCAATTGTGTTCTAATCCAACAGTTTGAATTCTAGGCCAAAAGTAATTAGGTTTTTTAAAGGCATTCATTCGCGATGCATTAATCTTCGATGTGCACATTACTACTCAGTTGATTTCTGATACGTAGCAATAAAGCACTGCAAGACTTTTAAGGGCTTGGATGTTTTTCTTTCAACTTCTCTTGTTAAAAATATCACATTCCACACAACACAACACCTCACCTAGAGAACAAAAGTACTGCAAGAGTGTATTCAAAGAAGCTTCCATTACAATCAGCTATACTCCTAAAAGAGGTACCAGTTTTCAAATTCCTGAACTCCTTCTTATCCAGCGGGTATTTTCGTTGCTTAGCCCATTCCTTGTCTTTCCTGCGCATTCGACAAGATGAAAAAACTAAGCTGAACGAACCCGAACGTGATTGACAATGGTGCACCGATATTTGCTCCGACATTTCGAAGGAAACTATAGGCTTACATGAGGATGAGGTTTTTCTACGCCTGTACGGCGAATGAAGTAGTCGCTTAGTCACCACCAAAACAAATTGGTCAGCCTGCCATGAGGTCACTCATGGGAGGTAAAGGGTTAAACAGAATTCAGAAAATTCAGCCTTACAAGATTACATTGACCTAAATCAATGAAAGTCACAGGAGATTAGTTTCCTGCAATATCCACAAGCTGAAGATAACGCGTGACTTGAATGTGTTTTAAAATGTTCTGGGAACTTAAAGAAACATACTGTCACTATCCAGGGGGGAAGGGGAGGTTGAAGGTGGCCATAAGTCAAATTATCACGTGCTTTGCGAGCGTGTAACTTTTCCCGCCCCTTCTTTCTTATATGAGTTTAAAAGCGTAGTCGTCTCTCAGTTTTAAGGCTTTATAACCGACATATCCCTTTCGATTGATTTTCCTGACATTAACTTTATGGACCTTTCAACAAAAGTTATTTGAATGTTAGATTTAAATGGTTTGGAAACAGTGAAACAAAGTAGTTGACAAGATGGTCGCATTCTATACTTGTGGACATTGGAGGCAGTTAACTTGTTTATTAATCGATTTGTTGTAGAAAAGCGAGTCTATCCTAAGTTAATGCATAAAGGGGGTAAGTATCTAAAGAAACTGTGGTGCTGCTTCGGTGGGAGAGTATAACAGGGTGATTTAGTGTCATCAATTCAGTTGATAACGTCAATTAGCCACCTTAAAGAGTTCAAAAGCGTTTAAACTCTTTACAGTGGCCAATTTGTGCTATCAAGTCAGCTGATAATACTAAATTACTAAGTTAATGTAGGCGAAATGTTGGAAACTAATTGTTACTGTTTCGCAATTTTGCCAACTTGTGGGAAAAATGATTTGTCTTTATCAACGATGGTTTGAGTTTAAGACGTTAACACTTAATCTGCGTAATAGGTGAGAAGGGGTACTGGTAATAAATAAGTTATAGAGGTATATGGTGCCCCCAGATTTGTGGTTTTTAAGCCGTTCTGGTACAAAGACAGGTTGGTGTACATTTTTACCATTTTGGTTTGAAATTAGGTATGGTTTTCAAGAAAACCACACAAGCGTATAAACGTAACTGATTTTTCAAAATGAATCAAAGTGAAACACAAGTATGAAAAATATATTTTTCTACTGTTTTTTTGGGGGGATTTTCGTAACTTCTTAACTTCGGCATTGATACAAGCCTTTTCAAATTCTTCTACAACATAGCGTAAAGGATTCTCAAACCAAGTAAAATTTGTCTGGTGGGGATATTAGAGGCCAGGTACAAAACTAATTATAGAAATAGCACTTTTTTATCTGAAATAGGGTCTGGTTGGACAATCCCTGCCAAACATCCCGAGGCGGATCTCCCTCCCTATCCAGGGGATAGCACACATGGCTGTTTCAAAACGCCCCCAATGGAAATTTAGTTCACGCATGTCAGATTGACATTTTCAATTTGAAACCGCTGAAAATGTACGCTAATGGCTCAACAAAAAAGAGCCCGCTGATAACTAGGCCGTAAAAAGTATACGCGGAAAGCCCGAGGAAATAGCTAACTTACGCGCAAACATTGTGTTTTGCCTCCTTGGTTAATGTTCTCCAAGGAAAGATTGCATGTGCGGGATAGTTAACTATGCGACGGCTTACCGTCTTTCGGAGGTCTTCTTATTTTCAGGAAAGATTCTGATTGATTCGAATTTTTCTTTCAAAAGGGAACGACTCAGGCTTTATGTCTCTCCTTTGCCATTAGTTTCTGTACCATGACGTTTTAATCCGAATTGTTTTGCGGGGTGTAATCTGCGATTACACTTCACTACCGAAATAGTAAATATGGCGTCCATCTCCTCTTTGACCTCGAACTAATACCCCTCAGCAACGTGAATTTATCCTCTTGATACAGTCATGCTTACCCATGGGCTAAATAAAGAATACACGATGTCTGAAAAACTGCTAAAATGTCCACTGCCTTATGTTACGTGCAAGAAAGTCGCACTACGTGCGTGTGATTTCCTTCCCGAAAAGTGTACGTCATCGATCTGTCACGGGGAGCTACGTGAACTAGTGAAAGCACGGACAAGACGTTTCTTTCGGTCAACATTTCAATCATGATCAGGCATAATAAACCTTACAATTATATGTTACCATTTGCGCTTTGTTCTGATAGTTAAATAGTTTTTCTTATTTTTTGGCGAATATTCCCTTCAATGGAACGAACTACACACAATAACACAAGAATGCAAATATTCCCGCACCCCTAAAGAACCGATCGAGAGAGATAAATAGACACCCCTTCCTGAAACAAGGTACAGGCCCTAAGGGAGTACCCTTCTGAAGCAATAAAAGGCCAGAAAAAGGAACTTCGGAACATATCTCGAGTCAACTTCGAACTCCGTTGCTTAATCCAAGTTTGGTTTAGAACTCGGTTCGATTAGTAAATTCAGATGGCTAATTATATAGCTTTGGTCTCTCTGAACATCAACAAATATTGGAAAAAAGGTGCCGAATTTGTGGGGAGCGATTGAACACGGCAAAAGATAAGTATGAGAACAGTTTTCTTTGCGCAAATAGGACGGAGATTATTTTCACAGCCTTTAGTGTCAAAGTTCGTAAAGATGACCTTGACATGTGCCCTCCCAAGTTCTGCCACAAGTGTTACAAGCTTGCTTTAAGAGGAGGCACACGCCTTGCAATCAATGTGTGGCCTCCACACAAACGCACTGAAAACTGTAAGATCTGCAGTTTCTTTAAAGATCAACAGAAACCTGATAGGAAGAAGAAGACTAAACCTAAACCCAGAGAGGACTCAGCTGGACCCAAGGAACAAGTGGAAATGGTGGAAGGAATGTCTGGCACTTTAAGCTTCCAACCTGACCCAGCCTCACTCTCATTCTCTGAGGAGGTAAAGAATCTACAAAGCTTTAGAGGATCAGAACCTCTTTACCCAGAAGAGTTTGTTGAAAACATTAAGCGTGAGTATATGTGCCCAATTTGCAAAGAGGTACTTGATCAACCAGTCCAGACTAAATGCCGAACTCCACACATATTTTGTGCTAGTTGTTTGCCATTTTCTTTTCAAATGTGTGGATCCCTTTGCCCGGTATGCTGAACTGTCATTGTAACTCCTAATGAGTTCATTGAGCCAGCCCTTTTGTTCTTCGCACCATACTTTCAGAGTTAGCTTTTCGATGTCCTACCTGTAAACACACAGTAAAACTTCACCAACTACCTCGGCATCAAGAATATTGCATTCAAAGCCCTACAACAGCACCCACACACATCTTCACCCCTTCACAAAGATCAGTTCCAGTGACACAATCCCCCCTTATCTTAGTGAAACCCATACCTCCAGCAGAGGAAGAGGGACCAGCACAGGTAAATGTACCATCACTACAAGTAGAACCTACAACCACCACTGATACAAATACAACCTGCAGAGAACAACTGACAGTTCATCAACTACTAACCAGCCCAAAGGAAGCTTATGTATCTCTAAAGGAGGAAGTTGGATTGTTCATCATGAGACAGTTTCTTTCACAGTCTCAGGATGGGGCGACTATTCTCCTCAAAACAGGTGGCCAGGTAATAAAACATTTTTTGAGTTGAAAATAAAGACATTCATTTTCAAAACAAACGATAAGATAATCCATATTCAGCCCTTAGAATTAGTGAAAAGGACCAAGGCAAGGAAAACAACTGACGAGGTAACAAAGAAAACTGCTAGATATAGATCAAAGGTAGTAGCAGAGACCAGGACAGCTATGAGTGGTGGTGCAGCTGGTACCTAGTTGAAAGTTGAACTGTATACAATGGGCAGACTGGAGAGGAAGGCACTACTGAAGGAGGCCTTGGGAAAGGAATTTAAAATCGCCATTCCAAGAGGTGACATCCTGGCAATGAAAGCAGACCTTAGCGAAACATGGTACAAGGTTAGAAAGCTCAGGAGGTAAGAAAAACATGAACTAAAGATCATTAAAAACCCCAAAGATTTTCCAAAGACATTAGATATCAGTAACAGTAACTGTTTTGAGTTTGTATCCAAATTTACCAACTGCCTGAATACCCTCAATCTATTTAGAAAGTTATGATAACTATCATGTCTAGTAATAGACAGTAATTCACATATACAAATATTTATGATTTAGCAATTCAATAAAAGAATATAAATGTAGCCTCTACTTTATATTGCTATTTCTGTGAAACAGGTTTCCACCATGATAATTGTATTTGCAGACAAATATCCATGTCTTTGGTGCAAGATAAATCATGAAGTAATGCAAGTCTCTTGCCATAAACATGGGCATGCTGAAAAATGAAGCCTTGAAAACATTCAAGAGGATTATGATTAGTTTGTAGCAGATGAACAAATGGAATTGGCTGCTTTTCAGAAAGCCAATGGACCACTATCAGTTCATTTGGATGAGGTTCTCAAGAAAATGAACGTTGAGAGACAAGCTTACCATGGAAAATCATTCATTGGTAACCATGTGCACACTTGTTGCAAGGTAACACAAATTCTACCCTTAGAGTAGGAATTTGTTGAGTCACAAAATTCTAATGAATTGTTGCGTTTTTTGAGCGGGGGTAGGAAGACATCATTAAACTATGCAGCGCTGTGGTGACAAAAACAGTGGAGCTGTGTCCTTCCTTCCTTTCTCAAGCAAGAGAAATTAGCGTGAAATTCGAATAAGTTTTCAAGTTATTTGCAGCTTGCCACTTTGTCTATGACAGTGCAGACTATCTCAATGATAGCAACATTGACAAGATAGGTAAGCGAAAGAAAAAACCAGACTTTCATGGAAAACATGAATACGGTAATAAGATCATGCCTTAAGTCCACCTTTTCTTGTTTTCTTGTTGCAGAAGAAGACATCACGAATTTCCTTCAATTCCTTAAGGAAAAATTATCAGACATGGCGATCACACCAAAGCTGCATATGCTAGAACATGTTCGCCCTTTTCTTCGACAATGGCACATGGGCCTCGGATTCTATGGTGAACAAGGGATTGAAGGAATACACTCTGAATTCAATACCCAGTCCCAGCATTTTGACCATGTGAAGAAAAAGGACACGAGATTGCGTCAAATCCTTGTTAACAACCACATTGCCACGAGTCCGGAACTAGCAGGGAAAGCTCCCAAACCTAAAGAAAGAAATTGAAAACCAGAAGGGAACGGGTAAAACTCTTTCCTTTTGACAAGCAATGTATTGATTCGTAGACTAAGAACGAGTACCATGTGTGTAAATTTAGTGTTATTTATTTGCTCAAGTTCTAATTTAGACGAATAAAAGTATAACCGCACTCTTTGAAATCAAAACTAAATCTTTCCAGTCGTTTGCAGGCTGTTTCGCTTGAAATTCAGTACATTCGAACGCCCGATCTTGACATATTAAAAGCGCCTCGAATGGAGTCTCAAACAATTCGGATTAGAACACTTACCTCTATCAGTTGTTCAGTAAGGTTTCAAGTCTTCTCTTGTGACTCTTGCTTGGCTGGAAAAAATTCGAGCCTTTTCCAAATTGAAATCAAAGTTTTTAGTTGATTTCATAGGGTGTGCTTCTTAGACTCCACTATAGCAACGTGTTTTCGTCGAACACAGGCAAAATTTGACCGATTTTACTCAAATTTTCGACGGCAAGTGCCTCTTCCATGAGCATGCATCCGCCACTAGTCTACCGTAAGTACTAAAACATGGAACGACCTAAATCCACCTAAAACCACCTAAAACTACCTAAAACTACCTAAAACTACCTAAAACCACCTAAAACCACCTAAAACCACCTAAAACCACCTAAAACCACCTAAAACCACCTAAAACCACCTAAAACCACCTAAAATCACTTAAACCCACCTAAAACCACCTACAACCATCTACAACCACCTCAAAAATTTCAACAATCACCTATAACCACCTCAAAAATATCTACAGCCACTCGCAAACTATCTAAAACCATCTAAGACCATCTAAAACAAGGCATAAATGTCTAAAATAAGGCGAAACGACAACATGTCACCTACACGAAATACGAGAATCGAACGAAACCTCCACCTCCCCCTGAAATCTTACTCTCCCTGGTCCCATGCGTATAATGTGTATAATCAACCATCTCACGAAATGAAATGCAATAGTATGCTAATTGTTTTATATTCCCTCGGTAGCAAAAGACTTAAAAAACTTTACAAAATGGACTATCAAGTTACAAAAAATAATAAAGTGAAATAACAAACTCGTTGTCAAGACTGACTTGACCTGGCTTTTTCAACCCTGGGTACCAGCAGACGTTTTGGCTCACGTCTAGAAAGAGTATGAGTAAGAATTATCAATGTACGTACCTTCGGGATCTTCCTCTGGCACGAACGCCATTGTGCTGGCATTCATACAGCATGCAGTTGTACGAGTGGTGCCACTTACGCAATAATGACTCACGTTTTGCTCCAATTACCTTTCCAGTGCTGAGATTATAAATAGAGAAAAACACTACCTTGGACCATTACGTAATCAAATGAAACGTGAGCCAAAACGTCTGCTTGTAAAATTCTTTAGGTCTTTTACTACTGAGGTAGTAAAAAATATAATTGGCATGCTCTCGCATTTCATTTCGTGAGATGGTTTGTTATACACATGGGACCAGGGAGAGTAAGATTTCAGGGGGAGGTGGAGGTTTCGTTCGATTCTCGTATTTCGTGTACGTGACGTGTTATCGTTTCGCCTTATTTTAGACATTTACGCCTTGTATTAGATGGTTTTAGATAGTTTGCGAGTGGCTGTAGATGTTTTTGAGGTGCTTGTTGAAATTTTTGTAGATGGTGTAGGTGGTTGTAGGTGGTTTTAGGGGGTTTTAGGTGGTTTTAGTACTTACCACTCGTCTACGCAAACCTGACACCTATCGTCTTCCGTGATTTCATCCAAATTTATGCAAAATAATGCTATTTCATATTATTTTTTTTGCGAAGTGGACGTGCTAGCGTGAAGGTTGTCGAGAAAAACAACAACACTGAAGTGAATTCATTTTCCATTTTTCGGGTAAGTTTGCCTTTTTAATTCAGCGTCCGATTTCAAATAAATGTTTTCCTTTAAGGATATGGGAAAAGATTATGAACGATTTTTGGTATAGATTAAGATGAGGACGATGTTCGATTGGCATCGCGTCTACGAAATCCACGCGGTTTCTGCCTGCATTTGTAAAGAGTGCCACGGTCAACGAAAAAAGTTGGATCATTTGTCGCAGTCTCAAGGCTCTTATTTCTTTAAGAGATAGTTACGCTGCAAGCGTGAGGAAAGAGCGACTCTTTTCTCAGTCGACAGAATCGCTACAAGAAACAACTACCTTTAATTTAAGTGACTAAACGTCCGGCAGCCGGACACGGTCTTGATAAATTCGCAGCACCGTTCGCAAAAAGACCGAAGGTTGAAGGCGGACAATCTTCTTGGCCAAAGTATATTAAGACAGTGCACCTGGTCTTCAGCGAGAGCTTTAACGGGCGGCACAATAGATATAGTGACCGGTTTCCTCTAAAGAAGAGAGGCAATCGATCACTGGCGCTCCTTGATATATTAAAGGTTTTCCATAGCCAGTTGATAACGAAATGGTAATGGAGACATCCTTACCTTACAAAGTAATATCTATGGTTTTCTGCTGTTCTTCTTGAAATGTCTATTCCAAAAGTCACGCAAACTTGCCTTAAAACCTTGTCGTACATCGCTGTTGTCTGAAAAGTTGACCATGAAAGAGTTTTGTTCACCGTCTGGTTCGTTGGTTTAAAAATAAATTACCAACTCAAGCCAATCAGAATTGACAAAAGAATCGGCAAGAGAGGTTAACCAACAAAAAGTCATTATACATTTTCTTACAAAAGAGTAACGTCACGGAACACGATTAGTGTCAGGTTTGGGTAAACGTTACCTCGCCTCCGTTTCACCTTTTGGGGGACGGAAGGGGAGGGTACGGCTACACGTAGGCTAAGTCAGTGGTCACCAAAACGCTTTTCCACATAGGCAATCGAATTAAGAAAAAGCACTGCGTGTCAATGTTTACGCAACATTGACGTGCTGTTTGAACTGTTAGGTTTGCAGAAACAAAAAGGCTTTGATATACTAGCGCACGCGCATGTAATATCTTATACTTGTCTAAACTGGCATTGATTGACGATGCTCGGAATAAAAACAACCTTATCACGTGAAGGCGTTGTTTTGATTGTAGCAGGAATGTTTGAAAAGGATATTTCGATATTTCTCCGCTCTGATTCTCAATCAAAGCTAATGTGTTAAAACAGGAGTCAGTTAAACAAGCGTCATAAACGTTACGGTTTAAAGAATTAGAATGAGTCTACTAATTATAAGATGTGATAGAACTCTCATTTAAATTGCGTTTGGCTACGAATTAATTGTATCTTACTACCTCAACATATTTTGAATGTGATCTTTAAATAAGGTTGACATTTATGTTGTGACCCACGGACTACGTACTGGAGGACTATTGAAAGCCAAATAATAATATAATTTGTCTTAGGCCAAATCCCACAATGATCCAAACAAAGATACGCATCTCTGATATTCAAACAGACAACAAAGAGTGTCTATTTCGGTGACCTCTCATAAAGAGAGTGAAACGCGGTTATTCCCTCATTCTTGTACACTCCGGTAAAATAATCTGCATGTAGACGTCTCCAAAATGTTTTACTTTGTTTAGTTCACGCGGAACATAAGTGAACATTGATGTTCACAGTTTGAAAGAGGCCTGTCACCTGTCACAATTAATTCCTGTCACCTAGACAAAGCGCTTTTATCCTTTATCAAGCAGGAAAATTTTCCGGACAAAGGCTTCTCAAGCACAGTTGCACGTACGCGCATTCCAGCGTCAGTTGCCCTCGCGCGGTGAAATCGATATTGCAGTTAAAAGCAGAAACATTCAACAGGAGTATATCATTTACGAGCAAGACGAGCCGCGAACTACATGCAACATAATCATGAGCTCCAAACCTTGCTGTGTCGCTCAATGGACTCCTTCTGACTACAAATTTCTTGACAAGTGGTTAGCCAACTTGATCATAGAAGTTCAAATTAAATACAAAGATAAGTTAGCGCTATTGATGGCTCTTCATCCTCCAGCTGAAGATGAAGAAACAGCTAGTGGTGAAACTCCGCCGGTAGTTGCTCACAGTACAATGGAAGACCTCGGTCTCCATCCACCCCTTCAAGAATTATTGAAAGCTATCATCTCCAACCCCGAGATCAACATGTTTTTCCATCAGATGTTCTCGCAACAGTTTAAGAATCCAGATAGTTCGAAAGGGACAAGGATCCCTTGCTGGCAAGTGATGATTGTTTTAATCGACCACATCATGACTACAGCTCCAGAGTACAACAAAACCAGTTTGGTTAGTTTCCCCATCTACGCAATCCTGAACTGGCCGATGGCTACGACTGCTGGATTTGCTGCTTTCCTCAACGACAAAATCAACAGGTTGTTCAAAAGTATTCTCAACAATTGGGGAAAGTTTCTTTCCAGTTCTGCTTCTTGTTACGTATTGAATGATGATCCTCGTCATGGTTGGTTTGGTGAAGACGCAATGCAAGCAATGCCAAACTTCGACCTAGAGTTCAAATGCAAGCCCAGAGAAAAACATCATGGTTTTACATCATGGGATGATTTCTTCACCAGAGAGTTTCGTAATGGTATTCATCCAGTAGAATCTCCAGGCGACGATTCCGTTGTTGCGAATGCCTGTGAGTCGGTGCCATATCAGATCTCTACAGCCGTGAAAAACAGGGACTTCTTCTGGATAAAGCACCAACGGTACTCATTGGACTTCATCCTAAACATGAGTGACCTTGCCAAGCAATTTTATGGTGGAACCGTCTACCAAGGGTACCTAAGTGCCACCAGTTACCACCGATGGCACAGTCCTGTGTCGGGCACTATTTACAAAACAGAACTCGTGGATGGTTGTTATTTTTCTGCAACCCAGGACATTCAGGATAACCCCGCACCGCCCAACATATGATGTCACAAGGATACCTAGCCCAAGTAGCTGCCAGGGGTATTATCTACATTCAAGCTGATAATCCCGATATTGGCTTGATGTGCTTCGTGTCAATCGGTATGGCAGATGTGTCCTTCAACGAAATCACCGTTAAAGAAAAGGATAAAGTGAAGAAAGGTGACCAGCTTGGCATGTTTCACTATGGTGGGTCCACCCATCTTCTGATATTTCGCCCCGAAGTTAAAATTGAGTTCGATACGAGAAGTCAAACGCCAGGTCTGCATACCGATAATATTCTGGTGAAATCGAAAATTGCGACCGTACATCCACAATCTAAGCAATTTAATTAAGGATTTGGCAAAAACATCTTGATTTTGTCAGTGTTCGGTGTGAACATGATAATTTTCTTTCTTTCCTCCTAGGAGATGTCTCTTGACAATTACGAAATTGAATTTTTTTTTTATTTTTACCTCGTCAATTGTTACTAAAGTGTTTGGCAAGAACTAAATTTAGAAATGTCCTTGCTTCGTGTCTGTGAATTGTTTAGGCCTGTTAGAATATTTTGGAACCCTTATGCGAGTCTCGTGAGCCTTGGTTTGTTATGTGCTGCAAGACCACACATTTATTTTACCTTTTGAGTATTTGGTCCTCGACCGTTGTAATAGGCCTGTTGTACGATAATTGTCATCGCTGGCCGTGTTTTCGCTAGTCCTTGCTTAGAGTCCTCATGGGGAAATTTTGCTCGAGGATTTAACCATCGAAGTTTGGAAGTTTTTCGAGCAAATCTTTTTGTGCCACAAGCATGTCTAATAATTGATGGTGTATTTTCAAACCGAAGCCTTTTATAATTTATTCTAGCATTTGTGATGGGAGTTCTTAGAATAACTACTAACCAAAAGTTTCTTAACTCACATTTGGAGTGAAAGATATTCCCATGATTTACCGAAAGTGCGATAATAGTAAACTTAATCCTCGATGTGCACATTGCCATTTCGTTGATTTCCGATATGTATAAATAAAGTACTGCAAGAGTATCAAGGGCTTAAATGTTTTGCTTTCAATTGTTCTTGTTAAAAACATCACATTCCACACAAGACCTCACCTGGAGAAAAAATTCTAGCCTCGAGCGAACCTATTTGGTGCATTTTTAGTAACACAATTGTCAATGTGTGCTAACCCAACCGTTCAAACAATAGACCAAAATTAATGAGACTGGCTTGAATAAGTGCTGTGGGATTTCAAGGTGTTCTTTGATATATACATATCTATTTCTATATTATATAGAAACCTTCTTCAACCTTCTTCTTTTAAGAGATTTTCAAAATGGCCTAAACATTGCGCTGTAGTAAGTCAAGCCTAACAACTTCTGCCAAATGAAATAAATAAGTCATCATCATAGGCTTAGTATCTTTAAAGAGAACCCCATTGAATTCGAACAGTTTTAGTAATCTGATTTTGCATCGCGCATAATCCCTTGGGGGATACGGCATTATACAAATATTTTAAGACTGACTACAACAATATGCAGCTTTCGAAAAAGAAGAAATTCCAGTCCTTTATACACAGAAAATGTTGTAACCAGTGCAACACTGGCTATGTTTGCAGATGACTCTAAATGTTACAAGGTTACTAACCACCATTCTGATTACTTGCATCTACAGCAGGATTTAGACGCGCTTTCAATTGGTCTTTGCGAAATGAGTTGTTTTTTCAGCCTACTAAGTGCAGCAATTTGAGGATTTCTAGGAAGCGCCTTAGTCCTCCTCACACCTATGTTTTAAATGGTATTAATGTGGAGGTTGTCACAGCCGAAAAAGATCTAGGAATTATGATTGCAAATGACACCTCTTGGAAAGATCACTTAGTCATGATTGTAGCTAAAGCTAAGGATGCTTGGTTTTCTCAAAAGTAACTGCGCTGGTATTGTTGGTAGTACGGTGCTTTTGCGTCTTTACTGCTCTTTAGTGCGCTCTCATTTTTGTTTTTGCTCTCAGTTATGGGCCCCTCAGTCAAGTACCAGCAATTTAATCCTTGTTGAAAACATACAAAGGAGAGCTACTCGTTTTATCTTAAAGAATAGTAACCTATGTTATAAGGCTCGTTTAATCAAGCTTAAGTTATTACCGCTAAGTTACTGGTTAGAATATCTTGACTTAGTTTTCTTTTTTAAGTGCCTTCATGGGCTTATAGATTTCACTCGTGAATTTAGTTATTATTTTTCTTTTCTAAAGGGCAACACACGCCGTGCTTCATCAGGGCTGCATTTAAAGTTAAATGCCTGTCGTACGTTTTCCTTTCGAGACTTTTACTTCAACAGAATAACTTGCATTACAATCAGCTGTACTCCTAGAAGAGGTGCCAGTTTTCAAATTCCTGAACTCCCCTTTACCTGGCGGCTATTGTCGTTACTTAGCCCAATCCTTGTCTTTCCTGTGCATTCGACAAGATGAGAACCTGAGTAACCTGAACGTACCTGGACGTGATTAACAACAGTGCACCGATATTTGTTTCGAAGGAAACTATAGGCTTACATGGAGATAAGGTTTTCCTACGCCTGTAAGGAAACCGAAGTAGTTGCTTAGTCACCACCGAAAAAAAAAAATTGATCAGCAAACGGAAGATCTCAAGCTACTGAAGGGAAGGAAATATCAATCGGAAAGACAGACAGACAGACAGACACGCGAAATAAAGACAGATGGACTGATGGAGAGGCGAAGGGATAGACTGGCTTAAGGACGGCAGAACGGACGGATGGATTGAGGGATGAAGCCGTGGATGGGTGGATTAACATACAGACGATTGAATAAATGGGCGGACAAAAAAGATAAATGGACTTTTGCGCAGGTAAACGAACCACTAAGATATGGTATTACGATTGAGTACTTAGCTGGCTGTAGCTAGGTCGCAAAATTCTTCAACTGAAAATCTAAAACCCTTGAACTCCAAGATCTCATTAGTTATTCTCCTTACTTTCTGCTACACAATTTTTATGATGTCTATTTGGAGAATTTGGTAATGGAACAACTAAATATCCCCTAATTGATATTTTTGTTTATTCTCATCACTTCTAGGCTTGATATTGTCTTGATATTTAGCCTAGCTGGTGGTCTGCGGGTTTGGGAGCAGAGAGAAAAACCGCAGACCACCAGCAACGTAAGCTACTAGATATTGAGAGGTGAAGGGTTAAAAAATAATGAAGAAAATTCAGCATTATAATATTACATTGACCTAAATCAATGAAAGTCACAGGAGATTAGTTTCCTGCAATATCCACAAGCTGAAGATAACGTATGACTTGAATGTGTTTTGTGATGTGTGATGATTGTGAGAATGTGATGATTTGTGTCCTCGTCATCGGAACTGATGTTTAGTCAACTTCAACTTGGGGATCTAGCAAGTTTATTTGCGTAATCACAGACGAAATGTCAATACATATATGAAGCTTTAAGAGCGCTAAGTCGAGCTTAGATTTAGTTCAAAACAGTCTATTCCACTTAGCTTTCCGTTTAATCAGAGGAAAAAGTACTCTGAGTGCTGTTAATACGAATCGAACCAATTAGTACTTCGGACACTCTCAGTACCGCTGAGCTATAAGTGTCAGGCTAAGCCGTTCTCCAAGTCTGCCTATGTCATTCACTAAATAACATCATCTTTCACTTAAAAGTCACTTGGACAAAAATGTATCATCGTTATTCGCTGAACTTCTTCCTTTAGCTTTGGTAGTCAGGGATTGATTGTTTGATTGAAAGCATTAACCCTTTAACTCACGTAAGTGACCAAGACAGAATTTCTCCTCACAAGAGCAATACAATATCAATCAGATAGGTGATGAGAACAAATGAAAAATATAAGTTTGAGGATTTTCCATTTGATCCAGTACCAAATTCTCAGAACTAGCATCATATATAAGAATTATATGGCAGACAGCAAGGAGATTACTGAGCATTAAAGGGTTAAGTAGGTCGCTATTCACTTGTTTGTTGGATTCTTGTGAAGGTGTTTGGGTTATTGTTCTGTCACCAATATTTAATCTTCTAAGTTTGGTTGTCCAACATGTCCACTCCTGTCCACCGGAGGTGAAGATATAAGAGTGTTCTTTAGAGTTTTAGTCAGTGAGAATCAAAGACTGAGCGAGTTCGAGTGATAAGAATGAAGGGGGTAAATTTTAAAGAAAGTATATTGCTGAGCCGCTACATGGGGGTACTACAAGATAATTAATTTTAGATTTGCTAACTGAGTCAATATTGCACTTTAGTTACCCTTAAGCTGACGTTTTAGCGTGAGCTCCTCGTCAGAGCGAATGTAGGAATAGTAAGTTGTCTGTGGTTTACATGCAAAAAGAGTCAGATGACCAGAGTCACCCAGAATAAGTTTTAGTGTCAATCAGAGTCGATCGGTCAATGACAATCCGAGTAGCTAAAGGTCTTAAAGAGAAGAGTGAAGTGAAGTTAATGGAAGTGGAATTGTGTTAGAGAACAGTGACTAGAGAAGACTGAAAAGACAGGCCGAGAGTCCCTGGTGCATTGTTCTTTGGCAAAGTGTGGTACTGCAGCTAGTTTCCCCGTCATTACTGGGATACTTGTGATAGCCCAGTCATAAAATGCCTTTGTTTTTTTGTCGTCTTTTTTTTTTCCTCCGCCACAAAATGGAAAAATTGCGCAATGGTACCCAGTGGTCATTGGGCCCTCAACACCATGACAACTAACTGTGATCCAATGAGGTGTTCACATGCTGACACGCGTGTTATCTTGATGATGATTGACGTTGTCATGCACGGACAGGGCTGGGTCACATGACGAGCACGAGATTTTTGCTTATTAAACTCTTTTGTCAATCGATTTGTATTTCAACCTGTTTGGATTACGATCACCTGGAACATTATTGCGCAAACGCCCAAAATACCTACAGACGCATACGCAAGTCGTATTGTTCGCGGCCAGTCCACACTAAAAGATGTTATTGAGCGGTAATTTTAGAACGGATTGGGTCGCGAACGCTTGAAAGCCATGAAAGCCTTGAATGCCTTCTATGCCTTGTATGCCAATGTCTTAGTTGAAAAACGTACACTTGTTGTAAAAAGCAAAATCTGAAATCTGAAATCTGAAACCAAACTGCATATACTCTATGCAACCTATTGAACAACACTACTACCGTGAGACTGAAGAACAAAACTCTAATGGATGCAAACTGCTTGTGAAGAAAGACGCCATGTGGGATTCACTTGATGCCGGGGAACGTAGCTACGATAACAGTGCGAGTGGTATTAATTTCACGATCAGAAAGGTGAATCTTATGTTTGTTTTCATTGTAGTTGTATAGATATTCTTTTTTGTGTTTTATGTTATTATGTTAAGTATTGTTTATGCAATTATAGGCGGTCCAAGCTCACGCTTCGAGAAAAAGCCAATGATTAATTCATGAACGCGTCACGCATTGTGTGACTCGGTGTTAAGTTACAAGAGGAACCGATGAAAATTTGAACAGGTTACAAGGAATAGTATAGGGAACGAAATATGGTCGATTTACAACGATAAATATCTCGAAATATGAACATTTTTCACGTAAAATCAATAGAGCTTACTCATACCCTGTGTATCCGTTGTAGTTTCTGACGATTTCTGCCGTTTTAAGCTTGCTTTACCATCACTGTTATTCTTTTCATCTACTTTTATTACGTTGGTAAAATCGGTACAGACATCACACCAACCAACTCGCGCACAAAGTAAGAAGACTATATTGAAGGCTTGAAATTACATTATGATCGGTTTTCATCAAGAAATGGGCCAGGAATATTCCACAATAGTGCAAATAATCGTGAACGCTGATCGCGAAAAAGCGATTGCGAGACGCTCGGTAAGCTGTAAGATGACATGTTATTTTATACCAGACGTAAAAACTCGTCAGATTCTCAGTCTGCGTTTTGTACCCTATCTGCAGTCTGCAGTCTATATTTTGTATCCGGTCTGCAGTCTGCTGTCCGCATTTTGTATTAACAGGTATACGTGGCACCAATACAGTTTATTTTTGGTTACATTTATTCGCACAACACACATAATCTACCACAAAATACCTGTGTGTGAGGTAATTAGACATTTTCGTTCTTTTCCGCGTTAATACTCTTCTTTCCTTATGTAAGAATGTAGACTACTTACAATGTTTCAAGTAATCCACCCACCCTACAAAAAATAACTCTTGCATGCATAGCATGCCTGTGTTTTGAAATAGGTGTATGCCCTTGGCCAGACTTGAGCTCACTATTTCAGCATACTAGTCCGACACCCGTAGTATCACTACACTTGATTCCGAGGATCCAGTACCATCCAGTTATCCCAGTTACCCTGCTCACAGGGTCTAGTTGCATCTCAAATTCCCTTGATAACCATAGCTTAATTTGAAAAAAGTTGCAGTCATGATAGAAAGTCTCAGAGATCAAATTTTGGTCCGTACATTTATGAAACCTTTTCCAATGAAACTAGTTTCAGGGCCTAAAGGTAAATACTTGCTAACAATGTTAGAAAAGCTTCCCTGCCCGCCATTACGAGACTTAAAGGTAAAGGAGTTAAGAAAACAAAGCATGTTGTGATTATGTATCATTTCCGAGGGCTCCCTCAGAAAATTTTCGTAATTTATTTTATTTTTCTTAAACAACTCTTTTAAAGAGTTTTTTTTTTAAATTATATCAAAAAGTTCTATCACGCTTTCAAAAAGTTCAAAATACACCTAGTTGGCCGTTGTCCCTCCTCCCCGTAAAACAATGCAAAATAATGCAACTTCGCCAACTTCGCACGCCATAACGCGATGCAATCCCTCTTTTAAATTTTGTGTGTCAGCAGCTGACCCTTTTATCTTTTTGAAAATATGAATATCTTGTTATTTTGTTACGTTTGAGTCTGCTTGGTAACCCATTGAAATAATGTATTTTACGTTTGTTTCGCAGAGCTAAAATAAACGTCAACTTTAATGGCCTATAAAAAGGTATGCCATGTATATTACAAATCATGATATACATTACCTCAAAGCTTTATCCGTGTGGTGTCATTCCTTTAATTTTTTATCGTGGCCCGCCATAGGAAGCGCGTCAAGGTTAAAGACAGTTGGGGGTTGTTGTGACAAAAATGCAATGCGAACTGCTAAACAGCCATCACGGCCTATTTAAAGGCCTATAAAAAGGTCTAGTATAAATATTTACAAATCATAATATACATCATCTTAAAGCTTTATCCTTGTAGTTTGATACAACAAATTTTCTTTTTTCAAATAGGACTCGCCTAAAGCACGCTACATTTAACATAACGGATGCTGAACAATACAAAACAAGACGATCTAAAATTTTGTTAGCCCGGCTTTTTAGAAGGAAATAAGTCCCGCAATTCCATTCCGTGACTATCATAGATATAAATCTGTTCGACGCGACACGAGATTATTATATCAATACTGGTCGGCTCTCTATTGAAGCTCATTATGGTTCCTAAAGATATTAAGCTCTTGACCTTTTTTGTTACTTTCATCTAAATACGTGCAGGTCTCGATGCCGATTGAGCTGTAGGTTTGATTCCTGACTTGGGCTCAGAAATATTCTGACTAATTAATAGCTCGGAGGATACCTCCAAATTTCAATCAGTTCGTCCAGTCTACGCAATATTTTCGTGCTGTTTTAACTGTTGGGTTTGCAGAAACAAAAAGGCTTTGATATGCTAATGTCTAAACTGACATTGACTGACGATGCTTGGACTGAAGATAATCTTATCAGGTGCGCTAAGAAACTAAGCTTTTTCTTCTTATGAAGGTGTTGTTTGGAATGTGATGTTGTTGGAGGGAACGTTTGCAAAGGATATTTCGATATCTCACCGCTTTGATTCTCCATCAACCCTAATGTGGTAAAGCAGGAGTTAAACAAGCGTCAAAAACGGTACAGTTTCAAGCATTGGAATAAGTCTACTCATTCTAATATTTGATAGAACTCTCACTTATTTTGCGTTTAGCTAGGAATTAATCGTAACTTATCGTCCCAATTAATATAATTTGAATGTGATCTTTTAATCAGGTTGACATTTCTGTTATGGTCCATGGACTACTGAGGAACATTGAAAGCCAAATGTTCTTCCTCAGGATAATTTGTCTTAGGCCAAATCCCACAATGATCCAAACAAAGACACACATCTCTGATATTCAAACAGACAACAAAGACCGTCCATTTCGGTGAATCACTTGAACCCATTGCAATCTGAAGTCACTAAAAAAATAACCCCTCAGAAAGTAAGCGTAACACGGCAATTTCCTTATTCCTGTATACTCCGATAAGATAATCTGCACGTAGACGTCTCCAAACTGTTTTCCTTTGTTTAGTTCACGCGGAACCTAGGATGAGGCTTTCACACTGGGATATTGCCAACAGAGGCCGACCCTCAATAACTTGTTAATTGTCACGGTATGAAAGAGGCCTGTCATCTGAACAAGGCGCTTTCATCCTTTATCAGGCAGGAAAAATTCCCTGACAAGGGCTTCTCAAGCACAGTCGCACGCACACGCATTCCAGTGTCAGTCGCGCTTGCGCGATGAAATCTATATTGCAGTTAAAAACAGACACATTCAACTGTAGTATATTATTTACGAGCAAAACGAGCCGCACACTTCGTGCAACATAATCATGAGCTCGAAACCTTACCGTGTTGGTCAATGGATTCCTTCTGACCAGAAAGTTCTTGACAAATGGTTAGACAACTTGATCACAGAAGTCAAAAGTAAATCCAAAGATAAGTTAGCGTTATTGATGGCTCTTCATCCGCCGGCTGAAGATGAAGAGACGGCTAGAGGTGGAAATCAGCTAGCAGTTGCTCACGGTACAGAGGAAGACCTCTTTCTCCATCCGCCGGTTCAAGAATTATTGAAAGCTATCATCTCCGACCCCGAGATCAACATGTTTTTCCATCAGATGTTCTGGCAACAGTACAAGAATCCAGATAGTTCGAAAGGGACGAGGATCCCTTGCTGGCAACTGATGATTATTTTAATCGACTACATCATGACAACAGCTCCAGAGTATAACAAAACTGGTTTGGTTGGCTTCCCCATTAATGTAATCCTGAACTGGCCGATGGCCACGACTGCTGGATTTGCTGCTTTCCTCAACGACAAAGTCAACACGTTGTTCAAAAGTATTCTCAACTATTGGGGAAAGTTTCTTTCCAGTTCTGCCTCTTGTTACGTGTTGACTGATGATCCTCGTCATGGTTGGTTTGGTGAAGACGCAATGCAAGCAATGCCAGACTTCGACGAAGATTTCAAATGCAAGCCTAATGAAAAACATCATGGTTTTAAATCATGGGATGATTTCTTCACCAGAGAGTTTCGTGATAACCGTCGTCCAGTAGCATCTCCGGACGACGATTCCATTGTTGCGAATGCTTGTGAGTCGGCGCCATATCAAATCTCTGAAGCCGTGAAAAAGAGGGACTTCTTCTGGATAAAGCACCAACGATACTCATTGGACTTCATCCTAAACATGAGTGACCTTGCCAAGCAATTTCATGGTGGAACCGTCTACCAAGCGTTCCTAAGTGCCACTAGTTATCACCGATGGCACAGTCCTGTGTCGGGCACTATTTACAAGACAGAACTCATAGATGGTTCTTATTATTCTGCGACCCACAACATCCAGGATGACCCTGCATCGCCCAACATGTCACAAGCATACCTAGCCCAAGTAGCTGCCAGAGGTATTATCTACATTCAAGCTGACAATCCCGACATTGGCTTGATGTGCTTCGTATCAATCGGTATGTCAGAGGTGTCCTCCAACGAAATCACCGTTAAAGAAAAGGATAAAGTGAAGAAAGGTGACCAGCTCGGCATGTTTCACTTTGGCGGCTCCACGCATCTACTGATATTCCGCCCAGAAGTAAATGTCCTGTTTGATACGAGAAATCAAACGCCAGGTCTGGATGCCGAAAATATTCCAGTTAAGTCGAAAATTGCGACCGTACGTCCAGCAGGCAAATAGAAGCGGTGAGGATTTTGATAAACATTGCACTTAAGTGTGCTTTAGATGCTAATACCCTAATCTCATAAGAGAAACTGGAATTTAAATAGGTTTGAGGATGCAAAAAGAAATTTTCTTTCATTTATGGTTATTGATTTTCTGTCTGGAACAAATTCAGTTTGTTAAAGATAGTTCAGCTGGTGTCACCTAGTATCTTAGCCATGGACAATTTAGAAAAAATCAAGAGACTTGAGATGAAATTTAATTTGCAGTGTGGACTCTTTGAGTCAAAATTAGAAGGCAAGTTGTTTAAATACAACTCGTGGCACGAGGAAATATGATTGATGATATATTTTCAAAACGAAGTAATAGATCGAGCACATTCTCAATGGTTGGATCACTTAGCCATTTCCCTGTTGTCGTGGCATGTGCGACGCAGATTCTTAATTCAAGAATACAAAAATCTTAAATTTTTTGGTTTTTTGTAATTTGCTAAATATCCTGGCTTTCTGGGAAAATAAGGAAAAGAAAAGGGTGTGTAATTACCGTTAACAAAATCGCTACTCAGTTTTGATCGACAAGATAGACGAAAAGTGATTTTAACTTGACCATAATGTCTCATAACTAAACCAATCTTTCCATTTCGGATGGGGAATAAATCAGTCGTTGAAATTTAACTTATAGCCAACTGTTAGACTTTCCATATTCTAGTTTACCGCTTCGATGATTCCTTCATTAATAATTCAAATAAAGCGATGTCCTATTTTTCCCTTAAGCTTCCAGTGGTTCGTGGATCATCAGTGAAATAAATGTCAACCTGATTTAAAGTTCACATTCAAAATACATTGAGACAATAAGATACGATTAATTCCTACCCAAACGCAATATAAACAAGAGTTCTATCACATCTTAGAATAAGTAGACTTATTCCAATTCTTGAAACTGTAACGTTTATGACGCTTGTTTAACTCCTGTTTTACCACGTTAGGTTTGATGGAGAATCAAAGCGGTGAGATATCGAAATATCCTTTGCAAACGTCCCTTCCGACAACATCACATTCCAAACAACGCCTTCACAAGAAGAAAAAAACTTAGTTCTTAGCGCACCTGATAAGGTACATTAGCATCGTCATTCAATGTCAGTTTAGAGAGGTATAAGATACCACGAGCGCGTACGTTTGTACGTCAAAGCCTTTTCGATTTGCAAACCCAACAATTAAAACAACTCGTCAATATTGCGTGGACTGGACGAACTGATGGAAATCTGGAGGTATCCTCCGAGCTATTAATTAGTCAGAAATATATCTGAGCCCAAGTCAGGAATCAAGGCTACAGTTCGATTGGCATCGAGACCTGCACGTATTTAGATGAAAGTGACAAAAAAGGTCAAGAGCTTAATATCTTTAGGAACCATAATAGGCTTCAATAGATAGGCGACCAGTATTAATATAATAATCTCATGTCGCGTCCAACATATTAATATCTAAGATAGTCACGGCTTTTCTGGATTTCGAGACAGAAACCTCTTTGGGTTGATGTTGTTGATTAATGTTTTAAACGTATATCAAACTACATTAAAACATTAGTTAAATCATTGGCAGCGAGTTCTTTCATTTTCGTGAGCTTTTCACAGTAGGGTACACACATTCTCGAAAAGCTGGTGTCCATTAACTCTCTAAAAATAACGCAGCGAATCAATCTAGTTTGTCATCAGATCCCTCATATGTCAACGCGGGAGATTCTAGTGATGGCTATTCATAGGAGTTGCCGCGTTTCAACCGAAAACAGCTGGTAAAGTGTTTGATAGAAAACATTAACCGCGTAGACCAAGACTGGTTCCGATTGAGACGGCTGATCCCAAAAGAAAATAGCCTCATTTGTAATCAAAGCGTACGCCAGACAGCCACCCGTAAGCTACGTTTGACCCTTCTAAACTTTTTTAGGGTCTCATATTCCCGGTGAGATATATTTGGTGAGCTTTAAACAGCACAGGCATTACAGTTACTTTAATATAAAAAGAGACTGCTTCCAATCTTTATGATCATTATTTTCCGCCTAGATCTCTAAACTGCTACATCACAAATTGGATAATAGAGTGCGAAAATATTAAAACAAAATATCTTGGGCACTGGGAAGATATTTAAAGGTCAAACCATCAAATAATTACAATAGTCTAGTACACAGACCTCCCCTTGCTTCTGATACATGGGTTCGAGATTACCTTACGACACAACAATTATAATCTGAGCTACTTTTTTCTGCGCACTAAGATGAGTGGTGAATATTAGCGGACACTATTTACTGGGATACCTGTGGTAGCCCAGTCATAAAATGCCTTTGTTTTTTGTCGTCTTTTTTTTTTTTTTTTTTTTTTCTCCGCCACAAAATGGAAAAATTGCGCAATAGTACCCAGAGGTCATTGGGCCCTCAACACCATGACAACTAACTGTGATCCAATGAGGTGTTCACATGCTGATCACGCGTGTTATCCCTCAACACCATGACAACTAACTGTGATCCAATGAGGTGTTCACATGCTGATCACGCGTGTTATCTTGATTATGATTGACGTTGTCATGCACAGACAGGGCCGGGTCACATGACGAATCACGAGATTTGCTTATAAAACTCTTTGGTCATTTGTTTTGTATTTCAACGTATTTGGATTGCGATCTCCTGGAGCATTATGGCGCAAACGCGCAAAATACTTACAGACCCATAAGTCGTATTAATCGCGGCTAATCCACACTGAAAGATGTTATTGAGCGGTAATTTTGGAACGGATTGAGTCGCGAACGCTTGAAAGCCATGAAAGCCTTGAATGCCTTGTATGCTAAGTATGCCAATGTCTTAGTTGAAAAACGTTCACTTGTTGTAAAAAGCAAAATCTGAAATCTGAAACCGAACTGCATATACTCTATGCAATCTATTGAACAACACTTCTACCGTGAGACTGAAGAACATAACTATAATGGTGCAGACTGCTTGTGAAGAAAGACGACATGTTGGATTCAGTTGATGGCAAGGAACTTCGCTACGATAACAGTTTGAATGGTATTAATTTCGCGATCAGAAAGGTGAATCTTATGTTTGTTTTCATTGTAGTTGTATGGATATTCTTTTTTAATAAATACGTGATCCAAAACCCTGTGTTTTTTTGTGTCTAATGTTATTATGTTAAATATTGTTTACGCAATTGTCTTGTCACAGGTGGCCCAAGCTCACGTCACGAGAAAAAGCCAACGATTAATTCATGAATGCGTCACGCGTTGTGTGACTCGGTGTTAAGTTACGAGAGGAACTGCACGTTATAAGGAATAGTATAGAGAACGAAGTATGGTCGATTTACAACGACACATATTTCGAAATATGAACATTTTTCTCGTAAAATCAATAAAACTTACTCATACCCTGTGTATCCGTTGTATTTTCTGGCGATTTCTGCCGTTTTAAGCTTGCTTTACCATCACTGTTATTCACGTCATCTACTTTTATTACGTTGGTAAAATCTGTACAGACATCACACCAACCAACTCGCGCGCAAAGTAAGAAGACTATATTGAAGGCTTGAAATAATATTGCGATCGATTTTCATCAAGAAATGGGCCAGGAAGGCGGATCGCAGAAAAGCGATTGCGTGACGCTCGGTAAGCTGTAAGATGACGTTATTATATACCAGACGTAAAAACTCTTCAGATTCTTAGTCTGCATTTTGTACCCACTCTGCAGTCTGCAGTCTATATTTTGTATCCGGTCTGCAGTCTGCTGTCTGTATTTTGTACTAACAGGTATCCGTGGCACCAGTACAGCTTACATTTATTCGCAAAACACACACAATCTACCACAAAATACCTGTGAGTGAGGTAATTTGACATTTTCGTTCTTTCCCACATTAATATTCTTCTCTCCTTTTGTAAGAATGTAGACATCACTCACAATGTTTCAAGTAATCCACCCACCCTACAAAAAAGTAACTATTGCATGTAAAGCATGCCTATGTTTTGAAATAGGTGTATGCCCTTGGTCAGACTTGAGCGCACTATTTCAGTATACTTGTCCGACACCCGTAGTATCACTACACTTGATTCCAAGGATCCAGTACCATCCAGGTATTCCAGTTACCCTGTTCACAGGGTCTAGTTCTTCCTAGAATAGTAAAGTTCATTTTCGAAGTGTAATTTATCAAAAAGGGAGGGAAATTATTCTGTTTGTATCAGCGGAGAATCCATCATTCAATGCGAGTTTCAAAATGATTTACATAGATCATAGGAATTCTCCACAAGAAATCGAGAGCGAACGACTCAAGTTTTATAAGACTCCATATGAGATGGTATGTTGAAGCTCACTGAATTCGATGAAGCGAAGTAAGACAAATAATAAATATTTCTTTATCATATGACCTGAAACTACAATCGTTCAATGTTCAATTAAAAGGCAGTAGAGCTAGTCAAGAAAAATAATGGCTAATTAAATAGCTTTTCTGTCGCTTACTAGGCAATGTAGATAACTGTAGCCATAAATTCAGTTCTCTTTACTGACAGGTTTTCCCTTTATAGTGGTTAGTCAACGTTTTCCACACCAGCTTGAACGTAAATCGCTTGAGGATTTTAAGAAAGGACTGTTAATTCTCTTTCCTTTTGGTTTGATAGGCGCTTTTAAAGCATTTTTCTAAATAACGAGCCTGTTAAAATCTAAGATTTACCTAAGGCCACAAAATTGTAGTAAAAAGCAAGAGACGCGAGTTGGTTGATTCATTTTCAGCTCATTCTCAAAGTGAGCGCTGCACCACTCAATATGGCTAACGCCTTATGCTAAGTCCCCAACGCTGTGATAATTCCGGGGGGTTACACCTGGAAATTGCTGTTGCCGCAAATTTTTCATTGAAAAAGCTTCTTTGTCGTCTTTTTTGTCATCAATGAAAGACTTGTAACGTGTACTTCGACCAACTCCATCTTCGTGGAGAACTTGGCGAAAATCCGGGAGATACTGAGAGGAACGTGGAGATTCTGTAAATATGCCATCGCCCACACTAGCTGAAACTTTCCCGTTACCAAACCAGCTTTTACGCTTTTGAGGTGCAACGGTCCAAGGCATAATTACATTGCCATTCCCACTGAAATCTGAAGTTTCAGGTTCTTTGATTGTTGGCATGCCTACCCTCATAACAAGGAAATCTTCGGAACCGGAATTAGAGGAACTTGTATTACTGTCGCAGGAACGGCTGGAGGAGGCGCCAGTTTCCACTTTCAAAGATGTTGTTCGAGAGTCGTGGAGATCATTTATTCGACGCGTACGAGATTTCCTCTTATTTTTGCCTCCTCTTCTCGCGAGAGTCTTGTCTTCACTTGAACCAATTCTTCCTAACGAAGGCAGAGATGCCACCAGCCTCTCTGTGACACCATCTTTCTTGGGCTTTCCTTTTCTTTGGCATTCATACAACTAGAAAAGATTAGGAGAGTAACTTGAACGTTCAAAATTAATACACAAGTATTATGCCAGTATTTTTCTCTGACATACTTTTTTATGATAGAGAGCAATAGACTTATAAAGTAATAAGGTGTCCATCCACCACCTTCACCCTCCCTCCCCCTCCCCCTTACTCAGAAGATTCCTGTACTCTTCATGAACGACTGAGGTAGTCTTTCAACTACCACTGAAGGACGCCGAACCGCCTTACCAACAAACGAACGAAAACGAATTAGTGAAAGAGGGAAAGATAAAACGGACAGACAATTGGATACGCAACTGTAAGACAGATGGACTGATGGAAAGGCAGACAGACAGACAGTCAGTCGGATAGAAGAGTGGATATATTGAGCAATTATTGGACGAGGTTAAGCATGAGAATTTCGATATACATCTTTACAACAGTCTGCAAAAGAAGACACTTTGTGAGTTTGCAAAACTTTAAGACCACTACACGGAAAAGGGGCTCGGAAGCTAGGCAAACTTTGAACTCGACCCAAGATCTACTGCAGATATTGGGTTCTCATGTCAACTTCACACGCTATTGTATATTGACTGAATGCTCTCCACCTATCAGAGTTTCATAGTAAGTCTTATGTGTAATGATGAAAAATATATGGACGCTGAACAGATGGAAGGCTGCATAGAAGATGGACTGACAGTCAGATGGGCGGTCGGGTGTGGGAATAAATGGAACCGAGACAAAAAAAGAAATGAATAAATTATCATTTCCAGTAGATTTTGGGATTTCTTACATTTTAAGGCTCGTTACCTGTCTTTCGATAATGGGAACTGGTAAGGCTAGAAGAAGTACCCCCATCAAAGCACAAGCTGCTCCTAGAAGCTTCCCACTGACCGTGCAGGGAACGATATCACCATAACTAAAACATAAAAAGATATATGTTCTCAGTGATTGCGGTTCGTTAAGTATGCCGCCATGAAAGAATGTGCCAAACATTGTCCTAAAAATCTGGAATTGACGAGACTGATTTCCGCAAAGGAAAATTTTAACTCCTACCTTTAATAAAAGTTTGAAACATTCCCCTGAGTTCCATTAAGTGACTTCTTTGATTTATTTTAATCATATTTCAACACTTGACTACTCGTTTATGGCGTATGATTACTCACCCTAGCGTTGTCATGGTGACCAAAGTGTACCAGAAAGCTGCCGGAATACTTTTAAATTTTGTTCCTTTCTGTTCACGTTCAAAATAGTACATGATAGACGAAAATGTTATCATCAATGCTAGAAACGAGAAAAGAATTCCTCCAAGCTCCATTGCAGCGCCCTGTATTGAACGTAGGAGATTTTGAAACCTTTCAGAATACCTGGCCAGCTTAGTCACTCGAAAGACTCTAAACATGCGAAAGACCGTAACAACAAACCCCAGCACTGCATTGTTAGACTTGACCGCCCTTTCAACCACCGCAATGTAGTAAGGAATTATTCCCAGCAGATCAATTATATTCGATGGATCTCTCGCAAAGTCTAGTCTGTAGGGGGCAGCATACAAGCGCGCTATAAACTCAATTGTGAAAATTGCAACGCAAAAAGAATCCAGTCCAAAAAATATATTTCTGTGTGCCTTTCCATTCGTCTGATCTGACTCGGATGGCACTGTTTCCGCTACGATAGCAGAGATGTTCAGAAGCACTACTGCTCCAAAGAGAAACCCGAATGCCTTTGATTTTTTCGAACTCTTGCTATTGGTCAAGAGCTGCCACAATTTCTCACGGGCTGTCCACGAGTCGCGGTCTTTTTGAGGGAGTTTACTTTCCATGGTTTCTATTTGTTTCTTCTTTTCTTGTTCCTCGTCTTCTTGAATAATGTGCTCACAGCAACAATCGAACACGGAATGTTGTGGGATACCAAAGTACTTCAACTCATCCAACACAGCTTCCATACAACACACAGTTGGCGCAGGCGAGTGAAAATTTCCATGTCGATAAAAGTCGGCTATGTTCTTGAAAATAACTGGATCGCGGTCGAAAAAGTATTCCTTCCTCTCCGCATCATAGAAAATATTTTTCCTCTCGCTGCCAAGAAGCGTGTCGGGAAACTTTTCCAAGTTTTTTTTTGCAAGTTCATATTTCGTTCCCCCTACGTTCACAGTTATTCTCTCTTCCTTTGGCGTGATTGCATTTTGCAGCGACGAAGTGCTACAAGAAGCCAGCACGTGAGCTGAATTGATCAAAATACGTCGGATTATGGGTCCATGATGAACTGTATTTCCCTTTTCCCGTCCGCTAAGTTTTTGTCGGCTCATCTTGACTTTGCCGAGATGAATCAGTTTATGTACTACAAGGGATCTTTGAATTCTCTTATTTTCTTGCCTGTCCATTAAATCTTTATGAAACGAAACTTGTAGAACAACGAATTGTTTTTATATAGAAGATATGTCTTCTTGAAAAAATTATGATGTTTTTTATCGTCGGTGTTCTCCGGGTGCCCTTTATCGGTAATCTTGGCTTTTAATGCAACCTTGTGTTTTAAAAATGTATTAACTCCTTAAACACTTTTACGAACAGTGATTGGCTTGTGTACAAGTATGTAAGAACAAAGCAATAGGTATTTCTCGTCTCTGGAAAACACGCCGAAATGCAAATAGAACGACACAAAACTAAATGATTAATATTTCTGTCTTGACACATGTTTATCGATTTTATTGATGATGACTTAAACCGCAACAGGCCTACACAAGCAACGAGGAAATGTTCAAATGCACCGTTTGCTTGAAAAAAGAATGTGGTGGAATGGCCAACTTATTCGAAAACTGGTCAGAAAAGATCATTAGAGCTTTCATACTCTTCAGTAATATCATTTTTAAAATTGGGCTTTTACACATTTCAATGAGAACCTTACTTTACATCCGTGAGTTCTTCATCGCCAGATTAGCTAAGTAATCTTCAAGTTCTTAAAACTTATTAATGTTACAGCTAATGAGAGTTCAACATATTTGAAATGGACTGAAAGACTAGCTGATGCTACATATTATCCCTTACAATATTTTCAACTCTAAAAGAAACTGGAACCTTTTAGGTCAACTGAGCTCCGATCTTGACTCCTTGCATGAATATTGATGTAGCCAGCTGGTGTTCAAAAACGTATAAATTGTCAGTTTTGCTCGAGATCTTCCTCCAAAGTGGATTGTTTTAAATCAGTTTTACCACGACGATGTTTATGCTAGTTTCACTCAAATGTTCAAGTTTGGCTTCAGGCAAACATGCTGTGAAAGTTTTATTATTCAGTGCAATCTGTTGACCGCAGTGTGATGTTTTGGTTTTCCAGTTGGTGTGATGATAACGAGAGAAACATCGGCACGAATTAATTAAATCATTTAGCATTTTTGGTCATGATTTCCAGATGGTCATAATTTTAAATGAATATTGATTTAAGATGAAAATCTTACTCATATTACATACAGTAAGTTCCAAAGACAGCTAACAAAAAACGAGTTCCCGAATGTTCCCTGCCGCTGGAAATTCGAAATACTGAAGATGAAGGTAAGAGAATGTGATAAAAGAAGAGACTCGGATCTTTCATGTTCGCCTTGCCTATGGTGCAGTTATATCATTAAAATTTAACGTGCACTTCAAAAATCTTTTGCAATATGGATGAAAACTCTTTTGGCTGACACATCTCAGCCGAGCATATTGAAATTTAATTCACGATCAGTTTTTCAAATCAACTGAAATATTTATACTTGTAGATTCATAGCAAAACTTGATTGTTTCGTTTTTTACTAAAAAAAGAGGTTTACGTAAGGAGTTGTGTATAATTTATAAACTATTTGAAGCAAATTAACTCACGAGGATAATTAAGTGTAATGTCGAATAACAGTTGGGCAGGAGCTGTCCTTACCATTATTAGCCACTAATTCACTTAATTCATATGTTTCATCGCGAATTAGAAGTCGACAAGAGCAGAGAACCCCAGACAATGACATGTAGGGAAGAGAAATTTCAGTATGAATATTACTGTGTAACACATGGCCAATGTAATACAGCAAATTGCAAGAGTTCGTTAACATGTGTAAACATAGATTTAGAGATAGAGATGACAAGTATCTTGCGTGTCACCCTTGCAGTGCCACTAATGGGTCTCCACGGACAATAAAATGTTGTGCATTACCGGTTGGTGCTATTTCGACGAAAGGTATGCATGCTACACGAGCCTGTGCGTTTATATCTCCTTTTACCTAAGTGTAAACCCTCGTTAATCAAGGCTTGAGTTGCTTTAGATTTCTTATCATACAACAAACGATTTTCACTTTCTTACGGGGATATTTACGCTTGTCGACTCTCTCAAGCGCAAAGGGGGCCCCTATGAATGCCAGCCTTCGAGATAAATGGGTTTTCATTGAATTTCAACTTTTACCTAACTTCATTTTACTTTAATCCCTCCGTTTATTTCCTGTTACCATCGCAGCCTGAGATTAAGTAAAGTGTTACTGAGTGGAATTTATTGTAGCATAGATTCTGCCTTTTTGTCTTATCAGGAACAAAAAAAAAAAAAAACCGATTATTTACCTTTTCAAGCGATTTTCTCCAGTCCTCTTTACTACTTACACTTTTCATCGGCATTCATCAAACGCACCATCTGAGAGATGAGGGGGCGTTTGTTGCAAGCTGTTCACGTTATGTGCTATCCTTAAGTTAAACATGAAGCCTAGCCGACAGCTCTCTGCCAAAAACATTTATTTCATGTTATTAACAACTGAGCTGTGTTTGATATTTATTTGTTGCGAAAGTATGCGGATATCAGTTAGAATACTGCAACTCATTTTATTCATTTTTCATATTTCTTTTTTTTGTTTTCAAGATTTTAAAGAGTTAGGATAAAGGATTCATCGAGTCCTTTTCATCTTTCTATATTCTGGAATCAGAGAACACGATAATAACATTTCGAAAAATTTCCTGTTCCGAATTTTACTAGAGGGTCTCAATCGGGTGACGGCTTTCACGGCTGACGGTTAAAAATTTTGGCAAGTTTATGACTGACGGTTTATATCATTCCATTGTTTTCACCAGAAATTTTTTACGGTTAACTTTTCTTACGACTTACGTTTAAAATTTATCAATTTTTTACGCCTAAAGGTTAAACTCTTCGGCCGTTTTACGGCTATAGGTTGAACCCATTGAGAGCCTCTGATACTAACTCTGTATCTATGATTCAGAGTCAACTTTCATGGTCGAACCTCAAATATCACTTTTATTTTCGCAATTGCAACGAGTTATCAACGATCAATAACGAATTGTCAGCCTGTGAAAAGCTGCAGAGCGTGCGGCTTTCTCAAAACCCATTCCCAAATGTTTTCAACATTATTACCACGTGCCCTCTATTTGCAAATTTCCTGTGACTATAAATATCGCAAGGCTGTAGGAGCACTCTGAACTCTTTGTCTTTTGAACAGCGGCACACGTACCGTAAAGGACACAAGCTTTGGTTTATCAGCGCAGTATTTTAACACAAAACGCACTTCAGACTGATCCAGTTCCCAGTTGTATATGAAAATCTCATCCAAGAGGCCACCAAAATTTTTGCCATCAGGTAGATGACCCCCTATTAAAATGCGACCCCAAGAATCGGAAAGCTTTGGTTTTCGGGGATTGCCATAAGTTCCTTTCAGCAAACCGTTCACGTAAATCTTTGCGTCACCGGATTCTGAACTGTACGTGGCAGTCACGTGACTCCAGAGCCCTTCAGGTATGGCGACATCGTCAGTTTTGACGTCAAACGCTACGTCACCGTTTGAGGTTTTGTGTCGCCAGTGAAGTTTTCCGTTTACTACCTCCAAGTTGTAAATGTCGTGCCATTCGTCGTTGTATTTGTTACTCACGGCCTGGAATATAGAATGACGTCCCTTGGTTCGGTTCAAACTGATCCAGGATGCGATCGAAATAGCCGTAGTAGGTTTGTGGTGAAAGTTTCTCCCATCCAGGTACACACTTGGCATTTTATCGTTGGATGCGTCTAAACATGCGCCGCATTTGTCACAACCACTGTTTAAGATGTGTGCTCCTGAAATTAGGATTGAAACCATAGCCACTCTTAAATCTGTATATGGGTGTTACTCTATATAATATGACCCACTGAAATAACATCAGGGGCCTAACGAAGAGGCCAGTGCGTTCATGAAACGTTACGAGTGACTCATAAATACTATTGTTTGAACAGATTTCAGTTGCCTTGTTGGTGTACCAAAACATCAATATGAAGGGGCGACGCTCGTCGATTATAAGATAATGTTCTTCCTTAAATTCAGTTTCAAAATTCTTAGATATCAATGTATGTTGCTACTTTTGAACAGATCAGCCTCACCCACGGCCCGCTGCACATTATAAGATAATGTTCTTCCTTAAATTCAGTTTCAAAATTCTTAGATATCAATGTATGTTGCTACTTTTGAATTGCGTGCATTTGGTTGCCCCGCATGCCTTATGGCAGAGTACGTGGAAATTAGATTGACACTGAAGGGTATTTTTCTGCAATAGTTCGATGATGTGTTGATCCGTCAAAGTAAGGATCAGGGAAAGTTCGTATGCTGTGTTGCGAAACAGAGGTTTTCAAATGCACCCTATTACAGCTGTACAACACTTTACAATTAAATTTCGCGAGACAAGTACCAGAGTTAAATATATAATAACAGCAAATCAGATCGTAGGAAAATATCACAAAAAGCCAATAAGAATTCAAAGTTCACCGCGCAAACTTCTTAAAGTGCATGAAAACGCGAGGGACCAATTCGGTTTTATTCTTGCATCTGATTGGTTGAAGGGTCAGCGGAAATTTCCTTAACTAATCAAAACTAAAGAAATCCGCTGTTCTCTCGACACCCAAAACAAAATTTCTCCATCTCTTACCTCCCTCCAGAGTAGCATTGTTATCCAGACCTGACTGATCCATTACCTGGTGAGTAGACACGTTCGCTTTTTGGAATCCGTAGTGCAGGACCATTCGATTAAACTCGCACTTTTTATAGAGCATTTTAACTTCTGCTGGGGTTATAACTCGATCAAACATGAAAACATCATCTAGAAAGGAGATGAACTTATCGCCAAATTTCTGTCCTATTCCCGTGGCCGTAAAATCGTCAGGCAGACCTTTATTTTTCTTGCCGACTGTTTCAGAAATCAATTTACCATTTACATAAACTCTTGCAACTCCATCCTTAGAGTCAAAAGTTCCTGCCAGGTGAATCCACTGATTCTTTGGAACTTTCACCATTTTCTTGGCACTGTCCTTTTCCTTACCGTCGTCGACATCAAACCATCGAACGAGACCAGGCTTTCGAGACTTAATCCACATGGCTATGGAAGCTGCTTTGGTCGGTTTCCTGGTGAAGTGGTTAGCTTTGTACAATACTTCACCGTGTTTAAGATCAGCAACACGACCACACGAGCCTGAAAATCACAAATGTGTGATCAAATGTGCTCTGATCACCGTGTTCATCACTTTTGATCACAGAAACAACTATACTATAGCCGGCTCAGTAAGAAAACGTTGCGCACCAGTAGCGCAGAGGGGGCAGGCAAAAGGAAGCAGGTTAAGACTGTCTACGGGAACGATACGCCCTATAGCTTCCTCTGTTTTTCGCTCGGCGCTACTATCACTCACCGTTTTCACAGAAATTAACATTACTTTGTATTCCCATACCCATTGTCCGGTTTGATATTTCAGCTCCGTTGGCAAGATCAGCGTCGTTTGTATTCCCAGACTGATCATGTACAACGTTATCGTCAGGCTTGACAGGCTTCCCGTCAAAATTCAAGTGCATAACAGCACTTCTAGCTGAGAAAAAAATATATTAAGCAAATGAAATGATTAATTGGTGTAGCTTTGAAACCTCTTTTATCCACACAGCTCTTAGATGTAGCTGCATATTTCAGTTACTAATTAGCTATTAGATTCTGACTTAAAGGTCACTCCTCTAAAGTACAACCTGCACCGAGATGATTTTTGTCAAACTTTAACTATTGGTTGTTTATCTTACAGGAACACAAATTTTGAAATAAGAAAAGGGGATCCTCGTGATCTTTTAGGAGTACCTTCTAGATACCCATATAATTCCTATAATATCATAACAGTTTTATTTATGAGTGCTTGCTAAATTCGCGTTTCCGAAAGTTGAATTCCTTCTCCTACACTGAGAATTGGTTTATGTTTATTTTACGGGAAAAAAGTCAATGCTCATTTCCAAAAAATAGGAAAAAAAGATGGGTCAAAATTCTCGTTTGCATGAGAATGACGCTTTACCTCTCTGGCCAGCTCTGACCAGTTAGAAAAAGCCAAGAAATTATGCGCACTAAGGATGAGCAAAGCAGTACTACGTAAGGACCTTAAATCAGAAAGATAGACCCACCCAGTTTCCTGATTATTTCTTCTCTCATGGATGATGAAGGTGGCCCTGGCGCTGAAAAATTATTGCATGGTTTGTTACTTGCGACGCAAGCTCTATATCTCTGATAGGTTATAAAATATCGATGCTTACTAACTCTCTATTTTTTAACAAAATTCGACGTCATTTCCTGTATATGACTGAGCCCATAAACGGCTCCCAGCGCAATGCTGAAAGAAGAGCCGACGAGAAAGCTAAGTTTGCAATTGTGAGTCCATTCCCTAAATACTCTCCGTCTTCAAGCTTGCTCCTGTCTTTTTTTTATTAGGAAGTACTTTTCGACTAAAGTAATCACAACGGGTAATCGGGACAAAAGTAAATTTAAAGGGGCAATACAGCTCAAAGTAAACCAAGAAAAATACTTGAGAAAAAGCGCGAGAAAACGCGACTGACTAAGCCGCCATTAGTCTTATTTTTGGCCCAAAAACCGGTGTGAGTTATTTTTTATACCAATTACAAAGCGTTTAGCAGAAACAAGGCGATCCAGAATTAATTTTGACAGTTAACTCAAAAGTGCTCTGACTTATGGCGGGGAGAAGTTGCCCCGAGGAATTTTTTTAAAATTACAACGGTAATGATCATATCCAACATACTTGGCTTGGGTGCGGACACTGAGGAGGTAGTTGAAGGGAAAACACTTGGAGTTTCTTCACTTGGAGATTCTACGGAATAAAATATCGACTAACATTTCTGTTCAGGTGAAAATATCTCTTAGATAAAGAGAATCACGGGCGTTGTTTTAATTCAATGCGTGACGATAATAAAACCACTTTGAAGTAAATTGAATGAGATGACGTTATACGAAGGTGCGTTTTCCAGAATAATCGAAGTTAGACGAGGTAGCCCCGGTAACTGATTCTTAAAGTTGGCAAAATCAGATACGGAAAAAAAAGTGCTGTATAGTCTATGTTGAGGGTTACCCAATCGTGTACAATCTTCTGTTTTCTTGCTCTCTTATTATCACTGACAAATCTCTAGTGAATAATTCGCTCATTATGAGTGGAAGGCTGTAAAACTTTGTGCATGGGCAAGTTCCAAAAATCTGACCATGAGATATAATTAGATCGAGATTTGTTAAATCTCATAGCCACTGCACTTATCAGACTTTGTACCATTCTAGGAGTTAAACGATAGATTTTAGAACAAACCTTCCAAACCATCCTGAAGTTCCTCGTTCCTTTCAGTCTTGTCATTTGAGGTGTTTGCTTCAGATTGATGATCCTGTTCGCCATCTTCAGATGAGTCTGTGTCTGGTTCAACTGTGTCAGTATCGCTGACTGGTACACCTTTTTCTGATTCCATTGTTTTGGTGTTTTCACTGGCATCGTCACCTTCTTCATCGTCTGAACTGGGTCTAGTGTACTTCAGGGAATGGTGGTGTTTGTGATGGGGAGTCTGGTACGAGTCTTCTTTTATAGCATTTTCAGTCGTTTCATCTGCGCGTTATGACATAAATCATACATTTGTGTGTAAATAAATGAGGGAAAAAGTCAATAACTGCAATGATGCATGTAACAGTACAAATGTATTTGATGTCAATTCATCCGGGATACTCCAAAAATCATCTGTCTGCGAAATAGCTTTTACTCGTCCAAAAGAGATGAATTAAACTCACTGTTCCCCGTTGATCGACCAAAGTTTACATAAATTGTAACAAAACAGGCAAAAAGTTTTAAAATCAAATTAACGCTCTGTTGATAGGCCTCAAAGACCTAATAGACTTTCATTAAGATCAAGGAAGAAATTTTAACAACATCTAATGGTGATATCTCTTGCGTAGTTCTAAAAATCCTCTTTGCATTCTGCCGATGAGTTTTGCTCATTGTGAAGAAGTGGAACGGCCCATGTCATCTTTGGCTTTGATGAAAGTGTACTTTCCTACTCCCAAAAGAAACATTTTATTATAATTGCAAACTAGTTTACGACACTGTGACTGTAGAATGACAGTGAAATGAATTCATGAAATTAATATTTTTTATCCGCACCTGCAGGGTGAGCTCCAACATCGTTTAACTCTTCATCTATTCCTTCATTATGTCCAATGATTTCTTTTCCATTCAGTTGGTCAACAGTGTCCTCATCAACCCAATGTTCGCTCTGTAAAGGTCTGGGACGGTAATGTCTTCTACCTCCTGAGCCGTACCTCAGTTTAGAAGTGGAATGCGATTCGTCAATTCCATCTGAATATTCTGAAAAATCAAGTTAAGGAAACTGAAAATGTTTACGTTTTGTCACAACTCAGTTCTTTAAGGTATATTTTCAACAGGGACAATGATTTATCAGTAATATCATTATCATTTCAGTTCCTACCGTACCTAAGGTGTGATGTAATCGGTGTTCTCTACTACCGTGTGCACCCATACCATCAATATCCTCGTCCTCGTTATAGCCGTTGTCTAATCCCCACATTTTCTTGTCATTTTCGTAGGCGAACTTGTCGTACTTCGGTTCTTCTGGCAACTGATCATCCTCTGGAGTAAATTCATTTCTAGCGGGATCACCTCGAGTAATCATGAGGATACTGATTGTTATCCAAATTTTCATAAATTTGTGAAGAGATCACCGTTGAGTAAAGCTGAATCTAGACGCTTCCGGATAACTCACAACACTCGCCTGAAAATTGATTATTTCTCTCATGACACACGAGTCAGCTATTTCCAACAGCAAAAGAACCCTGAGCTGAAGACACTGTACTTTTTCCGGGATTGCAAATGAGTCAGTCGGACTGATAAAGTTAAGAAAATCAGATTACATTTAAAACTTACTTTGACTTCTAATAATATCATCTGACAGATGTGACCTAGAATTGACATCCTCAAAGTCTTTGTACACCTGACTTGCGGTCAAAAAACTTGGAATCTTTTGCGGCGCCGCCATGGGAACATTGACGGTCACGGGTGACAGGTCTTGACCAAAAGAGTTCATGGGCTCGTTCGGTGCGAAGCCGCTTCTTGTTTGAGAAACCCGCTGAGGCAAGATGTGTTGAATGGGAGTCAAACCTAAAGTGCTGCTGAGTTGCTGTAGTGAGGGTTGAGGTGGTGCACGAAAGGAGATTCCAGAGTCTGGAAACGGCTGCTGAGGTGCAAATAGAGTTTGAGGGATTTGGTCGTTGAACGCTTGTTGCAGAGGAAATTGAGAACGGGCGTCTATGAAAAAAAAAAGAAAAAGAGCACTGATCTTTAAATCTCTTCAATGTATATAGCAATGCTGGTTCAGCAGCCGATTTCGTTGCCTGAAAGCGGTAGGAAAGATATTCACTGGTGTATCACCGACTTTCCTAAAGCAGGTCGCTGTCCATCGGTACTTTGGTGGTTTCTTTCGATACTGGTTTAGTTTTTCGTTTATCTTTAGCAAGGTTTCTCGATCGTTTTAATGAGTCAATTAGCACCTTCGTTGCCATCCTAAATACAATCAGCAATACTTACATTATGGTTGTGGTAAATTCCATGGAATAAGGAAAGTGTAAGTTACTTCTTATGGTGGGGATAATTGTCAGCAACATACTCGTAGCCGTTAAAATTCGCTAGCGACGATTGACCTATACACACATTTTCCGAGGTTTCATGAGACAGAGTTGATTTTTTTGCAGGAAAGTCTCCCATGTACAGGCATGAACCCCCGAGGATGAACATAGTAGCTAATGCTTACACCTGAAATGAGGGCGAAACCGAAACTTTAGGTAACACATTTAATGTTCACATCTGCTTTAAAAAAGGGGTTAAGAGTTTACCTGGTTGTCCTAACAATGAAAGTTGATCCATTGCTTGAGGAGCAGGGGCAAACTGTGGTAAGAAACCCGGTAAAGACTGCGTTGGTAAATATTGTGGAACTGGTTGCTGCAGCTGTGGCAAAGTGGGTAGAAAGGGTGGGTCAGGAAGTTGTCCAGGAAATAACGATTGCTCAAATTGTTGTGGATTTCCATTCCCTTGGAGGAGTGGCAATGGGAGTAATAATTGTCTTCGTTCTCTGGGGTGATTTGGTGACAGGCCTGACACAGGATTTTTTGAGACGTGAAATCTACTGTTCCCTAGGTAATTCTGACTTTCTGGCCTTGCCTTCTCCTGTAAGGGAGACACTAAGGATTCTGCCCGGCCCTTGTCAACTGCTGTCATCTCATGTGAGGATGATCTTTGTTTAGTAGAATTAATCTTTGGTTTTTTTCTTTCCCGATTGTTTTTTACATCATTATCTTTCTCAAACACGTTGTTCTTCAGTTTCACATAATCACTTTCAGAGGGTAGAAATCTCTCCTTAGTTAAAATGGCCGGTTTGGACAGCACAGCCCCGGTTGGCACAGCTAGAGATGGAATAAATCCAGGCTGTTTTTTTAGATTTTCAGAGTTCTTTGTAGCTGCTACTTTTTCAAACGTCGATTTTATCACCTTCTTTGTGTGTGACGAAAGTGATGCTTTTTCCCTATTTTTAGTTAATATTCTGCTTCCGCCAATTGTATCTTTCTGGGCTGAATCCTTCGGTGGGCTAGGAACCATTCCACCCTGCGTTGGTTCAATGGCTGGAGGGCCGGTAGGTTCTAGTTTAGCATTAGTTTTTGGCTGAATTATTCCCATTTGGGTTGGCTCAATTGGAGCAGCGGTTGCTTCTGTCGGTTGTATGCTATTTGCTTGGACCTGTGGCAAGGGGCTTGATTTAGATGGAGGAGAAGTGGAGCCTAGTGAGTCCTTAAACTCACTCCCAAGTGGTGAGAAAATATGCGCAGGCAGAAGTTTGGCACCAGCTTCTGTTAGATACCTGTAACCTGGTGCTTCCTTACCTGATAGCTTTCTCGATCTTGTCAAGAGCATGTCCGATGCCGAAGACAGGTACCCCCGTATGTGAGAACCTTGTTTTACCGTGGATCTCTCCCTAGACTTAGCTGAATGCAACAAAGACATAAGGAGGGCCTTTTGAATTTTACGTTGCATTTCTGGGGAGAGTTTGTTCGACCCAATCATATTTTTAGTACCTAGCTTAATTGAAGTCAGAGAGTTGTTATCGTGAACTGTTCGATTCCTGGAAAGCAAAGATGACAATGATGACAATGATGACAAATGCTCTGATTGATGAAGAAACGAAGCCTTCGACGCGGATGGATTCTTTTCATCAATTTCAAACGGTGCTTTGAAGACCGATAGTTCTGGATAAAGACTTTGTAAATAATCGGCTGCCGTATATTCTTTCGTTGATGATTGGTCGTTCTTAGAAGAAGCCTCAGTAGTATTTTCCTGAGCTATTGTGGCGTTGGAAAACCATTCGTTGTTTGAATCTGAAGTAGACGAATTCGCCTCTAGGGAATCATTTTTCACAAAGGATGGCATCATTTTAAGCGATGGTGTCACTAAATCGTGTCCGTGGTGTTTTGTTGAGTTTGTGATCAATATTGATGAGTCGTCACTGGGAATTTTATTAACTGTTTTTGCGGACGACAAAAATGATGCTTGTGAAGAAAACGATGGGTCTTGTTTATTCGAGCTAGGTGGTAGGACCTGGTCTGAAACAAAATCACTATGGTTTACATGCTTGGAAGGCTTTTCTTGATATAAGGCAGCGTGAATTAGTTCGTCCGAAATGAGATTATTATGGGTGACCTGCTTGGAGGGGTTTTCTTTTAGAACCGGTTTGTTGTTCAAGTCGACGTTAGCCATTTGGTGTGAAGTTGCCAGACCCTCGCTGACAGCTTGTCTTGGAGATGAAAGTGCTGTATCTGTAAATTGAACAGTTATCAGTCCAACAATCTGGCTGAGCCATTGTAAGACGAATCAATTTTTACTTGTCGAACAAACATTTATTGGTGGCTGCTTGAAGACTGCGAGGCAGGCAAACAGCAGTACAACCAGATGGACAGAATTATATACAGACAGACAAACAGGTTGACAGACAGCAATACGATTTTCTCGCGGTTTGAGAAGAAACTCATCTCTGTTGCATCAAGAAAAGCGTGAAACTCCAGCATAACTTGCACGATGATCGCAAACTACGAAGCAAAAGAACATTGCAGGAAAATGGTCCTGAACTTACCTTGTGACCACGAATCTTTGATAATCGCTTTAGCGATGTCATTCTCACTCTCGAGGAGGGGTTGGATTGTTTTTAAGTCTTCCCTTGTTGGTCCATTGTCTGCGAATTGCTTTGAATCCAAATAAGGTGGTGTTTCTTGGCTCTCGTTGGGTTCAAAATAATCCACCTTATTCGCGTTAGAGGGCGAGTTGTGTGTTTCATATTGACTTTGTAGAAATGACAGACTTGTGGAGGTGAGTTGATCTCGGTTTGTAGCATCGTCAAACATTTCGTTTGTGGCAATAGGCACTGCAGGTGAGGACATAAGCTGATTCTGCTGCCCAGTGAAGCTTCCTTCAGGAGACTGATTTATTTGGTTGTCGTAGAATGGAAGCGAGGACTGTTGCGACTGTTGCGCCACCGGCTCTTGTGATAACGAACCAGTCCATTGTGACTGAGGAATTTCGTTTGCGGCGAGAAAGGGAAATTGATATCGTTTGGTCTTTCCTAGAGGGAAAAATATGCTTTTATAAATTAAAATTTTCACACGAGGCAAGAAACAATAATCCTTGCCTTTTCTTTATCAAGGGTGTACGATTTCTTAGCCTAAACGGTGGGGGTTGCGGGTGGTGGTTGTCTCAAGTGGTTGGCTAAGGAACTATTCTCGTAGGTATTAAATTTGAAATTTCCAACTCCAAAGCCAAGATTATCTAATGCTCTTGTAACCAAAATCAATGGTCACACATCGCAATAATAACTGGGGCCTAAATTACTGCATCTGCAACTAAAAATTGAGTAAGAAATGAGTAGATAAGCAGCAACCTTCTTCGTACTCTTTTTGCTTCTCTTTCATGGCGTTTGATGGTAGAATCACAGGCGCAGGAGCTATGAGCGGAGCAGGCGCAATGGCCTCCACCGGGGGAACGGCTCCTGCGTCAGGAACCAACCCAGAGGGTAAAACAACGGGAGCGGGAATATCGCTGGTGTATTCCGGTAGCAAGGATGTATAGGAGTATAGCTGTCGTCTGTTTAGACCTTGTAAAGAAAAGTGCAAGATTGTTGCATGCAGGGATCGATGTGGGGAAGACGTGAACTAAGAACTAGTCTTACAAAAGGCGTTATTTTTCTTTCCGCTAAAAGAGAAAGAAATCTGGTGATGATCATTCCACTCTCCTGTAATAAGTTCTATCGCTTTAGTCGCGCTCATTAAACCCTGAGCTCGATCCAAACGCCCCAAAAAGTTTCCTGAAAACGCTATAGTTTCCAGAAATTGAAACTCGATGTTGATTGGCCATGGTAAGGCCTATGCGGTATAGCAGTCATTGGTCGCAACTAACGGTTCAGTCTCACGATACTAAGTGTGATTCAAACCTTGTTCAAAGCAAGGAAAAAAGAAGTTGAAAAATGATGTAAAGCTTACCTTCACGTTTATGATTTTCTGATCGACAGAAAACGCCGGTAGCCAAGAACAAAGTGAACAAGGTAATCCGCCAAGGGAATCCCTCCATCGGTGCAAGAAACTCACTTGATAGTGTTTACTATATGGGGAGCAACCGTATGTTTCATGGAAAGTCTCAATACTTAGACCTTCTAAAAAGTACACATAAGACATAAGGTAGTTTTCAGTGTGCACCAGAAGGCGCGTCGCTCTAACTTAATGGTTTCTGAGTATTTCGCATTCAGGATGCGATTTATGGTGACTGACTGAGATAGAAAATGAATTCAATTTTTCAGAATGGATACTGACTGAGTAAAGTTCTATTTCCATTTTTGGAGTACACATGTAGCATGTATGACGAGAATTACTAGATAATATCACGCCTTTAGAAGCTGAATGCTCGAGTATAGTATGCCTCCAAGTTTGACATCTGTTTTTGTTCTGTCTTTAAAAGAATGTGGTGCTTCATCAATCCCCAGGCTCTCTAGTGTAGAGGTGGCTTTCTTTCAGGTAAGTAGGGGTTGAACGGTAGCTCCATCGACGCGCGTGAAGTCAAGATCATCATTTGCGGCTAGATCAATTCCCTGCAGCGCCGCTTGAATTTACATTTGACCTCATATAGTGGGCCAAGAATTATAGGCTACTAAGCCCACCTGTGACTCGTTTATAATTTACCCGGTCGGAGAAAAAACCACCGTCTGCGAAAAATAACTGAAGCTAGTTCAGATTAAACGATTTTCACGGAAATCATTTCAGCCTGATGATGGTTTGTTAAATCTCAGACATGAATTTACCGGACACCTTTAAAAAATATATATTTAAGCCTCAGTTGAATTCCAAAAACTGACAAACTTGAATCAAAAATATTGCAAAAAAACATCATTTGTGTCGAGTCTCGAGGGATGCTATTCTGACCAAATTGTTCGACAGTTTTAGGCCAAGCGGTTCAAAATCCATCTAACAACAGGTAGTTTGATTCACTGGTAACCCAAACAAATTCGACAGTCAAAACAACATGAAAAGTTGCTATAAATTAAAGATAACTCTTAAAAAAAATTCAGATCACTTACAATAAATTCGAGTTTCCACCATATTCTACCTTAAATTCCAACGCGTTGTGTGTTGGTAAGGCTTTACGCAGTCGCCATTTTGACCTTTTCAAGGATGTGTTCATTACATCACCATGCATTTCACTTATTCATTTAGTCGCGCTCGGCCGAGTTCCCATCTTTGTTTTCATTGGATCGATTAAAAGCAGAACCTGCTGGTAGACTCATTTACCGTCAGAGCGCGGCAGATATATTAAGTTGAGGAAATTGTTACTTTATAAGAATTAAAGGGTACATGGGGCTGGTTATCATGCTGATAAATCAACCACAATCTTTTTCAGAAGCATGGTAAAATTATTTCAAAAACAACAGTCTGATCAGCAAATTATTGATAAAGAGGGAGGATTATTTCAACAAATTAAGATTATGATGCAGTTAGAAATCAAGAAAAGGCCAGAATAAAAATGTTATTATCGTTAGGAGTTGTTGCACTTAATACATAATCCTAAGGACCAAAGTCTCGGTGTGCGAAGATTATGGCATGCAGACGTTTCCTGCCAGTCAAAATCCAAGTTAAAAACAGCTCAGTCGCGTTGAGCTTTAGCAACTGTGAAATATCTCAGAGGAATTTTTCTTTCTTCAGCATCAGCATGTGCACTGTTACCATCTGTAAGCATCGTGATCATCACCGTATTATTCAAATCATTATCAGCATCATCATTCTTATTCTCAGTGGTGATAGTCAGTCTCATATCAGTGCCTTATAAAGTCTTTTTGTGACCCTGTACAGGTTAAGAGTTAAACCATACTTTGATGAGGTGTTGAAAGGCCGGGAGGATCTCCAAAGACTGGAATCGATGTTGTTTCCAGTCCTAAACGATCTTGTAGCATTGACAGCCTTTGCATTCTCACGTGTGAACTAATCCAAATCGTGTCACACAAAAATTATTATTATTATTTTTCAAAGAGTATTTCGAACATTGTGAATAATTTGGCCATTTTGAAACGATAATCTTTTTACTGTGATCAATCAAACTCAACAACTGCTAGCTGTGCTGGTTCGCGAAATGCCCACTTGAAACTTGTACTACGTCAAAAATGGATCCAAAGTTGGAAGAAGTATTTAAGAAGTGGGAGGCCCATAGTTCTGGCCCTTCTCGAGTAGCAAATAATGAAGAATCACAACGTCAGAGAGAAGAAAGGCAGAGAGAATTCCGTGATAATTTGGAAGCACCGTTCCGAAAACCCTCAAGGCACAGGCCAAAGAAGCGAAAATCGAAGGTACAGTAAGTGGAGTTCATTGTTGTTGTTGGTGGTGTTGCAAGGGTTCTTAAAGAGTACGAAGTCGGGCCCTAAGACCAAGTATTAAGACCTATCCGCTACTGAAATCTTAGAGATCAGCTATGATTCATTTAGGAAAATTTTACCTCCAAAGGAATCGATGATTTCTTCTGTAGATGGTCTAATTTGTTGCTTAAAACACAAATGAAATTGACCTAACCAAAATAAAAATGACAAAATTTAAATTAGTTAAAGTAACATTTTTGATAAGCTTAAGAAGTGCTGACAGTAGCAGTATACAATAACTAAACTCTGTTGAAAAAATGAAAAACCCTCAGAATAAAGACGATAGGAATATTGTTCAACTGAACGATATAAAAAAATCTCATCCACATTAAATGCAACAATATTTTGGCGAGAATAGTCTTCTGTCAATACTTAAAATGTGGTGACACCTATGGGGAAAGGAAATATTAGTCTGGCTCAGTGAATGTAATACCAAGAAGAAAGTTGTTTAAATATTCCATTAAGGCAGCTCACCTAGGAAGGCTAGCTTTTCCTGTGTGATCAGTGTCTGGGAGATGTTGGCTTGTTGGACAAATTGAGTTGGGAGAAGTGTGGATAACAAGATTTGTGTTTTTAGAAGGGCCATTTTCCACCCCTAGAGGTAAAAGACACAAATCTGGATGCCTTTTAAATGGAGTCTTATGTTCTTTTGATTCTTTCACAACATTCTATAAACTGGTACTTGCACAATTAAAGTCACTGTCAGGTTACTCAGTACTTCTTGTTTTGATTTAATACACGATTAGCGAGAGGATTTCAGTTTCAAGCCACTAACAGAGATAAAGTTCAGTGTGCCTCCTGCAGTGATTCCTTCTATTTACAAAAGAAAGCGGCCATTTATGGGAGAAGCTTGTAACAGATGTTGCCAAGAGAGTAAGGTATTCCATTCTGCTTGACTGTATGCTTTAAAACATTTTGTCTATCAACCAGTGTGAGGAAGGCAAGTAGAACACAGGCAAGTCTACTAAATTATGCTCTATTTTGTAGACCCAAATCTATCAAGTTAAGGCTATTTCTTTTCAAATCTATATCTCTGTTATTTTCAAAACTTTCTGTGGACTAAAATTTGTAGCAATGAGGTGTGAGACTGTCTTGCTTTTGCTCTACAGTATCTAGATTTTGGCAAAAGTTTTTAATGTTTGGTACTGTATGAGATTTAAGCATGCCAACCATAGTGCTAAAAATGAAAATCCAGGCAGACATAGCTCTAGTACACTGATAAAGCCACATGAGGGTTGATGAACATATGCACAATCCAAAGTTTTTAAGAAACTGATTCTGGAATCCAGATCCAAAATCACAGCTGACCTGTAATCCTAATTCCATGTTTTAAAATTACAAATCTGCTTAATACTTATAAAGTCTGTAATCCATGAGTTTTCTAAAGGCTAAATCAATCCACAAACACATTTACCCTTTCCCCTCAATATGGATGTTTTGTAGTTAATAGTATATAATTCTTCTTCTTGGTAGATACTCTATGAGGAAGGCAAACCTTCATGGGGTATGCACAATATTCTTAGCATGGAGCTTTTTAGAAAGTAAGTATAACTATTAAATCCTGAGAATGCAAATCACAAAAACCTCAGATAATTGATCAGCAGCCTATAGTCAAGATACTGTTTGTTTATCTCTCCATATTGTTTTACAGAGATGTAGCTCTTGCTGTTTTAATTTTATAACCTTTTTAAACAAAAGTATAATGTTGATAACTATATTTAACGGTTTTGTTATTTAAATGTTTCAGACAGAATTTCTTGAAAAGAAGTTTCTGCCATATAGCTTATGTGTGGAATTGTGACATCAGCCATCAATATCCTGATGTGAAGAAGGATGTTTTACAGTCAGCCAGGTTAGATTATGAAAGCTGTCAACTTCTTGATTATTTATTTCATAACCATGTTGCATGAAAATTTGTATTTTTTTTAAAATTTAATATACAAATTTGGTATATTGCTCTTGTTATGCCAAAATAAGTCCCTGCTTGGAAAAAAAAATTGTGCAAAAAATTAAAATGCAAAAAATTTTTACCTCCCGTCAAATTAATTACTGTGGGTGCCAATCAAGTGCCAGTTTACAGCATATTTTTTCATATTCATATATATTGCAGTTCCCCTTAGAAGGTTAGAAAAGTCAAAAATATCATTTTGCTTTCCTATTTTATGTTTTGCTGTTTGAACAGTTGATCTTGAAAAATACTCTACTAAGCGAAATTCTATTTCTCGAACAGCCTGAAATTTTGTTTCTGTAAACCCCAAAAAAGTCACTTATCCGGAAATGAAAATTCCACAAGGTTTTCTCACTACTGTACATCTTTTCAGCCAAAATTTCAAGAGGATATAGAAGTTTATTACACAATAATACTGGTTCAAGTTTGAATATTTTATTCTTATTTATTAGAGTAAAGACCCGCATTCTTTCTCCTGCTATGCAAGAGCGTCCATCATCAGGTGCGTAAATTGGTCAAATTTTGTGATTGATAAACATGTATCAGGCTCTTTCAGAATAGATGAAAAATTGCATGTGCATGAAGTTTTATGGACCAAGTCAGGTTGAATAACATTGTCAACCCAAGACACATTATTTTAATGTTTATAGAAGGTTTTGAATGTATGCTTGGGCAAGTTTGCAAAGCTTCAAAAAAAGAATCAACAATCAAACAGTTACAGCAAAGAAATGCAGTGGGTAACTCTTAAGGAACTTTCCAGCCCTAAAACTTAAAATTGTGTCTAGTTTTTTTTAAAACTATTACTAGCAGTAACTCATTACATACCTATATTTTTCTGATTCAAAAAATAATAAATTGTAACCCACAATATCTTAGTGACCAAAATTGAGTGACAGCTGCTAGATGTAACATTGTTCCCCTTATTAGCAACAGGTCAGGATATCAAAACTTCAGAAAAAGAGAGACACAAGAGAATCAGTAGTGTTGAAGAAAATGCAGTTAACATCCTGAATGGGATGGCTGCAGTTGTCTACCGGAAGTTTGTGAGGTAATGAAATAGCATTTTGAGGTTGCTGTCACCAAAATCTGGTCAAAATTTTGAAAGTTTCATTTTGCTGCTCTTTAGTTTGAGAAAGAAGTAAAGTTTAATTTTCCAAAAAAAAAAAAAAAGTATAAAATCTTAAAAAGAACTTGAGATATAGCTAAAAGAAAGTTTAAGGGGAACCTGTGTGGAAGTGTGAAAGGTGTCATAATTGGAAAGCCTCCAGCAGTGTTGACATTTGCTGTGGGCTTTCTTTCATGATCTTTATTTGCATATTTTGTTTACAGTGCATCTTGCACTGCACAGCAAAGGAGAATTCCTAGCACATTGTGCAAAATGTTGAGAAATAAGAGTCTTCATCAAGCGGTCAAAAAGCCAAAAAAAATGGAAGTTAAGTTTTTTTACCGTAGCTTGCTTTGCCCACTTTTCCTTCTGCTTTTCCCAATGTCTTCTGGATTTTGTTTAATGCCTGTTCTTGGATTTGCAAAATGACCTTTCCTGCAAATTTCAAAGGGGTTTTTATGTCACCAGACTTGCCAAGGAGTTCAATATTGCATTTCATTGCTCAATGGCATGACCACATTGACATGCACTTAAATGAGGTGTAAAAACTGTGAATTTCTTTGGAGGCCAAAAACTTGGGTTTTTTTTATGCAAGTTACCAATAGTCTACTTATAATTATAATAATTTATACTTTTATAAGCTTTACAGTGTAGTTATATACTAGTTTCTCTAGTTTCTTTAAAAGTAGCATGCATAGGATGATTTTTCTAGAAGGGACCCTATCTTGTTGACAGTAACCTTAATTAAGTAATGCTGTTTTTACATGTAGCTTTAAAAAGTACTTTTAGGCTTTGACTCACATGTACATGTGGGAGAAATAGCTGTCAATATGTTGAACTCTGGGTTGTAATTTGTTGAATCAAAACTCATTCATCCATGTGCTGGTTGCAAGTGGGAGACCAGCTCATTCCTCCTTTAGTTTCTATAAAACTAAAAAAATTACAGTCAGATAGTGTGTAAACTTGATTTTGTTCCAGATTCACCACTTGGTTTCTTTTCAAACTGTTGAGAAGAATGTTATTTAGTATACAGATTCACAAAAGGCAAATTGACATCTTGAAAGAAGCTTCTCAGGTAAGCAACAGAAAAATCAAAGTTATTATATACATCTGTACACTCATCTGCTTTGTAATTCAAGGTTCAGTGTATTGCAAACTGTGGCTTTATGACAGAAGACTGAACTAATGGGAGAACTTACGTTGTATTTGTTAGGCTAAAATCTTGTGTGAAAAGGTACATAGTATTTTAAAACTTTTTTCTTCATTTGTATTATCAGGATGACAAACCTCTTGTGTTCCTACCACTTCATAAAAGCCACATGGATTATATCCTGCTGACTTTTGTGCTTGTTACATGTGATATTAAGGTAGGCATACTTCATACTTTGAATTGCCTGTTTGCCATTTAGATTTAGAATTTATGTATGTATGTCATATTGTAATTAAACCACACCCCTTGCTTGTTGGGGTTTAACGATGCCTTACTTGTTACTGTGAGGTAGGCTCTCTAGATAATATTAGAAAATTCTTATTAAGGAAGTTATTTTTATTTAGTATTCTCTTTCTCATATTTTCAGGTTCCTCATGTGGCAGCAGGAGGTATACCAAAGATTTTCTGTATTCATTTTTTCCAACATAGAGTGTTGTTACCTGGTATATTCACAATAGTGGTAATAATTATATGAGCATCTTTTATTTGCAGATAACTTGAGCATACCATTTTTTGGGTGGATTTTAAGACACTTGGGTGGATTCTTTATCAAGCGTAAACTAGATCATTCCTCTGGGAAAGATGAGTTGTACAAGTGTATCCTTCAAGAGGTGAGAATTCTGCTTGCAGGTTTTTTCATTACAGTAGTTAAAAATCAATGAGCTCAGCTCAAATGTGTACTCCTTTTATGTTTGTAGTATGTGGAACAGCTCCTTCAGAATGGACAATACCTTGTATTTTATATAGGTATGTTAATTTATGCTTTCATCTCAAGTTTACAGATGTTAATACCATTAGTCTTAATAAATATAGGTAAAAGTGAAGCCTTTATACAGGCCCAAGTGGCCCATGGGGCAGGCACTTAAGTCTGGTTTCCTTTAGCATATAGCAGCTAGGAGTATTGCTACTCTCCCCTGGATGGGATGCTAGTCCATTGCAGGGTAATACCCCCAGCATATTTGCTGGTACTCATTTGTACACCTGGGTGAAGAGAAGCACAGTGAGAGTAGTGTCTTGCCTAAGAACACAACACAATGACCCTGGCCAGGGCTCAAACCTGGACCACTTGATTCGAAGTCGAGCGCACTAACCATGAGGTCACTGCGCCTCCACTCTTAATAAATATGCAATGTATTAATCATTAGTGATTGTTTAACCTTTAAACCCATAAGAGTGACTAGCATCTAATTTCTCCTTACAATATTATCACTGAATCAGACAAACATCATGAGAATAAAGGAAATGATCACCAACTAAAGAAACTCTTGTTTGTTAGAAAAATTCTCCTTGTAAGCATCTCAGTAAATGTACAGAGAACAGTATGGAGAATATGAATACTGATGTGAGGATGTAAAGGGTTAAGTTATGACATTCGCCTTTAACTCAGCAGAGGTGTACCAATACTTGCGAGCCACACAACTGTATCCTTTGTAAACAGAATACTTACAAGATCTTCAACAATTGCTCATAAATGCTCAATGGAAGATTTGTCAGTTATGCCATTTTTGACTGTCTTCTTTTTTACTCCACCATTTTCCCATCCCCATGTCATTCTTAATGTTTTAAAGCAATAGGCACATTGTTAAATAAACAATTTGTTGAAGATCTTTTTCTTCTCTGGTTATATGCATCTCTCTTTTTTATTACATATACCTATAGAGGGTAGTAGATCAAGAAGTGGAAAAGCCATGGTTCCAAAGTCTGGTCTTCTCTCTCTGGTTGTTAATTCAGTCAAAGAAGGTATGGCAATTTGATTTGCCTTGACCAGTTGAAATCCATGTTATAATTTACTACTTTGAATCAAACTGCAACATAAGCATTTTTTAATACTTAAGATGTTGTAAATTGTCAAGAATGAATTAGTTCCATTTATATCATTGTAACAAGCTATGCACTATATCAGAAGTATACATGTATGACCAAGGTTATAAGCATCTGGCTTTATTTTTGAACTTGTATAAGCCCTCTTGATTTTTTCTCTATCAGGTGTAGTGCCAGATGTGAACATTGTTCCAGTGAACATCTCCTATGACAAGGTGACACAATTTCACATATATACTTTTTTCAAATCATTGAGAATGATTACTTCACATATAATGTAAAGTATCTTTCAGTGGTCTGGTTATCCTCTGGTTAGTCTTTTTTTTTTTTCGTAATCCAGAGTATTGCCTTAACCTTTTGGCCCCTAAAAGTGACTAGCATTTAATATCTCCTCACAATATCACCCCTGAATCAAACATTAAGGTCATGAGAATAAAGGACATGATCAGCAACTAAAGAAGCTCTTGACTGTTAAACAAATTCTCCTTAACAGTGCCTTGGGAAATGCAAAGGGAACAGTATGGAGAATGTGCATACTGATGTTAGGGTGTAAAGGATTAATAGTTGACTGCACTTTCTCTTATTTTCAATCTAGGTTGTGGATTCAGGTTATACAAGGGAACTTCTAGTGAGTATGTTTTTAATGTCAAATAATTAACCTGTTTCTTTTCTTTCCCCCTCCCCCCCCTCCCATATCCCTCCTCTTCCTCAATCCTATGACAATAAGCCATTTTCGTTCTATATTAAAATTCAAACTTGGCTCCAAGGCTTTCCCCTAGCCTCGAAGCCATGTTAGAATTCTAATATATTGAAAATGGCCTATTTGCCCTCAATCTTTAAAGGATATGCCCCGTCTCTCTTGAATAACTGTATAATGTTTTTTGAGTTACGTTAGTCCTTTCTAATGCGATCTCAATTAAGGTACCATTTGGGGAAAGGAGGAGAAAACTTTTTCTTTTATCTTCCAGAGATTAGGGGCACGATTCTCCCAGGGAATTGTCTGGAAACTGTATTTGTACCCAAAAATGTTTCACTCCGTGGGTTAACTTTTTGCGTTGATGTTTTGTTGAGGTTGTGATCTTTAGCACGTAAATACAGCATAAGGCTTGCTTTGTATTGTTCATAATTACTAGAAAATGAAGAGCTATCTTTAACAGAATGTGTTCATGTGTCTTCAGGGTGAGGTTAAGAGACCAGAGTCATTCTGGAGCACAATGAAAAGCATCTGGCGCGTCATCAGAACAAGATATGGCAACGTCAGGCTCGACTTTGGCCAGCCATTTTCTCTCCAGGTTTGTTACCTTTGTTTAAAATTTTTAGTTTTTTTTACGCATTCATGAACTTGAATGAGCATACATCCTTACTCCTAAATACTGAAATTTTTGAGATTCGAAAGTCTGACCCAAAATTTGAAATATAGACAAACCGAGTGGTCACCATTGTAATCATGAAAATAGAAAGGAAAGAGAAAACAAATTACTACTTGTAATCTCAACTTTATTTGCTCAAGAAACAAGGGTAAGGCTGTTTCAGTGACCTCTTATGTATCTCTTCATCAGTTCCCATGAGCAGTTTTGATTAATCTCTCGGGGTTAGTTTTTTTTTTATGTGGAAAATATCTTCAGTTGTTAAGCACGCTTGTAGTGGGTCTGATTGTTCCTAATGCCCCCATCAATAGGAATTTTCCCGAGCCATGGACCAATCTCTGCCAATGCAGGAATTTGCAGCCAAATCGTTACTCAGAGCATCCGATATCTCGTCGCCCAAGTCTTCTCTGGTGCGGAACTACTCTGAGGTCTCGTTAAGTGAGATCGGTGATGATAAGTGTTTCACCCTCACTAAGGCTCTTGGATATCACGCCATTCATGGTAGGTTATGAACTTCGATCCTGGTTTTCACTGTATAGACTGAGTGTAATACATTTATATCTTTGGGTGTTTATGGCACAAAATGTGGAGTCGAAACGTCTCGACAACCTTTCACTATATGAAATATCGGCTACGTTTTTCCTCTGACCCACTAGGAAAGAATCACGGATCATTTAAAGGAGTGTCTGAGAAGTAGCCTGTGAATGCTTTTCCTCCCTAATACCATATAAGGACATTTGTGAGGAATGGAGGAGGGGTGGAGGGGTAGGGGAGGGCCCAGTCAGGTTCACTGTCCAAACCTTTACACCGAGTGACTAAGAATTTATTCGCCTTTGACCTTCCTTATTTTCTCTTTACTTACAACGATGCTGAGTAAACTATGTTTCAAGACCAGCTGGAGTTCGCTAGAACAGGGTATCTCAACAAAGAAGTAACTGTTGTTGATACAGCTCCGTGGAAAAGTATCTGAGGCTCAGTATGGTGGGACTCAATATCTTGCAAGGACCTTCATACTCAGAAACCGTGTCTACTTTCTTGTCGTTAGATTCTGCGAACTGTAGTGCAGTTATGAGTACCAACATGGTCGCCTTCCTTCTCATGAACAATCATAGGAAGGTAAGTTGTTGCAAACTGTAAATTATTGAATCCTCTGTACATTGGAACGTTTACTGAACCATTCCGTTCGTTGATTTAATTGTCCTACCTCTTTAGGGTGCTACATTTCAAGAACTGTGTGCGTCCTTTGACAGGCTGTACAGGGAAATAACCTCACGAGGAAGGTAAACAACTTTTCATTTCGGTCACTTTGAAAAGAACGAGAGAGTTTGCAAATATCAAAGACAAATTTGTTTCATTGTAATTACATGGGGTGCTTTGAAGTAAGACGTATTTCTGACCTAGAAGATACATTGGAAAGATTTGTGAACATTGTCAAGTGAAAGTAGACTGATATCAATGTTTTTTTCCTCTTCCCCTCTTCTACTTGTCCTTCTTTCTCTTTGTTGATTGGATAAGATGAAGAGCCATAGAGTGGTTAAGTTTGCTGGTTGCGTTCAGTCGTGTCATAAGTACCATAAAATACCGGTATTTATCATCTTCTATTCTTAAGAGATGTTGGCTTCTCGGGAAAGACTGCAGCCGTTGTCCGTCATGCATTGCGACTTTTGGAAGATGACGTCACAGTAACGGAATCGCGGACAGGTCCTCAGAAGGATGCAGTACGGGTTCAAGTTCAACCCAAGGGTGGTTTACCTCACATTCTGAATCTGGCATTTTACAGCAATCAGGTAACTTACTGGACATAATGCATTTAGTCACAACAAGCCATGACCCTCTTTGTTTGACTTTTCAAACTTTTTCCCTAGCATCTCTTAACCTTTAGAGCAAGTTTCCACTGAATGTCGAAAGTTGTTGAAAGTAGTCCAGAATTGCTTTGGTTTTACTTTACTTTGCGCTCTGATTGGTCCTGTAAAATTGCGCCATCCTCTCAACCAATCAGAGGCAAAACTAAAGACAAGCGCGACTTGGTGATTCGCGTTGGTTTTGGCTTTTTAACACTCACTTGAAAACTACTCTAACAGGTTACTTTTCTTTTCGTTTCAGGTTGTTTCATTATTTTCCCTGGACGCTGTCCTCGGTAAGCCACGGTTCTTTCGTTGCTCGAAAACTGGAGTTTTCTCATTCGTACATTGTAATTACCCAGATATTGAAAATGTATTCCTTTTATATTTAGCTTGTGCAATTTTCGCCGCTGCAGAGGATAGTGAATCTTTTGATACAGACGACATCGAAGGCCAGAAAATAATTACTCAGACGTCGGTATGTGAATTTTGACCTCCATTGCTTTGTATCATCTAGCCTCTCATTTAAATCTTTGTAAATGTGCTCCCCTTTAATGCGATACGATCTTGAACGTATTCGATTGGTTAGACGAGGTATTTGCAGTCAAAATGACAGCACTCCTTTTCTCTGCTGTCGCTTCTCGGTTGAAGGGATTCACTTTAACCCCCTCATGTTGCAAAGCCTTTTAGACACTAACAAACTTTCAAACTCTTGACAACAGTGTCTATTGAATTGAGATAAGCAGGCTCTCCTTTTAAAAAAAAGAAGGGATAAACTTATTATTGCTTTGGTCGGGTGGAGTTTGTGAAGAAACTTTGGACCCCCAGGTCTGGAAAAGTGTGTTGGTGATTAATCTGTCTCGTTAAGTTGCAGTGTTATCCGTCCTCCTCATTTTTAGATTCTTCTGTTTACTTTTAACGCTGTTTACGTCAATTTCGTGTCTCTAGATAGTCGAGAAAGCGAAAAATTTGTGCGATGTTCTTCAGAGAGAGTTCAATTTAGTTCCGGTAAGTTTAACTATGTATTTAAGGAGAACTGATTACTGAGAGGGCGTGAAGTATTTTGTTCCTTATATATAATTAGTGCATGGATCTTGTACGCACTTCTCTCCTCCTTCCCCCTACCATTCCAAATCATCCCCTCACCCCTCACCCCTCACCCCCCCCCCACCCCCCCTTGTCCCCCTCCTTTTCCTTCTTCTCGTACTTCTTCTCCAACATTCTCCTTGAAGGCCCTCTCACAATAACCTCACCTCAACTACCAATGTTCCATCACTGTCAACTTCAAAACTAGAATCACAACTCATGACCCACAAGGCAGTATCTAAAATGTGTGAATTTACTTAATAATAATAATAATAATAATAATAATAATAATAATAATAATAATAATAATAATAATAACTCATCAGTCTGTGCACAGTAACAACAAAATCGTGATCCGAAGTACCTGAAGGTGTGTGTATTTTCAGCCATGTGAGAACCTAGAGTCTGCTCTGACAGAGGGACTGGAGAAATTCACGTCTAGTGAGACCCTACAGATCATAGCAGAGGTATGTATTTACAAACCAGGTTGGGTAACCGTGTTGAGCAATCTAAGCTGTAATTATACCGTGTCATTCTCTCTTCAATTTTTCAACAGAGCAACCCCGTTAGTTCTCGAGGCAGTCAATGGGGATTGGATGACGACGATGAGTACACAGGAGAATTTGACGTCACGGAGATCGATTACAAGGTAAGTTTTATTCTTTTTTCTTTCAGCGATATCGATGCAAACAGTTAAAGAAACATGGCATGTTTTTAATCTGAGTCCCGCCCGAGGAATTTAATCCCAGAGCTTCCGATTCTAAGGTCTAGTGCCTTAAGTGCGATATTACTGAGCAACAGGGAACTTAGTGGTGAGCATCGCTCTAATGAAATACAAGGTCTGTATGTAACAAGTGCCCCGCATGCCAGGAGGGTCAGAAATGTGTTTGTCAGCCTAGAGTGTAGGTTATTTTACATAAACCCCTCCACCACAAAAGTTACAGAACGGTCTGCCTTTTTTCGCCTGTTTCTAAATTCATGTAACAGGATAATTTTTCTCACAGTACCGGAAAGAGTTCGCATGGTGAAAGGCGCTTGTTGGCTTTATTAATCCTTATCTCGTTAGAATGACCAAACATATTGTACACGTTATACAATCTGAGGGAAATGAAAACGGATTGGCCTCTAAAGTTGTTGAGAACGTGTTTAGTTCATAAAAAAGTTCCCACCTGTTCCTTACACTTTTTCAGGTAATCCCATACTAGGTTTTTAACTGCCAGTAAACAACTAAATTTCTGTAGTGTAGCTTATCTGTTTATAACACTTTTTGTCAATTCCTTCACTTCAGTTAACCAATGCAGAAGAGCTGCTAAACAAGCTTCAGTTTCTAAAGTCAGTGGTTGCTCCCCTGATAGAATCTTACTGGGTAGCAGCTTGTGGTTTACTTTGGCTCAGAAACCAGAGTTTCTCAGGTAATAATTTTACAGAATTTTTCTTGCAACTCAGTACCTCATGGATCAAAAAGTTGTATCAAAATACAGCCAATTCTTGCTTGTGTCAGCGACTTGAACATATGTACGTAGTTTACTGTATTTGCCTGTATGGTGTTGTTTAACCATTTTAGCTGTTTGGAGATTGCAGAATTTTTATGTGGTCTGGTTTGGCTTTATGTGTTGTTTTTATCTTTATTTTAAATTATTTGCCCTCAAGATACAGAGTTTCTGACTGCTCTTCATTCCTGTGCGAAAGAACGGGTCCATAAGGGAGTAGCAATGTTTCGTAAGTGTTCAACATTCTTGCATTTAGTTTGTTAAATGACTGAGATTCTTTAATTGCGATGGAGGTCTTGATTGGTGGTTTCTGATAGTATTTTTTTTTTGTTTGAAAGATCACAACTGACAACGCTTTTCTAAAAGTTCTTGCATCACTCACTTTTACTCCCATCTATCCTGTAATAGATGTTACATACAACTTCACGCCAAAAATAGTAAAGATGACATTAACCCTTTAACCCCTGTGAGTGACTAACATCTAACTTCTCACCTAGGTATCACTTCTGAATCAAACATTAGGCTCATGAGAATTGAGGAAATGATCGTAAACGTGAAAAGAAGTCTTGATTTTTATCTTAATTCTCCTTGTCAGTGCCATAGGAAATGTGTAAAGAACGGTATGGAGAATATGTATGCTGATGATTAAAATCAACCAGTAAAGAATTGATCTTAACAAGTTAGCTGCGCGAGAATGAAATTCAGTAATGGTCTTTCGTTGGGTTATATGAGAAGTCCTATTCTAAAAAGTGTAATTGTGAATTTTTACTCACTCGATCGCAACTAGCTCTTTAATCATCGCTCAATACTACATAATTATCTTGCTTTTTGTTTTTTTTCCAGCCGAGAGTTGTTCACTGGAACCTTTCCGCAATGCCGTGCGCATCTTTAAGGAATGGAAAGTGATTCAATTCAACGCCGAGAGTGGGATAACGCTCTGCGACGCTTACAACAATGGAGATGCCCTTTTTGATGTGATTGAGAGCATCAATCAGTTTAAACTTTAACTGCAACAGTAACTTCAAAATTCTTGCAAAAGAACTTGAATAAATTTCTTATGCCAGCTTCAACCTGTTTCTGTCATAATTCTGAATCTTTCTAATCCACAACTTCAACACTGGGAAAAACTTCAAGTCAAACTCCTGCGGAGTTGAGCCATGATGGTTGAACCTGTTCTTAACGACGTGAAAAATTACCTTCACTGTGAAGAAAACCTCAAAATATATGGTTTGTAAGATAGGAAAACGCAAAATTGGGAATAACAATCTGAAAGGGGAAGGAGGATGATAATGGGTCGAGAGGACTGACATAGATTGTACATCAGGGTGTAAAGGTCGACGAGTTCTTTGAGAAAGAACCAGCTGGAATCATTCAATAAGGTCACAATTTGCATATAGATCATGATGATAAAAGGAGGTGCGGCTGCTGGTTTAGAGCCTGAGGGAACAGACGTTATAACTGTAAGAAGTGGAGTTTCACGTGGCAAAACGTCAATTTTAAAATTCCAACCGAAATTAAATTAATAAACGCCATGTGATACTGGTACTTTCTTTCAAGCCTACAATATCCACAATACTTAAACCGTTATGCTAAGCGCCTTTCGACGGCCTTAAACAAGTTGCACGGCATGCACGTTTTATGCTTGAAGTAAGAATACTTAACAGTGTAAAAACACCCTCACCCTGCCTGCAGAGTCTTCTTTCACCTCCTCCAAAGAGGGGGTGAAAGAAGACTCTTCTCGCAGAGTAAACATCCCAAGTCTATCACGTCGCCGAGAATAAAATATGCGGAGCTCATGTCATTTTCCTTCATGTAGTAGCACCAACTCATTCAGTAAATGTTGTCCAAAGTCTATTTTTCCTGGTCCTCTTCATCTGTTAGGTCGCCTACGGGCAGGCTTTCATACTCAGTAGCTCTTCGGAAAGAGCGGCGAAGCGCGTGAGATTCAAACCAGCGAATAAAAAAAGCTAGCGGGTGAGGACTGTAAAGAGGTTCTGGGAGAGCAAACGCAGACCCCCGTTGCAGCGCTAATCAGAGCCTCTCGCACCTGGCTATTTAGTAACAGGTGTCTCTTTTACCAAGTGTTGATGAAGTTGCTTTGTAACAGTCACTAAAATAATTTAAAGGGAAGGGAGAGAAGCAGAAAGGGCAAAAACGTTTCCGTGACGTTGTTACCCTGTTTAGACATTTGATTCAATGGATGAGTGACAATTTCCCAGCATGACCTTAAAGTTACTGACCTTCCATAATAAGCTCTACTAACCATTATTTTCTTTTGCTCGACAAATTGTTACATAGCATAATTTTTCTTTAGCAAGAGTTCGCATCCATAATATTCTTTCCAAAACCTTGCTTTCAAATAGGATAAAATTGGAATCACCCAAATGTTTTTCTAATTCATCTTTAATATGTTCCTAGCAAACAACGGTCGCGATGTACTTAGTTACACGTGAATGCGCATAATTAATTTCCATACAAAGTTTTTTTTGTCAACGGGAGAGACGTAAATTTCGGTGACGTAGTGAGAGATATTTAGTAACATAAATTATAGTAGCTAGCGCTTAACGGTTGTCTTAGCAGCGTGGCCCGTCGGTGAAGCTTACCACCTTGAAAATGCGGGAGAAGGCCTTCCGTTTAGATTTTGTTGCTACGTGGAGAACACGATCATCCTCGGTTTAGCGGTAAGTGGCTTTTAATTTAAAACACCTCGATGCTTGTACTGTGTTGTTATAGTTTAATTTTGTACACCGTCTGAGCAAGTCAAGTAAGTTTAAGTTGAGACTGATTAAAGTTCGATTCGGAATTCACTTTCGATGAACGCTTTTACTTTCTAGTTAATTTGAGGCGACGGGGTTCAGTTTTTAAACTGACAATAGTCGACAAATCTTAATCTATCAGTTAATGTTATTGTTTATTGAATAATACAAATTCCATGCCGGATCACCAAAGCTACTGTGAACAGGACATTATCGCCGTGTTTCAAATCTGAGTTCCGCAAACATCATTCTCCTTTTCATTCCTCTCCGACTTCGTCGATAGTTTTCCAAGGGATTACTAGAATTCCCTCAAGAAACACGGAGGAAATTACTATGCAGTAGACTACAAAGTTGACTCACGCGTTGACGTACCTTTTTCCCTTGTGGGCTGTTTAAATAACGCAAAATCAAACAATATCCGACACGTAGATCATGTCAGAAATAACAATTCGCAACTTTCAGTTATTAAGTTATGCGAATATGCGTTTACAACGTCTAAAGATTTTCAAAAATTGTTGTCCAATATTGACTGTTATAAAACTAACGGTCACTTCATCGGAACGTTATCCCCGCTGGGCTAATTTCAACGGTTGACCAAAGATGCCCATTGAAAAACAGCACTTCACTTACATAAAGAAACTTTCAAAGTTTGTTTGCTTGTACGTTGCATTTGGCAAACTGTGAATTTCTTTGGCGTAAAGTGAAAAATAACATTCATAGAGCGCATGGGGGAGTCTTGCTTCCTATAGACACACGAGTAATTTTTTTCCCTCTTATAGAAAGGCAGCACTATTATGTGGGCATTTTCTTCTTCTTTCTACATGTGTACCGACGCAAAATTAGGTACCACTTATTTCCTTAGCTTTCTCCCAAGAACGTTTTTCTCTTGCCCATTCCTGAGGAGCCCCTGACAGATTTTATCATAAAATTAAGCTCAGAAAATATTTCATGTAATTTTAAGAAGATTAGTCATGCAATTTTTGTGTCAATGGCGCTCTGAACGCGAAAAACTCTGACAGGGGGTGCACCCGATCATACAAATGAAGAGTTTTGTGATGGATCAGTTTACCGCAGTAATCAAGTGAAGTGGCGAAGCTTGGAAAAGCGAAACGGCGCAAGTAATTTTTTTTTATTCATCGAATTGGGATGGTGATGCATCTTCAACAAAAACTTCTTCCACTTAGTAATTATTTCGTCTGAAGTCAAAATTCCTTTTGCGCACATTCTGGCAGAACCTAAAAAAAATAGTGATAATGTAAAGTGGCAACCATGCCACAAGGATATCGTTCGTTTTGTATTGTTTTGATATTTTTGTGTCTGTGATTCTACGATAGGCTTTCCCAAATGGCGACTTTTGCGGCCAAATATCTTGTATCGAGTGCAACAAGTGGCGTTACTGGCAGAGTTGGGGAATTAGGCGGAGATATCGGAAAAACACTTAGTATGGAGAATTTGAGTAAAAAGGACATAGAAAGAGCTGAAAAAGAACTGAATAAAGAGGCGAAGGCAAGGAAAAAGAAACACCACAAAATGGAAGCAATAAGAGAAAAACTACGATCTGACATGAGAGGAAAATACGGAATCAAAAAGAGGCGAGCACACGAACCAGTTGAGACACATACTGGAATATTGATGCCAAAAAGCGAGAAAGAACTACTGATAAGTCCTACCGATAAAGATCAGGAAGAGGACGATGAATGTGTACTTTGTCCTTGCTGTTCATGGCTTCGTTTATGTTGTCCTTGTTTATATAACGGTATCAAACATTCGTAAGTTTCACGGTTGACGACTAATATCCGTTGACAAATAATATCACGGTTGACAAATAATATCTGACGTACGATGTAACACCGCAGACATGAAATAGCTAGTCGTCGGAATCGTCGTAAGTGACCCATGTCGTTTGAACTAAATTCCTTCCCACATTAATTAAGTTGAGTTTGATGTGACCTTTGTTCCAGATAAACACTTAAATTGACCAAGAATTCCTACCCCTGAAACACTTTCCCCTGACAGAGTACCTGTCCGTACATTTATGATTACTTCAGCACCAGCCAATGCGAGATCTGTAAAATTTGAAAATGAATTTAAATAAACGGCGTTTAACGTCAAACTTGTAATTTAATGGTCATCCATTTCTTTCATTTTAGATCAGTATGTAGAAAGAAAAGCAAGCTGTGCTGAGTAATGTTTAGAAAGCTGGCCCACTACACTAAACAAATGTTTGCTTTGTCCGTTTCTTGGTAGAGAAACTGTTTTATGAAAGCGTTTATTCAAGTTGGTGCACTCTGATATGACTCCCACTCCGTAAGGGTTCAGCTTGCGAATACCCCTTTTAAATGAGACAAACTAGTACGTATCTTACTCCATACGTTTTCAAAGTTTTTCTTGTTTCAAGTGTCCAATCAGAAACAATACAAATGCTGAGGGACTTACTTCCTGAGCTAACCGTATTGATATAGAATGTGGATTGAGACGTTTTGTGCATGTTGTGTGCAACCGACCTAACCCTCTGTAAAACAGCATTCACTGTGGTCAAATATTTAATCACAGGAGAGTCCAAACTAATTAAAACTTGTTCCCAGCAGAACAAATACGAAGGGCCTTGAAATGACGTAGCAAAATGGGCTGCGTTGACGATAACATCGAGTGATTAGGTGGTTCAAATTTTATTGAGCAATTACAGTTGTAAAAAACTTAAAATTTCATTTAAAAATCTGAAAATACCGGTTAGAGGTCCTGCCTCGTTCCTGCCGAAATAATTTTCTGTACATTCAAAAATACTTCAAGAACCTCAGTAGCTGATGGCCTCTCTTCTGGATCTTCTTGTTTACAAGACTCATGAATCCCTATCAGAAGGCGTCTGACAAAGTTACTATTATGAACTCGGCCTAGCAGTTTGTCAACAACATTGGGTATTCTCCAGATGTCAATCTTTTCATCATAGGGAGGCATTTCTTCATCATCAAAAGGGCGTGAGTAAGGCCACAACTGTTCAGGGGCTACAAAATCACCATACAGTTCTCTGTGACCACACTTGATCAGTTCACCTTCATCTGCTTTTACTTCTGGTAAAGCATCAAGATCATTGACGACAAGATGAAAATCATTTGTTATCAGGTACTGTGACAATGTCTTGGTTATGTCATTTGAATCACACATGACCCGCACACCAAGAGGACTGTTATGAAGAAATTGGAGGATTTTAACATAGTCTATGCCTAGTTGAAATCTTGTTTCTAGAGTGTTGAAGTGACCAAGTTCTGGTCTCTCCAGGAGTTCATCAAGTGTGTCTGCTGAGCCATGCTTGTAATATCCTGTTACCATCTGATAATAATAAACACAAGGGTTTCAGATATCACTGCATCAACATCCAAACAATGGTTACATGAACATAAATGAACAACAAGTAATAATATTCATTTTCCAATCCTTGTGGAGGACTCAGATTTTTTCTTTGTCTCACCCTCTCGAAAAACTAACACAAACAGAGCTGAAACAATTTCCCATCTCCCTATATATATATATATATCATGAAAGCATCACAAATAAAGCATTATTTTCAAATACATATAACAATATTCCAGACCAGATAGTCTGGAATATTGTTATAAAGAATTTTATGGTTCCTAGCATCATTTTGATCATGGTACTGTATCTCTCCACACCCCTTCCTCCACCCTGAGAATATGTTGTACAAAACTAAATTGTGTGAGTGTGTTTTCTGTTGCATTCCAAATTTAAAAAGAAGGTTGGGGAGGGGTGGTGCTATTTAAGAGATAAAAAAATTATTTATGATCAGAAGAAGTTCCATAAAATGCAACATTGATGATGTCACCGATTACGTGGAGAAAGGTCATACCTGGTTATACAGGTGAAAGGACAAAATTGCATGTAACCCCAACTTCATTATGTATACAGTTATAGAAAATAAAAAAGGCCAAATTAAGAGTATATCTACGGAACTAATACTTCATTTTAGAATACAACAGGCTGAACGGAAATCGTTCAATTCTTCACAAATTGTTTCCAAATATTTAAAATGATTTGGTCTATTTATTCCGAGGTTTTACCTCTAATTCTGACGGAATTTAACAATTTTATCACTTTTCCACTGATAGAAGAGTAAATAAAGGAATTTTTTTCAAACACATCGTTGTAAACAGTCAAGGCATATCATAGCCATGTGATTACGTCACCTCAAAGATAAAGTTAAGAAAGTCTCCTAACCCGGGAGTTAATAGACAAAATTGACAAAATTCACCTCTAGACTGTCATTATAGCAAATGCCAATGAGCTGTACTACAAATTCACTCCTTTGAAGGCCTTCCACCATATGCATTCCATGTAGGCAATCTTCGTAATAAAGGTCACTCGCGCATTTACTATACACCACATCATACCCCTGCCAATCCGCCAAATAGACTTCTTTGACCGCATTCAAATGACCTGGAATACCAATTCTGCGTCTAGTCCTCACGTCAAGAGCGATACTGGTACAATCTAACCATTGTAAACACGCAATCCAACCTCGAAAACTAAAATGGCCGCGCGGGCAACGAACGCAAGTTTCGTCAACTACCTGAAAATTAGACGGGCACTCTGGTTTTCCGTTATTTCTTTCAGCACCGCTTTGCCTTCCTTTGTGATGATCGTTTCTTTTGGTTGCTTTTCGTCCAGAAAATAATAAATAATAGGTTAATAACAGAAGAGGAAGTGGAATGAAGTAGATTTTCCAATTGACCGCCATCTTTGTTTTGTGATGTCGTAGCCTGGGTTCTACTAGTGTCCAGTTGATCCGTAAAAGTCCGAGAGAAATCTGGGTTTAGATTTGGGCGCCATTTTTTGAACGAACGTTTGTTTTCACGTTGTCAATTTCAATCACTTCAGGTCTTCCCTTGTACATTTCCATCATGCCTTCACGGTATGATAGCGTGAGAAGTGTTTTTGAACAAGCTCAGCGTAGTTTTCAACAGCACAAGCTGTTAGCGGATTTGAAAAAGCTCCACGACAAGTCCTCTCCTGATGAATTTCTGGAAAGTTTCTTGTTACATTTGAAACATGCGATGGTTGTTTTTAATAGAGAACCTGCTGTTGAAAGAGTCATCGAGTTCGTGGCCAAGTACGCAACGCTAAAAGATCACCGTACCTCTCAAACTGAACAGGTATAACATATATGTGTCAAAAAATTCGGAAAGGGAAATACATCTGAGTGAATCCTGAGAGGACACGAAGAAGCATGGGGATTGCAAGATTTTATAAATACATTTGCTTGTGTATATATTATGTATCTAAAACATTTGTATAATGCCACTTTCTCTAGTAGTTTTAAAGTACTACTCGAGTCAAAATGTTTTGATTTGAACGCAGACTTATGCCATGAACACCAAGTGAAGACAAAGTAATTCGTTATGATCCCTTGAAGCTGGCACGAGAGGTTGCTGTTTCTCGGATTATGTTTAATTTAGTTCTTTTCTTTTTAATTAATGAACACCATGACATGTTCATAACTGTAACCTTTGGTGATGATGATGAATAGAGAATGGAACAGGTGGGCAGGAGGAAATTCAGTTTCCTATTAATACAGTGGAGTTGAGGTCGATCTTGACCCCAAATCTTTGCAATGTATTTGGAGTCTCCTGAAATGACACCTGGGGTTTCTCTCTGATAAAGTTTCTTGTCTAAACAAATAGGATGGCCATAGAAGTGATGGGGAGGAGGATGATTACAGCAATGTTTTCCTTGACTCCGTCTTCACTTTCTTGCTGGACTCGCATGATGCTAAAGACAAAGCTGTAAGATTCCGTGTCTGTCAGCTAATCAACAAGCTCTTGAATAACATGGGTGATGATGCTGTTATTGATGATGATCTGGCAGAGAGGATATTTGAGAGCATGTTGATACGGCTCCACGACAAGTTTCCTGCTGTGAGAGTGCAAGCTGTTGCAGCTATTTCCAGGCTCCAGGACCCCTCAGATCCTGAGTGCATTGTAATATCCACATACTTAAAACTCATGTCAAATGACTCCAGTGTTGAAGTGCGCAGAGCTGTGCTCCTGAATGTTGCTCTTACTTCTCAGACATTGGAGGGAATAATAGGTAAATCTTTATAGATCCAAGAAAAAATGTTATTTTCCTCTTCCTGAATGAAATAACTGCAAAATGTTTTTTTCACAAGTCTCTAAGGCAAGAGCATGGTTCACTTGTATGACTCAGATGATAGCAATTACCCTTATGTTAGTATAATTGCATAAATCTTTGAAATTCCAGGAGCTTTGCTATTTCTAGTTATTATGCCTGAAAAGTATTCTTTAATGGTCAGCTTGACTAGGATGTTAATGGTGTGTCAAAAAATATTTTGTATTTGGCATTTTGAATTAAAATAAGCATTATCTACCAGTGCCTTGCCATCTTTTCTGCAGGAAGAACCCAAGATTTGACAGAATCAGTACGAAAGTTAGCTTATCGTATCCTAGCAGAGAAGGTGAACATAAAATCATTTACAATTGCCCAGCGTGTGCAACTGCTTTCCAATGGCTTGCATGACAGATCAGAGGCCATTAAGGAAGTTTGTGCAAAGGAGCTTCTTGGACAGTGGTTGAACAATTTTGATGGGGATGTGGTCAAACTTCTGAAATGCTTAGATGTTGATGGATGCACAGAGGTTGCAGAACTGGCTTTAAAGACATTGCTGAATGGTATGTATATATACATATACATATACTTTGTCCTGCACTGATTTTATTTGGGTTTCATTTGTACCCTACCATTGAGATAGGTACACAGATGTAGAATTTGAAATTATTATATTTTACTTATTGTAGGATTACCAAAGGAAGACCTTCAAGGTTACATTGATTCTTTAAAGAAAGGACAACAAGAAGAAGGCCCTGTGAAAATTAGCTATGAAAATCTAGATGCTGAGACAGCATTTTATTGGAGATGTCTTGGAGAACATTTGAAGTTCATGGGGGTGAATGGTGAAGCACTTTTGGATGAACTTCTACCTGAAGTATCAGTATTTTGCAAATATATTCAAGGGTATGAATATCTTGATCTTGGAAAATAAAATTAATGTATTATGATGTGCAATATTGTTTTCTCAAGTTGCACAGAAATCTTTCTACTTTTTTTAGTGTTATTGTTGTTTAATTTGTGGGCTTTTTGGAAACACAATGGTTCAGCAATACATGTAAGTATATTGGACTCTCGGGCAAGACCAAAGAAAACCCTCTCGGTGTCTTTCCCCACAAAGGAGGGAATAAATGGGTATCAGAAATTGTCAAGGAAATATGCTCTAAGTCTTGCATCCCATTCAAGGACATTGGCAATGTTCTTAGTGGCTATATGGTATAAAGAAACCAGAACATGCTTGCAGACACACCTTTAAGACTAAACACTGAAGTATCATTCTGTATTGACAGGTATGTTGACAACTGTTTGTCCAGAATATCTTCAGAAGAGTCTTATCATTCAGGAAGTCAACAGAACTTTATCACCAGGCAACTTTTGATTCTTGTGGGAGTAATGGACCTCTCTGATGAAGTTGGAAGGTACATACATAGTAAAGTAAAAATATCAAATAAAGCTATGATCTATGCAGGTAAGCTGCAATTTTAGCAATTGCAGAGAAGAAGCCTAAAAATTAATTCAGTTTTTAACAAGAAGGGAACAGCTGTTTTGTCTCCTGTAGCTGTTTGCTTTAGCCCTTGAACTAGTAGGAGTGACTGTGTCCTAATTTCTCCATACAGTATCACCCTTGAATAAACTATAAAGGTCACAAGAATAATAGAAATAATCACCAATTTATGAAGTTCCCTCTTGCCAAAAAAATTCTCCAGCTTATTGTCATTAAAATAGAAAATGTGGTGATATTAGAGTGAGGAGAATGTGATTATTTGTGTTAAGTTGTAAAGGGTTAAACAAATAATGTCATTGGTGAAGAAGTAAATGTCCTTGTTCCCTATCTCTTTGTAAGAGATTGATTTCCCAATCATGCCCTTAAGTAGGTTTTTTTAGTTCCATTATGATATCTATTTGTCTTTATCAACATGCAAGATAAATTCTGGATTTAATTCCTGGTTAGCACCAACTACTGTTGTCAGTGCCAAATCACATTTCCCAGAAGGTTTTTAGATATTTCCTGATCAAATGAATGCACCTTGTTTTTCGCATCTGTGGATTCTTGCATGTAACAGCTCTTGTCCTTGCTTTGGTTGTTATTAAAAAGTTTTGTACATATTTTTGCAGAAAGAATCTTTGCCAGATGATCCATGACTTGTTGGTACACATGGAGATCCAAGAGTCATTGGTGGATGTCCTACATGACAGATATGTAGGTGTTCAACCAGAAGAAAGCAGTAGAATCCAGGAGCTTGTTGAGATTATTGCTGATGTTCGACAACCTATTGTGATGATTGAGACTCCTCAAAACAAGGAAGAAAAACGAGTATGGGAACTTAAGGTAATGGTACACCCAACAGGACTGTTGGGTTAGTACATTTAGGATCCTCTTAAACATCTATTTACAGGATCCTTGAAATACAAACATGGCTGTATTGAATCAAGATCTCAATGCTCAGTTGTAGGCTTTCCCTTTGTTTTCCCTCTGTGCCAAGGTGTAGAAGTTTTTGACAGACTCAGAAATTAGAGGGAAGGGGAGGTATGCTGGTGATCAGACATGGTGCACCTTGGAGTTTTAAGATAATGACAGTTTGCTAATGCTTCACTGTAACCATACTTTTAGGTTGCTGGAATCAGTGTTAAACTTAATCAGTACCGTGATGAAATGGAACAGTGTGTGACAAACCAGGATTTTGCTAAGGCAGCTGAACTCAAACAGCAAATTACAGATCTGGAAGAACAGAAAGAAATACTTGATTCACAAGAGAACTCCTTTTCCCAGACTATTAGGGAAGAAAAGGTAATCTTAATCTGAAGATATCTTGATAGATGTACATGTATTGTTTAGAATGGATGCGTGAGGGAGTGGTGGGGTGGGGTGGGGTGGGTGTATATCGATTTCCAGTAGATTTTAAAATTGTCTCATAACCCACACCTCCCTACTACCTGCAGTGGCGTGCATTTAATGCAAAATCAATAGATTACCCACAGGTAAACCGCCAGAAATTACAGCACTACAAAATATGATTTCAACACAGCTTTAGCAGGAGGACAGTCACCAGGCAGACCATTTTTGCTTCTGACTCTCCTGTTACTGAACTTGTCATCCCTGGAGGTCTCAGCCTTCTGAACCCCACCTCTTAAACTGCTGCCCTTCAGGCTCATAGACTAGGGCTCAGAACAACGGCTGGTCAATGGACAATGTCAGGTCAAATATAGGTTTTGTCCAGTAAACCCTTTGTTGGCCAGACACTTTGTCCAGTTGCTTACTGATGTAAATAAGAATTTTATTCCAAGGGAAGGTCAGAGTCTAAGTGTGGCTGTATCACTTTTCATGCATTAAGTTTGAGGCTGCATGTACAATAAAAGAGTGGTAAATACACTAATTTTATAAGGGAGGGTGGGGTGGAATCTATTTAGATATGACTTAAAGGACATTGGGTTGTGTCCAAGTAAAAAAGAGGTGTGACTGCACAACTTGACTGTTACCAAACAGGAAATTATTTTAAGCACTGCAGACCCTATTCAAACTCAATAGATGCAACACAAAATTATTGACAAAATTGTTGACTTGCATTACAGTGATTTCCAACAACAAAGAAGATTGCAACTTTAGTTTATATAAATGTACAGCTGCTCAGCAGTGAATGTTATACAATTGCAATTTTCTTTTCATCTGCAAGGATGATCCTGATACGTTATTGAAGTGTTTAACCATTGCATCTGAGATGCTGCAGGGTGTGGCAACAAGTGGACTGAATCCAACACTAACCACTTTGGTTCAAACTCTGGTAATTTGCACACCTTTCATTAACTGAATTGTTTCTAAGTGCTCTTAGTCTCAACTTATTCAACAGCCAGTTTCATATAGGGTAAATCTAGTGCCACACTAAGGCATATGAAATACAGTAAGGTCAGTACCAGTTGAGGAATTTTAAATACAAAGTAATTGCTACCCTAACCTTCCAGCAATTGATGGTTGACAGGTGGTTGTTTGGTAATTTGATGTCTTTGATGTGTCGCTTAAGAGTGAGTGAGTTCTCTTAAGCTTTATTTTTTTGCAATGGTATACCAAAACAAAGGGACCCCTTACTTTTATAAATGACTAGTCCTGGACTATAGAACCTTTGCAGGTTGTGCAACAAAATTTCCATATATTTTTAAGGGGCTGTTCTTAAAAAAATTATGTAGAACTGACTCATACATGATCAGGGAGATATTTATTTATGCTCTGACTTGTTTTTTATTCAGTCCTTTCGTTTTCCTACAGATTCTGCCTGGTGTTCAGAATGAAGATCCCTTAGTGCGTAACATGGCTGTCAAATGCTTGGGTTTGTGTGCCCTCCTTTCTTGTGAATTTGCCCGCACACATCTTGTACTTTTTCTTCAGGTAACAATTTCTTTATAAGATATCATTCCTGCAGTTCACTTACCATAACATGACTGCTGAACATCATTGATTTTATATCAGGTGGCCCAACTAGACCAAGAGCTTGTTCGCACAACTGCCCTTCAGGTTGTTTTTGATCTTCTTCTAAAGTTTGGTCTCGAGGCTTTCAAAGTCAATGCTTCAGTCCATGAGGAGGGGGATGACCCCCCTTCCTCTGACTCAGAACTGGACAAATCAGACAATCAAAATGATGAAAATGAAGGAGGAGAAGATGTCACAGAAAAGAATGAGGATGAAGATGTGGAAGAGACCGAGGCTCGAGATACGGACACTGCTGCAAGTGTGCTTACAATACTTACTGGAATTCTAGAAAGCGAGGTTAATTTTCCCATTCTTTACACTAGTTTTTTGTTTAAAGAGATCCAGTTTTAATCTTCACTTATTTGCCTATGGGTTTTCAGTTCTCTCATCTCTGGTTATCTCTTTCCCCAGCAAGCACAATCACATATTTGATCTACATGTATATTGTATTTCTTAAATTGATTTATCCATTCCAAAAAATAATGTTATAATTTTAGAGCAATGACCTTAGGAATGTGGCTGCTGAAGGATTAGCCAAGTTGTTGCTCTCAGGTCGTGTTCTGAGTGCCAAACTTTTTTCCCGACTTCTGTTGCTGTGGTACAACCCCACCACTGAGGATGATGTAAACCTGCGGCACTGCTTGGGTGTCTTTTTCCCAGTTTTTGCCTTTGCTTCACGGTAAGTCAAGGTGCTTAATTTTCTAAAGAAATTTGCATCTCATTTTTAGAGTGGTAGGATATTTTGAACAAGCTTGTAGCTTGCTGCTTGCTGCTTGCTGCTGGCTTTGTTAGCCAAAAGGCTTCGCAATGCAAACTACAGAAAAAAGCAAATTTTTCTGCCAATTTCAATTGTTGCAAAGTATAAAGGCCTCAGAGACTACAATAATTATTACAGATAATGCTAACTATGCCTTATCCAGGCATAACACTTAGGCAGTGTTTTCCTTTCCGGGCAGTAACCAGTAAAATTTACTGCCTGTAGTACCTCTTATTACTGCCTAAAAGCGCTTGGAATTCTTGAAAATTCAACAGGTAAAAGGATTGCTCTGCCAGTTTTAATTTTTTTGTATTGTACCTAAATAAGGGAGAACACTGCATAGGCACATCCACTCATAAACTGTATGTGACCAATTAATAACTTGAATATCCAAAATAGAGGGGTTTGGTTGACTTCGTTACTCCTATAGTCTGACTTTTTTTTTTTTTTTTTTTTTTCAGCATGAATCAGGAGCTGATTGAAGAGGCATTCTTTCCCACACTGAAGACACTATTTAGTGCCCCTATGTCATCTCCTCTGGCATCAGTTAACATCAATAATGTGGCAGAGTTGCTGGTGGATTTAACAAATGGAAAATACTTGGAAAAGAAAGAAAAATTGCATGTTGATGCCAATGAGGTGCAAAAAAATTATTTTTTTTATTCACTGACTATAAGTAGTTTCTTCCTCACTATTTGAGCCCCAGCAGAGCTAGAGATTGTATGACAACAAACATTTTGGACTGAGAGTTATGCTAACATCTAAGCTTTGTGACCAGCTTTAATGAGACTAGACTCAATGTGGATGAAACAAGACCCATTGGAATAAGGCAAAAGGCTTAATGGAGTTAACAACAAAGAGCATCAGCATTTTCTAGAAGTCAGCAGTGCATGCATTCTTGCATGTGCTTTGAGTGTGAACTTGCAGCGTTGTGAGGAGTGACAGTTCATCGTCCAGGCAATGTTCTCCATCCCTTCTCTTCCTCTTTCCACTGTTTATTCAGTGTGATGGTGGCATGTTTCCCTTTCCTGTCCTAAACGTTATGGAAATAATCAATACTAGATCCTTCTAATAAGGCTAGATCTAATCAATGCGCACTGACAGAAATATAAATGATTTACTTGAGACATGTCCTGCCGCTGAGGCATTTAGCTGGTGAGGTTAGCTAGGGAATTGAATACGTATCTTTAAATTTTTAGAGTTTGTATGGTTTTTGGTTGATCATAACATACACTTTTAGCTCTCGTCAGCCATGGGAGAAGTCTCCATCTAGTATCTGGCTGCCAATAATGGAAGCTCCTGGATGTTTCAGGCACCCAACCTCGACTTAGCGATGTAGTTGTTAACATTCTGTTGTAGGAAAGTACCCACAGGAGCATAGGTTAACAGGAAAGCTCACTTGAAGCAAATTTCTTTCTGTCCAATCTGAAATTTAAAAGGTGTACTGACTCTTTTGTAACCTTGCATGTGTATACTTTACGAGTCACAGGTATAGCTCAAGCTGATCTGTGAGCCATAGTTGCGCAACAGTGAAGTGACAATCAATTTATGGCCGGGCAACACTCCTCTTACATTTGGCCAGTAGTTGGTCAGTTAGTGACTGATAATCTACCCATATAAAAAGCCATCATTGACCGAGAAACAGATCTACTATTGACCAATATATTCTCAATGACAGTAGATCAATAGATGGAGTAGGAAATTGGTGAGAAACTTCATCAAGGAATAGTACTGTTGCCTTCATGTATATGATATTTTCTTTTTCTTGATGTAGGCATACAGCATTCATGCTTCTCTCAGCATTGCAATTGCTAATGAGATTTTGTCTTGTCCTGATGCTCCCGCTGTGCGAGTTCTGTGCAAGGTACTGACTATGATGGACTTGACTGGCTGTGCACAGTCCACATTCAAGGAAATTAAAGTCCTTACAGGAAGGCTGATGGAGGTAAACATGATGTGTGTATCTTTGTATTTGTGAATGTGCTCATCATGTTCAGCCCACAATTTTTTTATTGGTGTCACAAAAACTGGAAAACCCTGGTATTCTCAGTTAGCAGATTGTCTCAATTACAATACAAGCTGTCATGTTAAGATTTTAAAATGCACTCTTCATGTAGCCCACTTTAATATTGTTCCCAGGCTTTACAGAATAAGTTGGGCTACTTAAGGAGAAAAGTGGTTTCAGTTTCCTTTTAAGGGACTATTGGTGATCCGGTGATCAGTTTTTTTTTTCAACATTAGAGAGGGACGAGTTCAAGATCTGATTGTTAATTTTTCCCTCTAGATAATTTACATTTCCATGTAAATTAGTTATGAGAATTTGGTGTTAGATCAAGATAACAACGTCTAAAAAAGTTTGAGTATTCTCGTGGCCTGTTTGCTGTGTGGATATTATAAGGAGAAGTAAAATGTCAATCTCTTCTGGGAGGTAATGGGTTTAAGAAGTCTCATCTCAATACTTTCACAATTTTAATGTAATGTAAATTTTAGTTGTGTATTTATTGTAGTGTCTCACAGTCTTCCTGACAAGACAGACTATACATCTCAAGCCTTGATACCTGTTTGTATGCATGTGTTAATTCAGAACATTTAGATTCCTTTTCCCAGTATTTTAAATGCTGCTCATTATTTTTATCTATTTTCTAGGAAATTGAAGAGAATATGTCCCTGAAATCATTGAGCAAGTTAAATAAAATGCTGGAAACTCTCACAGATAAGGAGATTGGTGAGAATAAACCTGGACTTAAAACAGGAGCTATCTCTAGTTTGGATGGCTGCATGGATGAATAAGTTTTGTTTCTGAATCCCATGAATTTTCTTTGGCGTCTACATGTAAATGACTCTAAACACATTGAATTATTATAGCTTATTATTAATACAAGATTTGTCCATAGATTTAATTGTCGATAGACAAAAAGAGCAAAAGAAGATTATCTAATAATGCTAATTTCCATGCGTATTGGTAAACTGACAAGTAGGTGATGTGCATAGACAAGATGAGAACAAAAACTAGCTGGTAATATATCTTACATGACACCAAAATAATTTTCCTCTCTGATTTACAAGGAAAGGCATGGCATTTTCCAAAAGGAACTGATAGTCACATATTTAGCATTTAAAGACTTAATGGGGGTCCTGCTAGCTTAAAAATGGAAATCATCTGGTTATAGATAGTGTCTCACAGACTGAATTAGACAATGGAAATCAGGAAAATGCAGAGAAAACAGAGGAACCTAATGAAGGTACTATTAATGAGAAAGCTACTGTTGATGACATAGACACTTGGCAAAGATTAGAGGAAAATACCCGTGTACCTCAAGAACAAGCAAAATGCAACACAGAGGATACAGACACCATGGGTGGTAGGTTTTGACATAATCTGAAAAACTAAGTTTTTGTTCATTTTTCTTTGCCAAGCTTGGTTAGAATTATTTTAAACAAGGGCTTGGAATCTTTAATCTTGCAAGCACTGTGTCCCAGTTCTTGTCATATCTTTCCCAAATCAGTTTGAAGTTCTCTCTATCAATCCTCTCATCCATATCATACCAATTTCTTATATTTGCAGACAAAAACTCTGAAGTCCTGAATGAAAACCAAGCTGACAACAAACCAAAAGAAATTAAATCAAGAAGAAAGAGTAAGAAGCAAGTAGGGTCAAAGTCAGTTGCCAGGGATAAAGAGCTTAGGTATGAAAAGCAGTGATATGATGGGTCCCTAGCACTGGGTGAAAACACTCTTATTAAATGGGTCGCTTTTACAACAATTCACCTTTAATTTTCACACTTTCACAGCTTGGTTAATAAGGTAAATAATCAAAATGAATGTGTAAAACAGGCATTTTTCATAAATTAAATTATTTTATAGTTTTTTCCTGAGCTAACAAATTTTGTAATTTCAAATGCATATGCTTTTTTCAGTACCAATGTTTCTGCTACTTCTTAAATTGGAAGATTTTTTAACTCCTTCATTAGAGACAGACCAGTCCATTATAAACCAATTTGACTTCTCAATTTCCTAAACATTTTGTTACCCATTTTAAAAACAGCCCTGTTGCTTTGGGTGAGGAAACACCAGCTCGGCAAACAAGATCAAGCAGGTATGGCATAGAATGTTTTTTTACCCACAGAAATTCACTTGAGAAACATTTACTTTGTAATTTGGACAGTTGTAAAATATAATAGTAATGAGTGGTAAAATGTGTTCTGATGTCTCACTTTCTTTCTTGTGTAGAAAAAGCAAGACAAATGTTAATAAAATGGTCGAGTCTGTGATAGATTCAGAGGACAATGACAGCAATGGAAAAGAAAATGTTTCAAGCAATGATGCTGATGATGTGTTCCTCAAATGATTCACTCACTTTGCATGTGCTGTGTCAACATTTCACATTAGTTTAACTTGCATTTCTTCATAGCACTTTAGGAACCTGTTGTTCATAGTTAATAAGTCTAATAGCAGTTGTTAGTTTTTTAAATGTCACGGTTTAATGATCTAAACATGTACAATGGTAAATCTTAAAAGTTCTGTATAATACCATTAGTAGTAAAAAGGGCAACTTGTTCTCCCTTGCTGCAATACAAACAATTTTGGTGTCTACTTTTGTTGAAAGAATTGTTGCTGAAATGGTGGATTTTGTCTCATGTAGATGACTGTTCAAGTGTATGTAATGGTATCTGTAAAATTATTTTATTATAGAGACTTTTCAGAAATGCTGTAAAACTGGATATATTGTTGTCTTCTAGATTTGGTTTGATATTTCTTTTGTCAATAAAATAAGATTATTGTCTATTTGTCACAGTGGGAGACAAAACAATGTTTTAGTTTCAAGACCTTTGTTATAGAACCCTTCAGAAATAGAATTCTACCCAATCTCTCTCTCAATTAGTATGTGCACTACAATTGGTCAATTAGGCAAGCTGCACTATGCCACACAGCTGCTTAATTCAAAAGTTTGTTTTAATTGAAATATTTCCCCTTTATTTGGACCCAGTGATGTAATAAAATACCTTTCAAACCTTGTTTCATACTTTTAGTTACAGACCCTTTTTGTTTTCTTTAATTTGGAAGTGTGGCCTGGGCTTCAGTGCTTGGGCTCTAAATCCAAGCAGAAAAGAATGTGACTGTAACTTACAGCACAGACTTCAAACTTGGTTAGTATGAGGTTTGTGCCAGAGCCTGCCCACATGCCTCAGGAAAGTTCAAAATTTGAACCTTGAGTCATAAATACATACAAGACATCTACTACTAGGAGGATGAACAGGTGGGGTATGATTAAGGTTATAAATGACCTAACAGGAAGAATAGACAGTTAAATGTACAGCTCAACATTAAGATAGTGGTTTAACCTGTTATTGTGAATTGTAATTACCTAGAAGCAATGTTGAAAAAAAAAAAAAGTGACTATTTTTACATTCCATGACATAAAATTTTACTTTTTAGCCAGTTATCTTTTGCATTGTTAACACATTTAAATATAAATAAGAACATTGTTATCAGGACAAAAATCAAAACCACATAAATAAGTACACTACTAAAAGATTTCAGAAGTAATATAAAGACTAGGATTTAGGAATCTTGGTCACAGAGGGGTGACAGGAATGGTTTGTAAAGACAGGAAAGAAGTCCTGCACTGAAGGAATCAATTGCTGAATGCAAAGTGAATACTGTCCAATAATCCCTCAGACAAAATGAACAGGGATCTGGGGAGAATAAATTGTTCATTCAGTATAAGTACTCATTGACAAGTGATAATTAGTGCAATTGCATTTCCTCTTTTTTCTCCTTTTGCAACATTACAGAATGCTGAGATTAAGATAATTGCTTTGGTATTGCAATCAGCTCACACTGGGTGGTTATGGCCAGAAATGACAACATCCTTTACCAATCAGACTACAATACTCTAAGATCTCCTATCCAATTACAAATATTTTACCAATCTTTATTATAATACAAAAATCCCCTTAAATAGCCCCTTTCCTGGTTAGAAAACAAGTGGAGGAAGAGAGAAGTTTACAAGAAAGACAGGGTAAGTGAATTTTCTTCACAAAGAAGGTAGCTCATGACAAAGAATGAGGTGGGTTGATACAGACTTGACAGAAATTCTTAAACATTGTTTCAGTAAGCTAAGAAATGAGACTAAATATGATAAAAGATATAAACATCTATGGATAGTAATCAAATTGGTAATCAGGTATACATATACTGGTTAATATGTTAAAATGTCCTCAGGAAAATTATGAACCAATATTGGTATTTGAGAATACAGCAAAATTATACTACTGAAAACACAATCTACTTTCCATTACTTAGACAAGCAATTTTGAAATATTTGGGAAATACAATTAATAACAACTTTGCTACATCTTGACTTTACTCAGAAGCAAATTTCAAATGAAGGAACAAAAGGAAAAGCCAACATAATGGATAATTTTCGCCAAAGCCCCAAAAAGCATTTAATTAAAATATATACACCAACATGACATGCAAGAGGTTTTTTACACAGGACACCATATCCTTGTCCTAAACTAACACTCATATGATGCATTTGGAACAACAGGAAGAGTACGTGGCTTTCTAATCCTCTGACTTCGTCTAGGCTGACCTCTTGAGCTGGCATGCTGTTCAAAGTAATAAAAAGTAATAAGAAAGGGGGAAATGAGATGCTTGGTAGAGATCTAGACAATCTTCCTTTGAGTCCTGCTTTGTGTTCTGGTCTGAAACAAAAGGGTTAATAGAGCTACCAATTAGTATTGTCAAGGCTATCTTTGGTAGGAACACACTGACATATATAGTTCAATTGCACAACATGAGGAGTAAGAAATGGGAAATATATTTTAAATAAAGCAGTTTTCAAAGTAATCTATGTTTCACAGCTCAAATTCCAGCACAGAAATATTGAGTTCCACAGTTAATTTGGAAAAAAAATCAAAATTGAGGAATGAGAAATTAGTATTACTTTCAACCAGTACACCATCCCATGGATCAGTGTTTCACTTAATAGAATTCACTGTTAGTCATGATTAAAAATCTTTTTTCTTTTAATTTTTGCCCCTCTACCTGATACCAATTATCATGCTGGTAGACCTATGGTACATGACAATTAAAAAATTTAACGAGTTTCACATAACATTAAACTGTTGTGTGAGTTTGCTTAATAAGTGGACTTTTTCTTTGACCATTAGGTCAATGGCACTTGCTGTGACATAACTACTATTAGCAAGATTCAAAGCTCATTGCCAACAAAAATGCCTGAGAACTGATGGTGGGAAACTTGCTTCTGAGGAAAATTTAATTAACAAGGTTATGACAAGGTTTTAAGTAAGGGCATAAAACAAAATTACACTATTTTCATAATCACCATAAATTATATGGTGTAAAGTAAATGTATGCTGCTTTTTCTTATGGTTTTTGGTACAAGAAAAATAATTTTATCATTCAAGACTGATGTCAACTTCTTTGATTTTCATGTTTGGAGCAATGTATTTAGCTGAGTATTCAAAAATATTCTTGGATTTTAATTTTTTTAACTTAACCTAAACTTCCACATTATGAGGGAATTAATTTTTTAACTTTTAAAACATTGAAATTATTCAAATTACTAGCAATCACATACACATTTATTTAAAATAAAGGTTAAAAGATTATCTCCAGTAAAACTGAAAACAATGTTTTAATTCATGGCTAAAATCGGCTCATTTGGTAAGTATTATTACAAATTAAAGCAAACAGTTGGATTAATAACAACCATTCTTACTCCCCTGAAAACAACATTTTTCAATGAAACATTTTCATTGCAATAAAACTGCTGCTTATCTCACCTCATACTGCCTTGGGAGGGTAGTTGACTGTAATGATAAAAATACATTTATATTTTAAGTTTATGAATCAAAGTAATTAATATCATGTTTTACTCCAATCATCACAAAAAGAACTCAAACTTGGAAAACAAAAGTAAGGGAGGTTTTGAACAAAACCTTCAAATTGGCAAATTTTTACCCACAATCACCAAAATATCATTAAGTTATCATTATGAAGAGTAACACAACATTAATTTACCTCAACATGATCATAGCCTGAGCCATGGACTCTTGGACGGTTTGAGGGTCTCTACAATAAAACCAGAAGACAACAAACAGGTATCTTACAAGAGAGCTCAAAATTGTTCTTTAGCTACACAGATACCGGGGAATAGTTACTTTTCCAGAAATTGTACCTCGGAGATAAAATCAAACTTACCCCATGTGAACGTGGAAGAGTTGCTGACCTATTGATGTCTGAGCCATAGGAGGAAGCTTTTTTCATTCCTTTAGTTTTAGTTTCTTCTGGATACTCCTTTAACTCATCCCTTAGCTTTTCGCTAAAAGAAAAAATGGGAAAAAGCTTAAAATAATAAAACACCTTGTTAACAATTGAAAACCATGTAAGTTCCTGTCAGCAAACATGTAGAGGAATATAGCTGTCCATAAAAATATTCCAGTGTTGAAGAACACATAACAGGCTTTTCATTCTTTATTACAGCTACTAGAAGTGAAAAACAAAATTAACGTAAAACTGGCTTACTTAAGATGTTAGACTGGAGAAATATGAGCTTGGTTATGCTGATTAAGGGGATAAAATTGCCCCAATAACAACTTGTACAATATCTCCTGCACATACCTCTCTGGGTCAGGATTGGCTGAATTCTCCTCCTCCTCTTCCTCTTCTCTCTCTTCTATGAGACTAAATTCTTCAGATTCATCAATTGGCACATAATCATTGTCTGTTGAATTCATTCCACCATACCATGATTTAGCCTTGCGAAGCCTGGCTTGTCTATGGTCTGTTACATCAGTGCCATAATGACGTAGCTTCTCTGCCAGGACAGTTTGACCCTACAACAAAATGTATAAATTTTTGCTTGTTACTTAAGCAGCTTTTTAGGTAGCTAGTAAAACCTAAGCACTCTGGCATCTAAATCAAGTGCTCTTTCTGAAAGAGAAGTTTAAATATAACTGAGTTTGTCAGAGTGCCACATTTGTTTAAGAATAAAGAAAGATTACCGTGGCAGCAGTCTTTATCATAGTGTCAGCAGCAATGGACAGACTATTTTTACTGACTCTCAAGAATGTGTCATATCCACTCTCTTTCAGCTGTAAAATGTAACTGTCAATGTCCTGTAGGGGTGCAGAGAGTACAAAGACAAATGCAATCAATTATTAACAACCAATCAATAAAGTTACAAAATTTTCAGAGCAATTTTGAGTTAACTGTCTTGAAAAAGTAATCTGGTTGCTTTGACTTTGCTTAACCAATCCCTAAGGTTGGTCTGGAAACCTGGCACCAGTTTCTCAAACAATGAAATACAAAAATTAAACCATTCCTCTCCCTGTACATTAGAACCTTTCCTTGCATGAGCCTCTGGGCCTCTTGTCTAGTTAGCCTTTGTTTTAATTGGTTATGGTTTTAGAAGTTAAACTTTACATGCCCCTTCTTTTTTCTTATCACATTTTGACATTATCTGTGACATATGATTGTAGAATTTTACAGCAACATGGAACCTATTTGTTAAGCTGAATTGTTTGCTGGTATACATAATAAGAACTAATGAAAAATTGCAGCAAGCAGCCAGTAAAGCTGAGGAACCACTTCACAACTGAAAATAACGTTTGCAGAAAAGACCAAATAGCAAAAAAACACCATCACCATCAACCATGCATACATCTTTTTTACTAACATTTTCATTGCGAGATAACCATGGATGCACAAATTTGCGATACAGAATGCTGGATCCCTGAGGAGAAAATAAAATTCAATATATGAACTTGACAAAATCTACTCATTGTGGCCATAAAACACAATCTCTTAACCAAGAGATTTACAAGAAGAGAAAGAAGGTAAGTGATGATAGAAGAATGCTTCTAAAACCAATAATGTTTTTGTAAAACATGGATACAAAGATTACCTTTGTTGCTGGTAACAAAAGCCAAAGCATGAATAGTATCTTAATTTCATAATAGAAGGGGAACCTAAAAAGAAACAACAAAAGAAATGCAGTACATCCCCAACAATTAAATCATAAAAATTACATAATTATTCATAATACTTTCCACACCCTATAATATCCAGTCTACAAGCAGACAAAAAAAAAATTGTTTGGAAACACAAAATTGAAATGTCATTTTTTTCTCTACACTGAATAAACACAATCCAGAATGACATTCCTTTTTTTTCACCTCCAGGAAAGTCCTCACCTAAAGGAATGATGTCCACTAAAATCACCTTCATTCTACATCATATGATTGTAGATTTAGAAAACATTTTCATCTCTGACAGAGGTTTATACTGCTAAATTAGAGAGCTCCACTTAGACATGGCAGGTTTTGTATTCCACAAATGTAAACTTTCTTATTATTTGCAAAGTACAGTCCTTTAGCATAAGCTTTGCAGCTAAGCTTTTTCTCAATACGAAAAGGAATACAGCAGATAAAGTGTTTATCAAGTACACACTTTTTAGAATGCTATTACTAACAGTTTCCTGCTGATTGAAGATAAAAAAAGAGGCTTTCAAGCCTTCTTGGGTTAACAGGTAACAAAACTGAATTTCATTTTCCAAAACAATCGAAATTGGTTGGCACTAAAATACAGGAAAAAAATAATGGTGCTCTTATTTGAAGATAAAAAGGCACATCTTGTAAACAATATTATTGCTGATAAAATGGAAAGAAAGGATCCCTTGACATCTATCAACCTTTGCATACATATCTGTCACTTACTCTGGTCCCTTTGTTATCAGAGTTGTTGATGGTATTCATTCACACTGACTTGTGCATTCTTTGGTGCATATTTGTTACATAGTTACATAAAAAATAATTGATTTTTGTGGCCTACTAGCTCACAAGAAAGGTAAATTTTCATTACATTGGAAAAAGAAACTTGACCTATCTTTTTTATCTTATTTTGAATGGACCAATAATTTTCTTTCTAAATTTAAGCTATATTCTTTGAAAAGGAGGGCTGGTATCAAAGGGCCTCCAAACCCAAAACAACCTTAAAAGGGTAGACAATGCTGTATTTTCCTTGTAAGTCCTGCTCCTATAGGAAACATGCATAGAAAAGCCATTTTCTGTTGTGGTTGGTGTATCATGTAAACAGCATTATTAGAAAAGCCTCTTTCTACTGTGGGTGATCAACCATGTAAACAGCATTATCAATCCTTTGAAAAGCCACAGCCTGAAAAACATGTATGGAATGAATAAATATACTTACCAAAATCCAAGTAGAAGATCAGCAAAGAGTTCTAGTGTGATAAAGAGAGCAAATACTATCCAATACATCATCCATCTCACCTGAAAACACACAGAGACAGTTTTGCATTTAAATATATATAAACATATTTGTATTTTCATGAAAAATGTTATAATACATCAAACACTTTGCAGTTCAGTCTATTACTGTTAAAGTTTTGGTAATTAGGCTGCAAAAACTGAAAAGATTCATCCTAAAATCTTACACTAGTTAAGATAATTAACTTCATGTTATCACATAACCCCCCCAAAATAGGCAAAACAGAGTCTTCCTCGTTGTAACAGAATTTTCCTTGACCCATGGCAACAGTTAATTTCAAGCAAGGATTTGTACTCAACAAACAAATGTGTTTCATCAGTTGCTTTGGTCACCTATGTCAGTGTCAGTTGCTTTATGTAAGGGTGTCAAGATTACAGTTTTAATATTTCTTTTTAAGACAAACTGAAGCTAATCCAAACAGTAAACAAGAACTGGCCTGCTTAACACCTTTAATACTCTAAGAAATACTGTAAACACGACAGCTGATTAGGAATGTGTATTATCTCGATATTGTTTGCCCAGCATACATTCAAATTCATGCACGGACAACATCCTTTGTCATTCCATGCAAATCAGAGTCTTTTCTCATTTGCAAATGAAAAACAAGATTGCAAAATACTATCATTTAATCTAGTCACACTCTTTAGGTCACAAAAATATTGACCATACTATTTTCTTTTTCTTAAGAATGACTGGGAAAGAGAAAACCTCTGCTGAGGAAAACTGACAGTGGCAAATAAAAAAGAAAAATAGAATGGCTATGAAGTGTAAATATGTTAATATGTAGCCGGTACAAAGTTCTAAGGTATCTCTCATGTGGAGGTGAATGCTGGATTCCAAAAATGAAATCAACTTTAGCACTTTGAAGATTTTTCTCTGATCTACTGACAAAATCTCTAGCTCTTAGCTCTTTTGTTTGCACAGCTAAATGTTTCAATTACAGCACCAAATAATCTGTAATATTAGAATATGCGATCTAAATGGTGTTTTTTTACTTTAAGCCACATATTTTCATTGGATTTTGGCAGAAATTCAAGGCTACATACTAGATTTTAAGCCAATTTATTTGAAGAGCTGAAACGGAAAAGCAGATCTTTCATATATTGCATGTTCAAGCACAACAATGGACAGACACAAGTCAATACGTATAACGTAGAACTGGTCCGTTAATATCAGGGCGACCTAAATTGTTTAAAGTGATAAGGTTCATGTCCCAAGAGGCGCCATCCAGCTTAAATGGTGCAATAAAATGAAGATATATAAACTTAACCACTCTCAAGATTGAATCTAGTTTGAATTCAAAGATACTCAAGGACTGTTTCCTTAGTGGGCCTGCCTCCGCTGCCGTAATCGATGCTGATCGTTAATAAATGTACGCGAAAACACAAGCCAGAATAATTATCAAGCATACAGTTTTAAGCTAGAACATAACCGGATGCTAAAATCTAGGTACTCGATGGTTGCAAATCAAAATTCTCGTCATCGTGACGGTGAACAATTAATTAGCACGAGAAGCTTAGAGCTTGAGTTAATGAGTTCTAACTCTACTGTTCACACTTTGATTATTCCAGACTGTACCCTTATCTTTACTTAAACTAGTAAACACTGATATTAAAACACAATGTCGAGTCTAAAGCGCTATCGAAAAACAACATTCCAAAAACATCTATCGAGCAGGACAGGAAAAAATAGGAAAACATTACAATGGAAGCATGAAAACAAAGAGCAGATACTCATAGGAAAGAGATATCTTACATATTCGCGGACATTCTTTGTCTTGATAGCTTTATATGAATAATACGCCGGATAGAGAGTTCCAAACACGAGCCTGTTTGAATGGAATAGGAGATAATCGCATTTACTTTATTTTGAAAAAAAAGAGAATCGAAAACCGCGCCAATACTTACATGATAAGTCGCGACGCCACGTACGAAACCATTTTCTACGCTAGCTGTGGCCTCTAGTCACAATCCTCTGCCTTGGTTTAACTCATTGTCGAATAATAAGCCATGCAGCCGCCAGATATGTTTAAAGCAGGAAAAACGGACGTGACAGATTAGTTCCAACCAACCTTCGGTTGCTTTTTGTTTCAGAACTATTTCTGCAGTGGTATTGGTCAGCGGAAGACTGGATAGTGACGTAATTGCACTAAAGTGAACAAAACGAAATATGAAAGAGGATGAAATTTTTAGTTTCTTTAAATGCCTTCTACGCGTCTTGTAAGTACTATCGATTCAAAATTCCGTTCTATACATTTTCAAGTTTCTTATGCATACCACACTGAGAAAGGGTCGGAATGAAGCAAATTATCTCACCATGTATTACAACAACCAAGCACCCATCACGCAGTCAGACGGGCTCCACGCGTTATGCAATATTATTAAATACCTAGACTTTCACTCAACAAAACGAGCACTGTGATTGGTTGATTCTTGGTCACGTGCCCCTGATCAAATTCAAATCTATTATGACCGGGATACAATTGCGCAGTTTCTGCCCGCGCGCCGATTAGAACAGCACATGATTGTTTAAAGTAAAGTCTAAATAGAAAAGAAGGCACTAATGTATGGTCCCTCGGGAAACTAGTTAGTTTTGTTTCCCTCAAGGCCTGATATTTCCCGAGACGATATCGAGGGAAACATCAGGACTCGAGGGAAAACAAAACTAACTGTTTCCTCCGGTACCATACATTAAGTGTGTATTGCACCACGCTTAGCTTTGCAATTGTTTAATAGTAAACTGAGACGGAAAATAAATTTTTGATGGTTATTTTACTCTGAGGGGTAGTGACACCGGGATCATGGGAGCTCTTAATGATCTGTGCAATCAACATAGTTAACGAGTTATCCATTGAGAAGGATGTCGGCCGGTTTATCAGAGACAACCGTCCGTAAGTAGAGCTATGGTATCGGTTAGATGACAAGTCGGCGAGGTGACCAAGTCGTGGTTCATCAAGGCAATCTGTAAGCTCTTATATTTAGATTTAGTATTTATAGAAATGATTTGCACTTAATTAGTGTCGGAAATTTTACTCGGCGAGAACTAAGAACTATATTGGCTCGTAAAAATATTTGAAAGTAGAACAGAGAATTCCAGGTCCCACTTGATTTACCCGGCCGCAATTTTTAGGTCAAGTGTCACCTATTCCTTTACCCCTTCCCACAGGAAAGTTCAGACCAAATTTCACGTGTTGTCCTATTCATGACGTGGAAGCAGGTGAAGCGTTGTTACATTTCACGAATGTTAAAATAAAGTGAGCTAAAATACGTATGATCCAGTTAAGCTTGTCTTCGATTAGATCCTCCAGTAGAATGATTCCAAGTCTTTGGCGCGCGGGTACGCGTGGCACAAATTTCATCATTCTTTCCGGTCAGCGGTTTCTCATCTACGTGGCTTACGATAATGGAGTTTCGTGTCCAAATGTTCAGCGTGGGACTAGAGTTTCCCCGTAATAAAAAGTTGCATCACTTTTCTATCCTTTACTCTAAATTTGAGATAGGAGGAAGGTGAGCTTGAAATACAGAATGTTGCAGTATTTGGCGATACTTGTTCTACTGACGTCCGGTAAGTTAAGTTTTATTTGATGTTAGGTAATTGTGCAGGGGAACAAAGCTTCTCTCAAATCATAACTTTTATGATTATCTCGTACTGATTTATCAGTCATCGATTTCAGGTTCTGCATGTTATATGGTGTCTGAAAAATGCACTGTTATGATATGTAAGAATTTGATTGATCACTGGTGTTTGGTATCCACATGTATAAAGGTTTTGCTACACATTTTAATTCATCTGTCAGGAAATTGCAAGAACCGTATAACCCACTAAAATCTTTGTGTTGGCGCTTGTCGCCCTCGATTTGATCAGTACTTCTCCCTCCCTGTACATGTGAATTAGTTGATGGAGTTCGGCACCTTATCAAAATGACGAGCAGTGATGAGTTTGTTTTTCTCTTTTTGTTTTTCATTTTTCCATGATTAACTGATTAACATGATTAACTGTTGTTTTGATAATGTAGGGAGAAATTAAATATCGGTCACTTTTGATGATAGTAAGAGAGTACCATAAATCTCATGGATTTTTTAATGGTTTCTTTAGTCATCAAGTAAGATCTAACAATCTATCTCTACCCTCTCAATTCTATCATGTGATACATTTCAACAGATAGGTAAAACAGATTACAAGCTGTGGTTGATGAATTCAGAAGTAATTATTGTTTAAGCAAGAAACTCTATAGTTTCGTTTTCAGCTAATTATGGAACAAATCAGAATGTATTTGTTAAATTGAATAAAATCCCATCATTTGAATTTTAGTGACCCAAACTTAACTTGACGGATTAATAAGAAAATTTTTTTTAGCTGCAAATAGACTATTTTCTTTATATTTACCTATGGATTTGAGGATCATGGATAGTGGAATCAGTATCGAATGTGAGCCATAGACTTTTCCCTTTAACCCCTAAGAGTGACTAGCATCTATTTTCCCCTTATAATATCCCCTGAATCAAACATAAAGGTCATGAGAGTTATGGAAATGATCAACAAGTAAAGGAGCTCTTGATTGTTAAACAAAATCTCCTTGACAGCACCTTAGGAAATATACAGAAAACAGTATGGAGAATGTGCATACTAATCTTAGTGTGTAAAGGGTTAATTGACTGGAACTGAAGTATCTACTTTGGTCCTTTAACTTTTTTCTTAGTTCATAGTACATATTTCTTAATTTTTTTTATACCAACTGATTGTAGTGATGCCAAGAAGCAACTTTGTAGTTTCTCAATAGCTCATTTTACTATAATTCTTTTTTATTGTTTCAAGCTTTGGGAGACCAACAACAAGGACTTGTTTTGGTTAAAAGTGATGATGAGGACACCAATGATGACGAAGTTAAGGTAGCACCTAATACTGAACAATTTGATGAAGAAGACCTTGAAGTTTTTCAGCCATCATCAGAATGGCAGTCTATCAGACCAGGTCAAAGTATTCCAGCAGGACTCCATGTGCGCATGAACCTACAAACAGGACAGAAAGAAGCCAAACTTATGGAGGGAGATGATGGAACTAAATTCAAAAATAACATGGACTCAGAAAAGAAATTTATCACAATTGATAAAAATGTCATTTCAAAGCAACGTCTTAAAGAGGCTCTTAAGGATTTTAGGGATAAATTTCATGATGAAAGCCTTAATGGGGAGCATTCTGACCAAAGTCATGGTTCATTGACTGGAGGTGAGTTTTAGAAAATCCAACCTTAGTTTTATGTACTGACATGAAACCTATTAAACAGTTGGTCAACAGTTATGTTTTTTTTTTTTTCATCTGTAAGGAATTTGTTTGAAACCAAACACATTAGATATAACTTTACAGTATCTATATTAGACTGGCAACCCTGTTCAACAGTTCCTATAGTTGTTCATTGAAGATGGTTGCTTTAGCTAACTTTTTAACCCCAGAGGGTGACTAGAATCCGATTTCTTCCTATGGTATCACAGCTGAATTAAACATTGGGCTCTTGAGAATTTAAGAAAAGTTTGCAAACTTGAAAAGCTTCAGATTTTTAACTAAATTCTCCCTGTCAGTGCCATAGGAATTGTATAAAGAATGGTATAGAGATTATACATGCTGATGTTAGGGTGTAAAGGGTTATTAATAGATTGATGTTTCACTGTGCAATCCATTTCATAGCTAGCAACATTTGGGTTTTATTTTTTGCAGGGAAAACATTTAGGTCAATAGATGAAATCCGGAAGGAATTGGAAGGAGTTGATCTTTTTCTGAAAAAGGATATTGAAGAAATTACAAAACATGTTGAGATCCTAAACACTTCTAGTTCCAGTTTAGCAGAGAAGGAGCATGCCCTTGATGAGCTTGAGTATTATGTTCATCAGATAGATAATGCCAGAGATTTGGACACTATTGGTGGACTCTCCCTGGTGATAAAGTTTATGAATTCCTCTCAAGAGAGCCTAAGAACACGGGCATGTTATGTTCTGGGATCAGCAGTGCAGAGGTAGCTTATTTACTGTTTTTATCAATAATGATAGTTTTTGGGATATTCAAGTACTGAACTGATAATATGCATCACTTTTGTTGAGAAAATGGATCTAGGAGGCTTAATAGCCAACTGCTTTTTTTTTGGGAAATGTGTTCCCACTCTTTGAAGAACAGACCCAACAAAACAACAACAAAATCAAGCCCACTGATCTGAGGGAGGTGCTTAGGTCTCTTGTTCCTACCCCTATTATTAACAAGTTAAGAACTGGAGCTCTCCTGTAGAGCCAAGACATTCCAATTGATTTATCTTTTTTTCAATTTATTTACTTGTAATTTGGTTATGTTGGGCTTTATGGTTAATCCTCCATACACATGTAAATTAGCCTTTCTAATTTCATCAAGAGGTTTGAAAACAAGAGAATTTTTTCTTCCAAAAGGGAGGCCCTGAAGGCTTATTTGCACATAAATAAAAAAAAAACAATTACCATACCCATTATTATGAAAAATGTGCATTACCTAAAGGGCTAAAATATGAAGCTATGGCAGCAGAGAAGAAGGGCATGTTAATAAAACATAGTTGATAAATGATGCTTACATTAAGATGATTTATAAGGGGTTTGATATGGCATTTTGAATACCATGTTTACATGGTTTTGCAAGAACGACTCTTTTTTGACTTGTTTCATTGCTTATTTTTCCTTTTTTGCTTGTCCAAAACAGCAATCTAGTGGTCCAGCAATCAGCCTTGAAACAGGGAGCATTACCATTACTTCTTCGCTTGTTGTCCAAACATGAACCTATGGCTGTGCGTAAGAAAGCCATGTATGCACTGTCCTCCCTCATCAGATTATTTTTGGTGGGACAGAAAGAATTTCTTAAGCTAAATGGACTTGAAATGTTTGTCAAGCTCTTTAATGAGGCAAACACAGAACCTCTGGTTATCAAAGCAATCACTCTGATGACAGATATACTGACAGAACAAATTGAATATGTCACAAGTCTGCTGAGAAAGCAAGGACAGGATGTTTCTGGTGATATCTCTGGGAGGTATGGTTTATGTTTCTTTTTGTGATCATAGTACCTCTATAATTATTTTTATGTGCTTTTTTATAGTCATAAATTCCCACTACCACATCACCAGTAAAATCAGATTTGATCAATATACTTTTTCTATTGGTGTAGTGAACCAACATTGTGAAGGTCCTGTGGCCTTAGTTACTTGCTTCAAACCCAATATTTCATCTGTAGCAGGAGAGAAAGTTGAGGAACTCTACTTTGTTGTACATGAGTTTAAGTTACCATATTTAGCAAGGATTTTCATGATTAAATCAATAAAGATTATAGAATTATTATAAGTAGCTGAATTGTGACTACCAAAATAACATTTCAGTCCTTGACATTTTATTTCTTGCTACATCATATCAAGTTGGAAACCCATTATGTACTTTTGCCATAATATTTAACTAACTACAGAGCCTCTAACTCTTTAACTCCTAGAAGTGATTAACAAGTAACTTCTCCCTATAATATCTAAACATTATCCAGCAAATAGGTCATTAGAAAATTCAAACTTATCAGGTTGAAGTTGTTATCTCAGTCTGACCACATACTCTTGCAACTTATTTACAAGGAAATATGTAGCAGCTCAAGGAGAGAATTAACAATCAGATCTTGGGAGTTAAAGAGTTAACAGTTTGCTTTCCAATTAAAAATCCTAAAAACCAGAATAATGTTGTCGAGTTAGTGTCAATAATTATAAGATGATGATTTTAACACAGCTTGGGAATGATTTCCAAGGTTGCTAATTTTGAGTCCTGGAAGCTGTTCTTGATTTTGTGATATTGTAAAATCAGGTATTTCTTAGACTAAATACAGCTCTGATTGACAAATATGAATAATAGATTTTAATGCTTTTCATTAATTACAGGGTCCCTTTGTTAAAAAGCATGATTGAAAAGGGTTGGTGCCAACTTATACCCAGTCTTCTACATACTACAGAAAATGACACCAGAGAAAAAGTTTTACAAGCCCTTCACGTAATGGTAACTGGATGTAAAAGTGAGTTTCAAAAGGCTCACATACAGAACAGCTTAAAAAAACTCAAACTGGAGTGGCTCAAAGATGCCAGGGGTTCAGAAGCTAGTGACAGTTCTGAATATGCTGGAATATTGGCACAACTTGTTATAGACCTGATGAGCAAGTTAACATGACTGCAGAGCTTTATGTAGCATTTCCCTTTACAGGATCCACCCACCTCAGCGTCCTGTTGGTATTTTTGCCATGGAAGGACGTTTGGTTTTGAAAAAAAAAAATTTTTTTCTCTTGATTACATCGTAGTTACGTGAACCCCAGGATTCTCCTTACTCCTTGCGCCTTGTACTAGTCTCACGCTCATTCGTTCTTTGAGATGTCACGTAACTTCTCCCTAAGTGTTGCGTGACATGGTAAAAAACAGTTGCGAAGGAGACCGTGTTTTACATGACTTTGCATTAGCCTTTGTCTGAAAAGGAAGCCAACGACTGGTAGTGATCTTCAACTTCATTTCCCGGTCACGATACAATGATAGTAAAAAAGTAAAATAGAGTTATAAGATTACTGCCAATGTCACAAAAGGGGATGTACTCATTTGACATCGAACATGAAGGGACCTTCACCGGTTTGGACGCCGTGTGATATTCCGAGTGAAGATCTCGAATTAAACCTTGTCTGACATGTAACTTAAAGTCAGTGCCATAAGAAGTCCGGAAACCTGGTAGTTGTTAGAATGTACACTTGTAAAATAGAAGTGTCAGTTAAGTTGTTTACTAATTTCCTGACAATAGAAGAAACCAGACTCTGACATAAGACGTCTCGAAAGCCGTTGTTTGGTCTAACCCCGTAGGCTACGATGGAGACTAGGTTTTCATTGGATCACAGAATCACTGCGATTGCAATGATCCTAGCATTCACATCAAAACCAGGATTTACGGACGTAGAGTCTTCAAGGGCGCTTGTACGTACCTCTAGTAATTTCTTAAATATTTAATACTTCGATTTTTGCAAAAATCGTCTTTAATTATTAAGTCGGTTGTTCTTACGGATATCTTATTACTTTCCTGGGATTCGACTTTATGAAATAAGGAATTAAAAGTTAATAAAAACGCTTTTCAATGCAATGTTGAAGTTCAAAACTGACCTAACGATTGCGATACACAGACTTGGTCTTTTACCACTTGGAACCTGTTTTCCAAAGAGGTTCTCAAGTTCACCCGTACTGAAAGGAAACGTGCCATCATCACGTCGATCCTACTTTAAGGTCATGCACGTGTTAACTTTACCGTCAGGCGCAGATCTTCATGGCCACCCAGAGACCACGTAGAATGATGTATGGCCGAGCGCTTAAAGGTGTTCAGTTTGACTTTAAGGTCAATTCTTAATTTCCATTTTCAGTTTCTTTTTGAGGGTCTAAAATAGACTTCTTCAATCCCGCATCACGCCGCTATTTTTTCATTTCATCCCGCCATTCCGTCGTAAGAAACATTTTCATCCCGATCGCGCCGTTTCTCTAGTTCACCGCCAACTGATGGACAAATTAAAACCTTAACAATATTGATAATGTACTCTCGTTATGGAGAAAGGCAAAGACTTGCTTAACGTATATTTAGCCGGCTTAAAAAGCGGTTGTTCCTCGGTGTGTTTCCTCGGTGTGTTTATGGTCTCTTTCAGGCTGGGTCTCTTTTAAGCGAGACAGAAAAACTCAACCTACAGAAGGACTAAAAGAAAAGCTGTACAGTTACAATAGTGGATAGAATTCTCCAGCCGATCGCCCAAAAACAGAAGTCATATCTCAAAGATACAACAAAGTTCATCTACTTTATAGAAAATACAAAGCTTCCGAAAGAAATGATACCCGTTTTGCTGGACGTTACGAGCTTACACACAAATATAGCTACCTTCCCCTCCCCCCCCCCCCCCCCCCCACCATGCCAAAGCGCTTACTAGAGAAAGCACTTAGACTGATTTTGCAGCAAAACTCATCCCAATTCAACGAACAAAACTACTTGCAAACGTAAGGAGCCGCCATCAGCTTTTGCAAATATCTTCATGGCTAAAATTGAAATGCAAATGCTAGATAAGGGCGCTCGTTTGGAAACGCTACATCCACGGCATAATTTCTCTCATGTACACCAACAGATAAGTCGTCAACCAGTTCATTGAACAAGCAAATAAACACAACCCAAAAATCAAATTTACAGCTGAAATATCTGTTTCAGAAGCTATTTTCTAAGACACCACTATCTTTAAGGGTGAAAGATTCAACAGGGAGTCAGTTTCGACATGAGAACCCACTTCAAACCAGCAGAGACACACATTCAACACAACGTATCACCTAACGGGAACAAAGAATTACTAAAAGGCGAATCGTTACGAGTTCCCGAGACAACTTCTTCAAAAGAAAAATTTGAAGAAAACATTCCTGGCAGAGAGAAAATACCCGAAAAACTTTACCGACAACCCATTCTCAGAAGTGAAATTTTAAGAACGTACACGAGCCCTCCTCCAACAGGGAAAAACAAATAGTCGAATCTTGCCCTTTGTAAGAACACAATACTAACCAACAGTTCCAAACCTTTAAGGAAATCCTTATGATCAACAACCATTGTTTGGAGAAATCTTCAAAGAACTGCCGATAATATCATATAGAAAAGGGCGTTTACTCAGACATACTCGTGAGAGAAAAATTATAACGAAGGCGAGAAAACCGGACATACTATGGGTCGTGTAAACACCTGTAACTACCGTAATAGAGAGGAAGCCTGTCAACCCCAATTTACATGGAGGCATCAATTAAGCCCATTTCAGTAAAGCAGATGATTCTTTCTAATGTCTCGGTGAGGTAGGGTGACGCGTAACTTTAGCTTTACTATGATCCCGCTTATACTCGTCCTCTCTCCTATCCTGCCTTCGAAACGGAGCATATCCCGGTCTCGCTTCCAATTTTCATCCCGCATCTTGCATTTAAAATTTCTCTCATTTCATTCCACAGCCCGCCTCGATTTCAAGCCTCATCCCGCATCCCGCCGAACCCATGTTGGATCCTCCTTTTTATCCACACCTGCACACGGGGTGAGATTTTCATGCCTTGAATTATAAAGCGTTTAAGTCGGGTGGTAGCTTTTCTGGTAGACATCGTTTTCCTTGGCATTTAACGAATTTAACAGTCAGGTTTTTCTTTTGTCGTGGGTCACCACTCGCAAACGATACCTTGACTCTTCTTCCTACCATCAAAATCTATTTCTTTTTTTCATCGGGGTAGCTGGATGCAGGGGATGATGACCACCCCTTTCAAAGAACCTTTACTTCCGATGTTGTCATTTGTAAGAGCATTCAGTGACTCACCAACGGCCTTGCTCGCGACCAGTTGTCCTCAGCTTTCGCAAATCTGAGCCCGCAGATACAAGTTCAGCGCACACGCGCCAATGAGCAGCTCTCTTAGAGTCATACATTTGTGATGGCCAGTTTGAACGTTCAGACACTTCTCCCTTAGCGTGTTTGAAAGGGGTTTGTTTTGTGTAAACGCCTTCTTCTTCAGCAAGAATCCATAAAGTTTTCAATCGATTCTGTTTCTATTGATGGGTTTATTGTGGTCCTCGAGAGAGTTGCGTGTTTGATGGAGAGCGCGAAACACTATGTACGCTTTCCGTCAGGCAGAGTTGGTTGGTAAGCGCTTTTTGTGTGTCCGGGAGAAAAATACTCTTCGCCCAAACTCTCGATCAAGGCGTGTGGCAAACCCTTTGGACTATCAGTGGAAAGTTGGAGTAATCAGGGTTTGCAGCGAAAAGGATTTCAATCATCCAGAGCTAAAGGTTAGGGAATTTTTTTTTCAGTTTTCACTGTCGATGTGGACAACGTTGTAGCTGGTTGGCATTGCTTGCGACTGTTCATTGAACATACTAAGCATTTGTTTGAAAATGAGAGTCGATCTCCCAGAACAAAACGGTTTATTCTTAGCTGATTTTCCGCTAGTAGACAAAAGGTACATATTTAAGACTTTGAATAAACGGTACACCGGCTAAAATGCAACTGGTGTTGAATTGTTCACTCGTTAGTACTCTCCAATGAACTGAATATAAAAACTTCGTGAAAATGCAGGCTTTGTCAAAACCACCGGAGCATGAAATTTCTTAACGCTGAATCTATCCTGCAGTGAAGAGTTGAGTAACATTTCTCTGCTGACTAGATCACGTTAAATAACTTAATTCTTTTAAATGTATTAAATCTTGTGTCCAAATGAATACCAGTTCTTGAATGTGAAGTGACGACTTATCTTAAACGTGCGTGATCGCGGGTTGAAATGTACATTAAATCCACTAACATTAGGAAATTGGTGTATTTTATTGGAATATGTGGATTTTATTTTAATTCCTTCGTAGTTCTATTCGTCTAATGATGTCTTTGATCGCGTGTCTTCAGCATCAACTGTTCTTGTATTGTGCCCGTAAACGAATAACTATTTATATGCCTTACTCGTTGGCTTTAGATATAAGTTCAACCGATCGTATCAATAGTTGTGCACAGATCTGTTGACCTCGTTTAATTATTACCCATACACCACTTAAATTAAGTAAAGGGTCGGAAACTGGAAGAAATTTCAAGCAGTGAAAGGGACATTATTGTAACCTTCACCAACATCAGCTTGTAATAAGATCAACAACAAAAGACAGGTATTAAACATGAATACTTGGACAATATTTTGATTTCTCTCCTATATTACATTGAGATTAGGTAATGGGGAATTAATGAAGGATGTAATTATACCAACAAGAAATTAAATTCTCCTAGTTCTATTCAGCGCTGAATACATTTTTTTGACTCATTGTATTTTGGCTATTGTGCTGCTTTAGAGGTCTGTCTCTGCACAATGAAGGTAACTGTTTTCAACTCACCAAACTATTAATGATTTATTCAGGAAGACTTAAAATTTCTTCAAGGGTGCTTCATCAGCTTTATTCACAGTGTGTTTTGAGACCAGTTGCAATGTTTGTTTATTTAAACAAAATACTTTGAAAGAGAGTTCCTTTTCCAACTGGACTGATCTAATAAAAAATTACCTAGTTAAATAAGCACTGTAAGAATTTCTCACCAAGACATTGGGGCTCTATGATTTTCAAAAAACAGCTGTGCGAGATATCTAAAAGACTGAGATTTTCCACGTGTTTTGATTGGTACAGAGCCCATCTGCATAAGTTCTGCTAAACCCACAACTAATTTAGATTATAGTAAAAATTTGTATATAATGCATGCTGTCATTGGTTAGGATTTTGGGAGAAGACTTGAAAAGTTTATTAGTCAATAGCCATCAGCATGTGATTACAAACTTTTTACAGTATCTTCCAGAGTCCCAGTTGGATTACTGAGGTGGCAAACTAATGGAAAGTTAATTCAATTGATTGACCAGATGGGATCATTTACAAGCATGATTATAGTATATACCTTACATATGTTAGTCTGAAAACCAATTTAAATGTTTTGTTTTACTTCTCTATTGAAGGTCTTAGTTGAGTATGACGATGAAGAATGGACAACTAGGGAATGGCTTAAAATTCATGATGGAAGCTGGAGGTTATTTTTGGTGGAAAAGAGCATGGTATGGAGTCAGAGACCAGACCCCTCCAATCCAAAGAGACCTCTCCTTTGGCCAGCTTTGGTAGGAGAATTTTGTTATTTTGATTGAACCTTAGCAGTTGATTTTAAAAATTTATACCTAGGGCAGATAATCAACAAACTTCTGCTGTGTATGCATAGCATTGTGATGAATTTATAAAGCCTTGTAGCTCCATGTTCATCACTGTACTGGATGGGGTATCTCAGTAGTCCATCATTGTAACATACAGATCATTTGTAGCTTAAAATGTGGGACCATGTGCAGTAGCATTTAATAAACTTGTGTGACCCAAGCATAGGGCTTATTTTGGTAAAGGTGGTACATATTGTTGAACCTGTATTAAGCTGTTGCCCATGGGGAATGGTGGAGTGACCACTTAACACAGGTTCCACAGAATAGGGATATTTGAAAAAAATGATGACTCCCAATTTATGCTCTGATTGACCATTTAATGCACAAAAACTTGCTCAAAAATACAACTAACATTGATTTTGGGAGCTTAAGATGGTACTGCTTAATACAGGTTCAACTGTATTTAAAGGTGGTGCTTATTCAAAAATCATTTTTTATTCCAAACAATGACAACAAGGACATTTTGTTATTAAAAAAAAAAGCATTCAAAATACCATTTATTGTCATGTTGTGGAGGAAATTGGCTTGCCCTTTTCACTGGCCTGTTCTGTCAAATTCACTCCTTCTCTGTTCCTCTGCAGGAGTTCAGGTAATGAAGCTGATAAGGATACTTAATTCTACTATTTTTATGTTTCATTATATGATATTAAAGAAACAGCAAATGAACATTTAATGTAGACTAAACTGAACCATAGCATGAACTTGTTTTATACCATGGAGACTCGGAAGGCTGTTGTGCTATGAGTTTCATTTCCATTGTCAAAGAAGTCTTAAAACTTTGAGATCATATTTAACACCTACACCAGACTAAATCAATTGTTTTTAGTCTTACCTACATGTACCACTTTAATGGGGGTTAGTTATGTAAATATATTTTTTTAATTACTCTGTGCCTTAAAGCTTTAATGTCAACTCTCTCTTTACAGACATTTGTCCCCCTTGTTGATAAACATGGTTTGAGTGATGAAGAACGGCCTGTTCCAGTGGAGTTTGTGGGGGACCATGAAAGGTGCATCATGATAAATCTACTTTCATTATTTATTTTTTTTTTTTTGCCAAATGCCTCTATGCAGATGTGACTATGAGAGACTTTACAAGGGAGAGATGTGTATATATATAAGGTGGCACACAACAGGGAATTTGAAATGTAAAGCAAGAATTTAAAATAATTTTGAATTGTTCATCAGCATGAAAAAATTATGTTGAACATCTGGTATTCTTCCAACTTCCAGCTGTTATCTATTTCTATATCATTTTTGGAAAAGGATGGAATTTTTTTTTTTTTTAGAGGGAGGGATATTTATTTAAGAGGGTTGTTCACTAAATTTCAAAGGTCTGGATGAAGTGTCCCTTAGAAAATAGTGTTAAGTAGAGACAGGCTATGTGTAGGATATGGCTGCAAGATATTCAAGAAATTTAAACATTCATAGACAAGTAGTATGTTAATCAATATTTTTGAGGTGAGTTTTCTGTTAAGGAGCAACACACTTGGTGATTTTATACCCTGTTTGCCATGATCAGGGAAAGTAATCAAGTGTGCCCAGGCAGCGAATGCAATTTTTGTCCATCTCTACCAAAGGCATACATGTATGAAATCACTGACATCTGACATGTCAGAAAGAGGCATTTTACGCCAGGGATCAAATTATAGTAATTGGCAAATTAAATCATCAAGCAAGTCACTGGCTTTACATTGTTTGTTTGCATTTGAGCTAATCCTTAATTTTGCTTCTCTCTTGTAGAGCATTCTTGCGGAGTGATGAGTTCCGTCCATATGGTCAGGTATTACTGAATGTTAGAAAGTGCCTTAAAGTGTAACAAATCTTTGTTGTGAAATATGTAATGTTTTCTGGATTGATAAAGTTTTTTAGCCCCATTGCTCAATAGCAGTTATTACGATTGCTTATAGCACAACCATATCAGTACTCATTTTTAAAATAGCATGTAGTTCCAAGAAATTTCTTTGTCATGGGTAAACTTTGTCAACCTTTTCCATAAGGGTGACATTTTTGTCAGTACTTTTATGGACTTTGATCAGCCCCCTTTGTTGAAAATTCTAAGCAATTTTCGATGTGAATAAGGCATTAAGACCAATATAGTGGAAAAGAAAAGAGCAATGGTTGTTTTCCATTATAAAATAGCATGCATACAAAATTTAGTTTGTTTATGTTGACCTCTTGTAGGATGATGATGCCCTCCATCCAGTCCTAAGAAATAATGTGGCTGTAGTACGTGAACTGCAAGGATGGCAGCTCTTGCAGAAGTCACAGTCAATTCTTATGAAAGGTAGTTCTTTTACAATGCAAACACTGCAGCATTTTGTTATTTATAGAACCCTCTTTCCTTTTTGCTATGGCTTCACATTTTACACATTTGTTTTCTCTGTTTTCATTTTCCTCTGCATTGAAGTTTGGTACATGTAACTTTTATAGTACTTGTGGCTGAGTTACATTTTTTGAGGGAAAGTTAGCAATAAATGTACCTTACATAAGTGTTTCACCCCCTTAAAATATGCCTGAGATTAACTCTCTAGTGATGTTGTGGATCAGTGTTTTATTAAGTCAAAAAACTTTTTGTTTTCTTCTTTTGTTATAATGAAATATCTTACCTTGCAAAACCAAAAAGGTTTGGCTGGAGAATGTACAAAAAAATGTTGGTAGAAAATGTTTTGCTTGGGAATAAAATTTAACTTCAACATTAATAAAATTTTTTGTTTTAAGGTCCCTTCACCTTAACTGGTTTTAGAGTCAAAGTTTACAGGTGAGTTTTCTCATAGTTGTCTGGACACATAGATCCATTGTTTTGCTCATTGGGGCCTTTGTTAAGGATCATTTCATGTCTCAGATAACCATATTCCAGAAGAGACATCCACCTAAACTGACAATGAAGTGTAAGACTAACAGACTATCAGAACTCTGTCATTACATTATACCAATAAAAAGAAAGTTAACTCCTGAAATCATGCAATTTTATCTACAGCATTAAAAAGTGTAGGATTTGATTTGACACTTTTGTATGTGTGGCCAGGTTACTGAGTTGTTTCAAAATGGCAGCAGCCTCTGTCAGATTTTAAGGATCTAGGAAGATGTTTGAATTATGATTACATTATTATTTTTGTAATGTAGGCAAAGCTGCCGGCAGTGGTTTTCAGCTGTAATAACAGCACATGACATTGTTTCCAGGGTAAGTGATATGTAAATGAAATTTGTGCAATTGCACTATAGTACACATACTTGGAATTGTTTCATATAATGCCATATATTTCTCAAATCACCCATTGTAATGTTATTACATTGCAGTTTATCACAAATTTCCAAACAGGCCTGCACGCAATATCTTAGTTAATCTTTTTTCAGGAAAAATTCATAGAATTATGGAAAATATAATTGCTCTGGAAACAAACTCTTCTAGAAAAGATTCAAACCTTTACAAGACAGGGAGAGAGTGGATGACACATTCCAAATTTTTATTACTACTGTAATGTTATTTTTTTAATTTCACAGTTCATTCACATTTTAAGGATTGTTTTGTGTTAAATGTGGTCACAATAAGCCTATAGATGGGGGAGATATTAACCATTTACACCTAAAATCAGTATGTACATTCTCCATACTGCTCTTAATACATTTCCTAAGGTGCTGACAAGGACAATTTGTATACCAATCAAAAGCTTCTTTTGTTGGTGATCGTTTCCTTCATTCTCATGACCCTAACATGTGATTCAGGGGTGATATAGTAGGGAGAAATTTGATGCTAGTCACTCTTAGGGTTTAAAGGATTTAATGAGAATAAGCTCAACTTTAGAGTAACCATATTATAAAATTATCAGAAATTACCACCAACTTTTTAACTATACTTTTCAGGAGTTAAGTGTAATGGATGACACAGTATTGCAGACTCACAGAGTTGATCCAACACTTGTCCAAGTTATTCTTCTGGCAAATGGTAAGTACATTTAAGTTAATTGTGCATGGCAAAGGTCACTGCTAGTGAAGGTACTACCAATTTTTTCCTCTTTTAATTTGCTTGTTCATATCTTGTTAAGTCCTTGTATTGGGAGTCTCAAATGAAAAAAGCACTAAAAAAAATGACTGGCTACAAAAAAACCTTAGGAGAACACTGAATGACATCTTTCTGTGTGAGATTTGAGAACTTTACATATCAAGTTGGTCATGGAGTATTGGCTTTGATCTATAATTGTGTATGACATATGTGCTTTTGGTTCTTATTTGCAGAGGCAGAACTAGATAGTTTGTTGCGAGGGGAGCTAAACGTAGTGCGAGTTTTGCCAATGAGACAACACCGCCACTCACAAGTTGTTATCACTGCTCCTTTGACAACACACTCAACATCTGGTCCTCTTTCTTCATCACCATCGGTAGGAAATTTTCTGGATTTCTAACAAAACATATGACTGGTTCATTCCTCTCCAGTGAACATATCCAAATAAATGTTTTTTTTTCATGAAATGCTTACCCTCATTTTTCTTGCTTCCCTTGGTGTGTAGACATGGCAGTTGTATTCTGGATTATCACAAGACAATAACACAAACAACCTGGCAAATATCACGACACCAGTTTACCAATCAGCTTTAGCTTCCACAAGTGCTAGATTGAACACTGCATGTTCATCCTCTAACTCACATGGGATAAGGCATGGCAAAGAGAGGAGAAAGTCCACTGAAACAAGGTGCACTATTTATATACAGTTCTATTGCCGCAGCAGTATTTATATATAGTTCTATTGTCGCAGTGGTATTTACATAAAGTTTCAGTGCTGAAGTGGTATTTATGTAAAGTTCTATTGCTGCACATATGACTGTACCTGACATGTAATTTTTTATCACTATAATCATTGTTGTTCCTTCCAATCCTCAGGAGAAAATAGGGCTACCCCCTCCTTCTCTCTTTTCAGACATTTGTTTGATCTTAATTTTTTCAACTATTCTCCCTTTCTGCCACACATCAATTCTCTTTGTTTTTGGTTGTAATTTCAGAAACATCCTCAATTCAACGAGCTTCACATTTTTCATATTATCAATATACAAATTGACGTGATTTACCAAATATGGATTGTGTACAATTCACTTATTTTGCTTTTTCTAACAGTAGTTCAATATATTTGCAGTAAAATTGAAAACACAGTGCACATTTTCATTTTTGTCTTTTTCTCCCTCTTTCTAAGAAATAGGACACCTTCTGCTTGCAAAATTACAAGGTCAAACTCAAACAGCCCAGTTCCATCCAACGATACTATTAAACCAGCATCACAAACACCTCAGTCATCTTTCACATCTTCAGTGGCCACTCCCCTGATGTCAAACCATCTAACAGCACCTCACTCACATAACCAACTCAGCAACAAGACTTCACCCCCAGATGCAACTATTTCTCCTGCAAAGAACTCTAGTTCCTCAAGTTCTGTTGGATCACCTCCATCAAGTTTTCCAAAGAAATCACCTCTTAAACAACAAATGTCACCAAAAACATCACCGCCATCAGTGTTATCTTATAATTCTTCACCTGCCTCCAATGCTAGCATGAGTGCTATGGGTAGTCCCTTTAGAGCCCATCCATTCTGTTCTTCTCCTGATTTATCATCTGTGGCAAGCATGGCAAGTCCTATGGCTGGAATATCCCACATGGGCATGTGTTCTCCAGGTCATGCAGCACATTCAAGATCACAAGGTCCTCATCCTCTCTACCCACATACCATGGGACTTAACATCTCACCCAATCAGCTATATGCATTGCAATGCCAACAGCAGCAGCAAATGCCAGCACAAGAGCAGCAGGAGTATCTCACCAAGTTGCGGCATCAGCACTACCAAAGTCTGCTACAACAGTATCAGATGCACTGTTATCAACTTCAACTGATGGTACAGCAACAAGAGCTCATCCAGCAGATGCCACTCACTGCAGAACAACAGCATATTCTAGCAGAACACTACAACCAGCTCCTTTATCAATTTCAATGTGCACAGATCTTTCAGCAGTTAGCAGCTGTCACTCAAGAGGAGCAGTTGTCTAACTTTCATTCTGTTGAGGGTGACATTCACTCTCTTCCGGAAAGGATACAGCAGCGACTGCGAGAAGCACAGCAACAACAGAAACAGTGGTTGCAGGAACTCACACCTAGGCTTGAGCCAAAGCAGCTGCACACTCTTTTCACATGTTTACAACAGAAGAGTATGACAGCCAAGGAAATAGAACAGCTTTACTCTTTACTGCTACAGCAACAACAAGAGCAGAAAAGACTAACACATGCACAGAGGGAGACGCCAGAGTGCGAACAACAGAAGCAGAAACTACAGCAATGTCATCAGCAATATCAGGTCATTTGAAGTCTCAATTATTTAGTGATATGCCCCCCTCAGGGAATTATGAGCTGAATTTTACCCTCCATAGTGTAGAGAGAAATGTTGCCGAGAGTTTTACTTTCAAAGACTATTTTCCTCTTTTTTTTAGGCTTTCTCCTTTGATCTTCAGGCAATTATTAACCCTTTAATCCCTTATATTGACTGATTTCTAATTTCTCCTTACGGTATCAACCCTGAATCAAATATGAAGGTCGTGAGAGTAAAGGAAATGATCACCAATTTAAGAAGCTCCTGATTGTCAAACAAATTCTCCTTGTCAGTACCATAGGAAATGTAAAGCGAACACTGTGGAGATTATGAATACTAGAGTTAGGGTGTGAAGGGTTAAAAAGAAGAGTAACTTTAGGTGGCCTTTATGGCAACTGAATATAGAGATGGAGAGTTCCCAAAACCTTTGAAGGCAAGAAGGAAAAATCATGATATTTTCAAGTAGAAGCTTGTTTTGCATTCTGAGAATAAAACTGATGTAAGGTTTTCTTTGAAAACGACAGGAACATTTACAGAAATTTCTCCAATTACCGAAATCCCCATCCTCCACTCAAGTTGTTGAAACTAAGCAGGAACCCAAGCAGGAACCTAAGCCGGAGGCATCGTGCAGCAGTTCCTCGCCTTCACGAAATGCCTCACCATCAACTCTCTCGCCATCACCAAGTTCATCGACATTCACCGTACACCATTTACCCAGCGTAAAAGAAAAAGCTTCTTCTCCAAAAGGCATCAGTGAAGATAAATCTGAAAATGAACCAAGTGCAGGGGTATCCTCTTCCGAGAGTCCGAAGCTTACTGAAAGCAAAAATGTGGAGGAGATAGAGTTGACATCTACTACAACAACTGGAGATGGGCAGTCTCTTCTCGAGAAATTGTTGCAACATCACTTGAAGGCTGTGGAGAATAACAGAAAAGAATCGTCAACAAAGGTTTGAAAATATTTTGTATTGGACTGGATTACCTTATTTCCTTTCAACCGAAAAAGTTAAGATATAAACTGGGATGTAAGACAAATAGCATATCATTTTGAGATACTTTGGTTTTTCGAGATACTTCAATACATCTATAGTTAAAGAAGGTAAGTGAATCTCATTCTTACCTTAGTTATTTCTGTCCGATTTCTTAACCGTTTCATTCCCAAGATCTACTTGTCAATTCTCCCCCCTAGCTGCTACACATTTCCTTGTAAATTAGTCACGAGAATTTAGTGATAGATCATGGAAACAACTTCTACCTGATGAGTTGGGGTGTTCTCGTTACCTGTTTGCTGGATAACGTGTGGGAGAAGTTACATGTTAATCACTTCTGGGGGATTAAAGGGTTGAGTTAACTCATAAGAGTGACAGTGGAAATGTTTTCGTTTAGACAAAGAAATCGAAAGTTGAAGAAAAGAGGAGTAAACGGCGAAGGAGGTCAACAGAATCCAAGGATGATAATCTGGCTCAAAGAGACAGCGAGATGGTAAAATGTTCTCCTTCAGTTTCTTTCTCGTCTGAAGGAGATTCCACGAATGTCATTTCATCATCATTAACAGTCGGGGATGGCCCAAATTCGTCTTCAAATAAATTCTCTCTCGAAAAAAGGGAAGAGTTCCTCAGTAATAAAAATTTTCATAAAAATTTAAGTTTTGGTGAGGTGGACAACAATCACGGAAAAGAAGGAAGTGGTATGGCGGTCACTATCAAAGAAGGCGATAAAACAGCTTCAAATACAGAAGGGGAAACATCTGCATCAGAAAAAGAGAGAAATAGTGGTAAGAGTAAACCAAATGAACAGTCAGCTGATACACGAAAAGGAGTCTTCTATGAGGATGCTGCACCATGGATCCCAGATGAGGCAACTCATGATGTGCCTCAGACAGTCAGACTAAGCAGCAATGTAACTGAGTCCATAGAAAGTTTCACTGGCGCTCGGAAGGATTTCAAAAAAGAATCTTCAACGGTCTTAGGTGGAAGGGGTTCAGGGGAAATGTTTGTTAATGACACGGCAGCTAAAAATCTGAACATTGCAACTTTAGACGGAGGAGAGATGGTAGCACAAGGGAGAAACGACCCCATTGTCCCTAAAGTCAGTTCCACTGACGATAAGAAAGAGATTATTCGAGGGACAACAGTAAGGATTTCAAAGAAGGGATCTACAAAGATTCCAAGTAAAGACTCTTCAAATGCACAATCGTTGAGTTCCAGCTATAATAGCGCTACTGATTTAGGTACGCCTTCCGTGAACGTTAAGGACAAGAAGGACTCGGAGCGAATGGATGTTAAGTGCAAGGAGATCGATACCTCTGTTGCAAAACAGAAACCCTCCTTGAGTTCAGAAGTAACGCCTTTGTTCACGAAAAGTTTTCTCTCGACGTCATCTTCAAATTCTGCTGACCATAATGGGGAGTTATTCAGTGGCGAAGGACTTAAAACGTATTTAAGAAAAGTCACTCCTAATAAACGGAAATTGGGCACGGAAGATAACTTTGTAGAGGACAATTCAATTGCGAAAAAAGCTTTGACGATGGGCAACAAGGAATCACCTGAGACTGACCGCTTGAAAGATATCATTCCTAACAACAGCAAAGTAGAACTTGCCAAAAGATTAAACAAAAAGTTAGCAAATTCGCATCTGGAGGAAAAAACTGTACAAAGTCAACCCCAACTCAGTGTTTCTTCGTCAGAAAGGACTAAAGCTTCGAGGAAAAACTCAGCTGATGCAAACAACGTACTAACGAAGAGATCAAGGCGAGAGGAAATCATGTCCTCTGACGTTGATGACGCTCGACATGAGACTGATGTAAAACTGCAACTCAAAGATAACATCACAAGGGAGGAAGATAAAAATCGTGTGGATTCTGTAAGTTTTGTTGCTGATCAAGTTGTTAATGAAATATCGATAAATCATAGCCCGACTGCGAAAGATGCGCCGGGCGACCAATTTGAGGCTGTTAAAGTGAACTCTGAAAGACAAAACAGCAGAAGTAAAGAGAGAATCAGGGAGATCACGAGCAAGAAAAAGGAGTTAAAATCAAGAGAGGAGAGGAATAAAGAGAGACAGCAAAGAGGTGTTGATTTACCCTCTGTTTGTGTTAAAGAACCAGATACTGCAGACAGTCTTGAAACAGTGGTGGATTCAGTACTAGACGAAGAAATTGCTCTTATTTATAAAGCGGATGGTGAGTGCTGTGAATTGATATTTACAAAGCTAATTAATTGCTTTCCAATTTCAGTCATCATTTGCTCGGCATTGAATTCGTAAATCTAAAACAAACATTGGTCGGCTCTTTTGAATAGTCACGCACTTGCGATACAGGGGTCAGAAATTATAACCCTTTGTGCTTTATAAGAGTGCTGTCCAAGCATTATTTTATTGGTCTAAGTGATATCACTACTTCATGTAGATCTCTAAACTACGAACAGTCCCTGCTTTTGCGAGTTGGAAAAAAAACGTGAAAACAAAAGTTGGTGTTAACGCGACGCGTGAAACTCTGTGAGTGAGGTGCAATCTTTCCTTTTTTTGGTGATTTTGTTTTCCTACTCGCGCGATTGACTTCGTCGAATAGAAGGGACTGCTTGTAGTCGAGCAGATATCTTGCATAGAGTCAGCTGCACAGCTGTTAAGGTTCCCAACTGAAAGATACGTGTAACAGCAGCTCCAAAACTGATTCAAGATGATTTGTATTGTTTAAGAGAATCATGGTGAAACAATACCAGTGAAATTTGTTTATCAAGCTGAAAAAAAATGTGTTCTCTATCATACAGAAGAACAAGACAATGAGAGTTTGTTGGCAACCTCTGAGACTAATGCTATAGGTAAGAAGATTGCGTCGTTGTTTCAGATATTCGTTACTGTTTCAAAATTATATCATACGCTTTCAGTGTAAGATACACTTGATAAACAAGTATTGATAATATAACTAGAAGAAAACACAAATTGTGACAGAAGTAAGTATGCAAGAATGGGAGATTTGCAACGGGAACGGACCAGAGAGTGAAATATGAACATGACATGCTGGTCTGCTGGATGATTTTCTTTCTACTTCATTGGAATATGAAGATATGAAAGGTGCATGGGAGGAAACTGAATAAAACACTCCTACCACAGATGAGCAGAATATTTTTCTACTCACAATAACTAAGTGGTTTACCTTTCACATAAAAAAAGGGGGTGCGAGGGTGAGTTTCTTAAGAGTTTCTTAGCCCTTTAAACCCCAACATCAGAATGCACATTCTCCATACTCTTCTCTATATATTTCCTTATGTGCTGACAAAGAGAATTTCTTAAACAGTCATGAGCTTCTTGAGTTGGTGATCATTTGCTATGTTCTTATGACCTAAATGATTGATTCAGGGGTGATACTGTGAGGAGAAATTGGATGCTGGTCACTCTTAGGGGTTAAAGGGTTAAGAAACTCGCGTGATGCGTCCGTGAAGGTTATCACCCGATACTTTGGTTTCATGAAATGAGTGGATGATAAACAAGTATGCCACGAGCGCACGTTGGATATGAGATGATACGGTCCTCGTTGGCGATAATCATCTCATATTCAGCAAGCGCGAGTGCAATGATTGTTTTATTAAAAACGCCTCAAAATATGGATAAATCCTCCCAACTTTATTTTGTAAGAACAAACGTAATGTTACAATGTACGAAAACACTATCGGGTTATCTGATCTTCATGCGCGTGCATGGTATAATGGCTCATAACCCATTATGGCTAAGCCAATGAAAACTCTTGAATTGCATTATCCAATGATCGAGTTTTTAATAATGTAAAGAGTATTTAAGGCTGACGTTTCGAGCGTTAGTCCTTGATCAGAGCATTCTACCTATCATAGCATATAAAGTAACATTTCCTTGTCATCCTGTTATCTTGTGAAAGCAGTTAAAACTGAAGAAAGACCGGTAACACCTGTAAAAGAGAAAGAGAAGGAAAAAGGGAAAGGAGTAACCGTCGGTTCTGGAAAGGAACCTGCGCCACCGAGGGGACGAGGACGACCGAGAAAAAAGGAAGTTAAGAAAATCGTAGATGAAAGTGAGTTTTGATGCTACCAAAGAGAAAACGCTTTTACATCTAATAATTGAGCCAAATTAAAGCAGAACTTTGTTTATGTTAGGTTGTAATTAATTATACCGCATTGCCGACTTGTGAAGTTATATCTTTTAGGGCAAGTTCTCCTTAAAAACACCATACAATTTTGCTTAAAATCTGGAAAGTTAGCCCGAAAAATTTGTTTTTACTTTTCCCGAAAAATAGAGAGTGTTCCCGGTTTAATTGTGAATTTGAAAATATGTTAAAGCTTCCTTACCTCTTCACGACTTCTTTTGCCAATTGGTGGAAAACTCATACTGAAACGTAACGTCAACGCAGCTTGCACTTCTTCCTCCCAAAATCTCTCTTTTGCGCGCTGGCGCATTTCCTGGGGACTAAGCTCCAAAGGTGCATCAACTACCTCAGTTGGTACATTGAAGAAAACCGAAGAATGAACTGAACTGAACATTTCTTAATACTTTTGCAGGCGATTCGACTTCACCGAGCTCAGAACAATACTTTTTGCAGGTATGTAGAGAGGTTTACGTTAACTTTTCATCGTGTGCGTACCAGGATTACAAAGATGATATGCGGATTATGGAATGTAATCCGGCCTACAGGGGAATGATAACCAAAGGGAGAGGGGGAGAGGATGGGAGGGGAAGAAATATATTTTATTTTATGCTGCTACCATTAAAAAAGCGATCAGAGTTGAAATGAGATTCTATAGAAGCCTAATTTTAGGTGAGAATTTGTCATTAAGAGGCCAGATCGAAGAAACGATAATTAAAACAAGCTATTTAGAGAAAACTGTTGGAAGAAGAACGCTTGATTATTTTTTAAGGTTTATTTAAAGAAGCAAGAGCCCATTCAGGTTATACATGTACGAGAGAATAAATGGTTAGGGCTGTTTGCTGAAATGAAATGCATCACCAAAAAGCCTACAGATGTTAGTCAGTTATGAAACCGTTGTTTCAACTCAAAGCATACATAACACTGCTTTGAAGCCTCGTCTTTGGAGTTTTTTTGTTTGGCAGCTGGTTCTTAAAAGACTTGCTTTCTCGTCTGCCGTTTTAGGACCGAATTTGTGCCAGTTTACCTGACCTGCCTAAGTGTAGAGATTGCAGAGAGCACCCCAGTCAGAGGAATGGATTGGATTGCTGTAGATTTAACTCGTTCAGAAGGTGAGTACATGTTATTACTTAATGTACTTCCATGTTCAATCCGTCTCACCACGAGCGTTGGACAAAGAAAAAATATGACACTACCGCGAGGAATCGAACCCCAGACCTTCGGATTTCGCGCTGTGATACCCAGCACTAAGTTAAAGAAAATTACATGAACAGTGAAGAGTAAAAAATTTTCTGATAGGAATGTTGCTCCTTGGTTTCCACTGCCAGAGTCAAAAACTTTCGAATCTGGCAGTTTGTTAGATGCGCGGCGAAGCAAACCTCGTTATAGTGCTTAGACATCTTTCCCTAGTTTTAAGTAATTTTTTTTCCGTTGGTAAAGGTTGAGAAAGAAGAAAAATGGCACCATCTTATCGGCTGGTTTCCAGCTGCCTGAAGATGCCGCTGCAGAAGACTTTTTACCTTGGGTAGCACAGGACAAAGGTTTGTATGCAGTTCTTCACACACTTTCTTACCCGAGTTGAAACATCGCAGTAAGTATTTTGGGTCCTTCTGATGCTTCATAACATTATAACACTCAGTATGTCGGGATAGATAACCCTACAAGTAAGTAAAAACTGTAAAGGGGTGAGACTGCATAAGATGGACATGGGTTGCGGATGGTAGAAACCCAAATGTTACGGAGCTATTTTAACAACCTTGAGTCTCGATCTTACAGCTTTGTCAAAAATCGTGATGTTTGTTGTAAGATGTTTCTTTTCTGATTCAGCCCGTTCTCGAACGTAATTTTTTGTTGCACTGAGAACATTTTGATCTGTTTTCTTACAGTCGACAGGCTCGACAAGAAGACTTCTCTTTACATCTTATATAATATCGGAGATCAATTTTGCTCCGTGATGCAGGAAGAAAAGAAGGCGATTACTTGTGTGGAAACAGATGGTAAACAAGGTAAGGCAAGAGTTTTTGTGCGTTTTTGGGCAATTTCCGTTTTGCTTTGTTTTGTTTTTCATAGTAGCTTTCGTAGAAAGCTTTTTTCTTTCATAGTTTTTTAATTGCTTTTCTCGAGCCAGCGCCAGTGTGTGATTGGTGCAGATAGAAATAAAATTGTATACTCTCTTTCCTCATCAGTGACTGTGGCATACAAACGAGCTGTTCAAGGTGTAAGGGAAATGTGTGATGTGTGTGCGACAACTATTTTCAACGTACACTGGGTGTGCCACAGGTGTGGGTTCGGTGTGTGCTTGGATTGCTACAAGCTTCGTGTTCAGGAACGAGAGAGGCAGTCTGGTAAGTTTTGGGATACTACGCCGCTCAAGTCAAACTGTAAACCTAACAGGATCTAGAGGTGGTTGGAAAAAACTGGTAAAATCAAATTAGAGTAGCCTTTCGTCAGAGCGAACGACGAAGGGCTAACGTTCGAAACGTAAGCTTTGAAACTCTTTACGGTGGCCAATTCACACCATCAACTGAGTAGATAATACTAAATTACACTGTATTCTTTGCTTGACTATTCAATCAAGCTAGTGATGATAGTCTTGAATGTTTCTGCTTCGGAAGGGCGTAATTTGTTTTTCTAACTGCTCTTACTCTCCTGTTTACAGGCCTTGCTGGGAAGCGAGTGTTTGAATTCAAGTGGGTTATGTGCTGTCCGGGAATTTGTCACCAGCCAAAGTTCTTATCTGTGGCGCAGATTATTCCTAAAACAGGTGAATTCAGTACATTTACTGTGCGATTAGTACTTAAGTCGTCTAGTTAGTCTCTGCTAGGGTAGAACGCATCAAACTAAAACAATTTAAGTCTCTAATCTGGCGACGCATGCATGCATTTTAAATGACAGTAACATATTCGCATGGAAAAGAAAGTTCAACTTTTCTAATGAAGCAAAAGCGACCGAATGCAAAGAGAACGTGTCGTGGAACCATTTTTTAGCTTAAGGGTACGACGTAGGCCTAAAACTTTTCTCTTGTTAAGAATGAAATTAAATAGTTCACCGTCTATTGACCTTACAGTCTTATCTGACCTTGGAGACGAACTGCACAGAGCCAGAGAAGTATGGAATATTAGCAAAACATGTCCATGTAAGGAGATCGATGACGATGACGATGACGAGGACAATGATGATGCTACGGAAACTGGACTCTCCAGTGAGGAGTTGACCCAGGTTGAAGAAAATGGCGTTGATGCTTGCAAAGAAACAAGCGACACCATTGTGAAAACGGAACCTTTGTCCATTTCTTCGAGCCAAACAGCGGGTGCAGGAGATAGCGAGTCCAGTTTTGAGGATGACGTCAACCTGATCTGCGATGAAAGTTTGGGCATTGACTCGCCGGCTGACCAAGAGCAGGAGTGGCTTACCGAAGAAAAGCGGAGAAATCACTTTTACAAGAAGGCTGGGTTTGGTCTAGTCGAAGCCAAGCCGCAGAAGGCCAAGAAAGTCTCATCTGGTTTAAGTTTGTTAATGGATTACAGCTCATCGAGGGAAGTGTCCCCTTGCGACTCACCTGTCAAAGATGTAAAACCCGCAGCAGGGATGTTCAACTTTTCATTGGGTGGTAACGGTGGCAGTTTTTCTGGTCTAGATCTTCTTGCTTTGGCCTGTGAGAGAAATGGAGAGGATTTCTCAATGGATAACACCTTCCGTTTGAACGCTGAGAGCAAGACGGAAATGGATACAACAAACTTCAACCCACTGAACAAACGAGATGACAACAGGACTACAGATGGTAATTATTTTGATGTAAAGAAATCTAAAGTAACGCCATTGTAGAAAAAATGAGGAAAAAAATTAAGGAAACCAAACAATGTCACACCTTGAGCCCGTTCCCCGAAGGCCCCGGTAGTTACTGGTCCCAGAAAGCGGATTTTCATCTGGAGTACTTTCCTTAAAGATCGAGATATTGATGGTTTTGATATTCAACCAACTAAAACTCAAGCTGCTGTTCTATAGATGTAGACTAGAAAATAAGATTTCAAGTCCCCTAAGTTACCGGTTTTCTGAGAAACGGGCCCGAGCAGACATGCATTCAACACTGTGTAATGTTTCGCTCTCACTAGTAATTCTCTCCACAACTGCCATGTACTTCGGTGTAAATTAGTAGATAGAATTTGGCTTCGTAGCAACAACCTTGTCTAACTCCAAGTAATGAGGGTTGATACATACTCCTCACCAGTTTGATAGACAATGTACTGAAAATGTGACGGGACTTTCCATGTTAATCTCTTCTGGGAGTTACATGTTACGGGTGAACGCACGTCGTTGGGCAAAGACTAGACAAGTCCCCCGCTCTAGACGTCTATTTCCTCTCGTATTTTTTTTCATATTTGATTCTTACCATGTTCTTATGTCAGTTCCCGGCCCAGTCGCCACAACTTGTGAATCGACAAGTGCCGAATATTCTGAAGAGGTACGAAGCCACGCGGTCGCCCCAGTCCTGGACTCACCCGAGGCTGTACCCCATTCTTGGTTGTGCGATGGCCGTTTGTTGAGACTCCACGATCCCAGACATCCAGGAAACTTGAAAGCTTTTGAGGCTCGGTGGAAAAAGGGCGAGGTAAACACTCTTGTTTGGCCAGTAACAGTTGGGATATTTATTGCGTTCTCTTTGTCCTCCCGTTATTGAGTAACCTCAAAAATCTTTAATGAGTAGGGTGTTCGATCGTGTTCATGCGGAAGGTTAGTTTTCGTGTGTGTTTTCGCGTTGACGTGTTTGTGTGTAAGCTATGGCTTTGGTGCTTCTTGATGAGCTTCTTGCTGTTTGCTTGTTCATGATTTTATGAGCGTTTCAATGGAAACGCTGAGTACTGTCTGCAAGTTAGAAACGAAAAGAAGGTAATAAATATTTCAGTCAATTTACTAATTTCTTAGTGGTAAATTACGCTGATGTTGCAAAATCCAAACCTCGTTTGACCCTGGAATGACCGTGACGTTGTTATTTGTTACTAGCCTGTTCTGGTCAGCCAAGTGGACAAATACTTGAACCTGGATATTTGGACTCCAAAAGCATTTGGCGAGGAGTTTGGTAAGTTACGTGACACTTAGAAAGATACAATGAAGTATCTATCACGCAACACCTTTTGCACAACCTTGTAAGATAGCTTCGCGATAAGGATGCGTGTAAAAGAGATGTTAAGTCCTCTGGCCTGAATACAGAGAGGTGGGAGGCATTGATGAGTAATAGAGCGGAGTTAGGTAGAGAATACTTAACTAAAGAACAGCACATCACCTTGGTAACGAAAGAGCATAGGGAAAGGTCGGCTACAATATTTTAACGACCCTGTTTGAGGCACAGCCTACCTTCCAGAATTGGGATCGTGTCTGTAAATCTGACATTGATTGGATTGTATAGCTATGGTAAGCCTTGTTTCTGTCAGTGAAAACCTCAAAGTGCATTGAATCTTCGAACGTTTTCCGACCGATGCGTGCTATTACCACCAGATAAATGAACTAAATACCTAGATTTAGAGTTGGTCAAGATTGCAACGCAACCCTCTCTGCTTAACTGTAGCCTGACATTTTTACAGCTATTGACTAAAGGAATTCACTTAAAGTTCTTGTGTGTGGTTCGCGGAGTTATGTGCAATAAGCGGTCTTTTCTTTACAGGTTCTGAAATTTCTGATGTAGTGAACTGCAGGAATGGAGTGGTGGTCGAGCGCTTTAAAGTTGGTGATTTTTGGCAGGGATTTGAGAGCATAAAAGGTGTATAAATACTCTACAGTATTTCTTCTGTTTGTGATACATACGATGTATTATTATTATCATTATTATTATATTACTCTTATTGTGTTTTTTTTGTTGTTGTTTTTGTGTAAATGTCGTTTTTGCAATTTATTTGTTGTTTTTGGAATTAACCATCGTTTAAACTCTGTCCAACTAGATCGTCCTTTGGATAGCAATGGCGAACCAATGCTGTTAAAACTCAAGGTATCTTATCTCCTAGCTATAATTTTTTTTTCTCCTATTATATGAAATCTCTTTACGTGACATATCACAACATTGCCCATTGAAACTGTATCTTTTGGCCTTACTGCTTGACCACGTATTTTTTAAGCGTGTTGTTAAGTCTTTGACCCCTAAAAGTGGCTCGCATCTTATTTCTCCTTACACCATCACCCCTTGATCACACAATAAGGTCATGAGAATAAACGAAATGATCACTAACTAGAGAGGCTCTTGGAAAATTCTCCTTTTCAGCGCCTTGGGAAATGTATAAAGAACAGTATGGAGAATATGTATATTGATGTTAGGGTGTATATTGATGTTAGGGTGTAAAGGGTTACGCAAATGTTCATGTCGTTGTGGGATTCACTGTTGGTCAGCGAAGAAATCCTATTTGGTGCGAGGTCCAGTAAGGAGGGCTCTTACTCCATCTCCGCGCATGAATACCTTGATTCTAGCATACTTCTTATCCATGCTCGTTTGATTACAGGACTGGCCACCGAAAGACGACTTTAGTGAAAAGCTGCCCACCCGGTAATCCTCTTTTGTTGCTCGAAGTCGCAGTTTGTGGTTTAACGTATTTTTGTCCCGAAGTACATCTCTCCCGTAGAATAAGTTAGTTTGTGCGTTAAAATTGATGGTTTTTTTTCTTGTTGTTGTTCTCGTTATTTAAGGTTTGAAGATCTGATGAACAATGTCCCTTTACCAGAATACACAAGGAGAGATGGCTCACGAAATTTAGTCTCGAGGTATTCAGTTGTTATGTACATCTGTCCTCTTCAATTTCACGTGAACCGTTACTTTGCAATGGGTGATCATTGTTGTTTGTTTGAAGTGAGAAAGGTTTAGACTCGGAGCGAATTAAGCTGCATCTATACCAGCAAAGTTACATCCATTAGCTGAGAACAGTTTACTTTCACAGTGCCTCTCAGGAGAGGGATTTTTAAAGGATGGGGGGGGTCACACAGTGTCAAACAGAGGGTACTAACCAGATTGTTATCTCGACCTCCATGCCGTATTTTACTAAATGTGTCAAAAAAAGCTCACAAAGGGGGGGGGGGGGCGAGGACAACCCAGCCCCCCTAACTACGCCCTTGATCCCAGTAGTATAAATTAGACCCGCGAACTGTCAGGGCAGCCCGATAAAATGCTTGGTGGGTAATCTTGCCATGGACTAGCATCCCATCCAGGGGGTAGTAGTAATACTCTTAGCTGCTTCATGCTATGGAAACCGGTATTAGCTCCGACCAGATAAGCCACTAGGCTCCATTACAGTTTTCACCTTCGAACACTTGTGAACGACACTTGTCGAGGAGAGCGAGCTTGACGGTGGAGAATGTCTGAAACCCTTTGCAATTTCCTCGACAAGTGTACTTATTGAGTACTATCTACAGCAGCAAATTTCGTGTTTGACGAGTTCCATGATCAGAACCTGGCATTTTTGTTTGTGGACAGTGGGTATTGTTAAAGAAAAACGTGTTCCTTTCTCAACCGCGGCTATTCCTTACTCTCTTATCTCACTATACAACGGGCTTGTGGCTCTGATAGTGCATGTTCGTGAAACGAAAAGATAATTTAGCGTTTTCTTTTTTTTTTTCCCAATTTACTGAAGGTTACCAGACTTCTTTGTCAAGCCAGATTTAGGGCCAAAAATGTACAACGCGTATGGTAAGATTTCATTGTCGTGAATGTTATTATCACTTGTCGTCATTAAAGTGCTTTTTCGGTCAACACACGTAAATCTTTTGAAATGCTTTCCTGTCAGTATTTTGTATCTCTCTATTTTATTTTTTTTTTCAATTTGACGATAGATTAGGTTCGTTCTTCGCCTCTCTCGAGTACTGTCCTCCTCGTTTTCCTCGAAAGAGCGTGGCTCATTTCTCGAACAGTGGCTGGTCATCGAGCCAAACAAGATATATGTAGAGCGAAAAATACCAAGCTAATATTGAGACGTAGCTCCTTCCTCCCATCAGATTTGTTTATTGTATATTCAGCCTCTTATCAATCAAATAACGTTTCCTTTACTGTTAAATTGATTTGGCGAATGGTTCTTAAAGGCTGTGTGCTACTCTACTACTACCATTGGTAACTTGCTTCATTATCAATGACTGTGTCTCAGTTGGACTGTGTCTTTTTCAGGTTCCGCAGCATGTCCTAAGGAAGGAACAACGAACCTTCATCTGGATATGTCAGATGCTGTTAATATCATGGTTTGTAGCATTGCGTACAGAGAAGTGTTCTTTGGTACTTTGTTTTTTTCCTCCTTTTATAAGAACAATGACGGTGTAGTGTCCTATCACCTGCACACATTTATCGCCTGATTCCTCGCCGATGAACTTCTTTAGGACGCTCTTTTCGAGTCGCACTTCGCTTAATGCAGCCAATTTGTCAACTGGGCAATGTTTCCGATCATAGCAAGCTTGTTCCTCGCGTTTCGGCACTGTTAACCAAAAGGACCATTGATAATATGGGCGAATTTAGCCGATGCGATGGCTGTTTGCTGATACATGCATAGTGGACTGGTCATGTGCAATGACCTCACTTATCACACACCAAAAACTAGAGACAGTATAGCGTTAGTTACCGATGTAATGCCAGCGTAATAACGCCTTTATCGTTTTGCAGGTGTACGTTGGAGTGCCGAAAGATGAAGGAGCCGGTGATAAGGAAAGACAAGGTGGATTGTTAAAAAAAATATTGTTGCGTTTATATAGTGTAGATGTGAAGGAATCTCTTTTCAAACAAGGGTTTTATACATTGAAGGTGTCAGAGGCAAGTTGATATTATCTCTGTCGTGAGACTTGTAGTCAGTTATCCTGGAGACTTAAGTTTCTGCTAATCACGTAATTTCAAATTCTACCGCACAAGTTATTGATATAGAAGATAAATTGCGACAAAATGTTTAGGTGAATTTCAATTACACACTTATGGCGATAGTTTTAACTTTAATTAAATGGAGCGTATTCGTGTATGGTCATCTTCATTATATGCAATACAGCGAGGAGTGCACTTCGCGCTCTTATGCCGACTGTGTTGGCTGTGTGCTATGGAGACGACGGGTTCCTAATCGAAAAATGGGAGGAGGCCGTATTGAACAAGAGAAACATGGTCACGAATTTTTATGATTTTCTATTATGCTTTTAGCCCTAATATTTCAATATCCTCCGTTCCTTTTGTCAGATGCCATCAGAGCAGTGGACGAAGCGTGTGACGAGTCTCAGAGGACACGAGTCCGGAATGAAACAGCCAGAATTGTAAGCATAAGTTTCAACTTCTTAGATCTTTTGCAAAGGCTCTCCCAGGTTCTGATCTAGGAACTGGTAACATAAGAAGAAGCTGAACGATCTGAGCAGTCAAAATGACTTGGAGCTTTAGAACGTTTCGTCTAATTTTTATCAGAATTCCATCGGAATATTGATGAAGTCGAAGAATTCATAGAGGTTGGCAGGCAGTTCTGATTGATAACAAACTTGTCATTTTGAATGGACAAGTCTGGTTGGTCTGTTAATCCGTGGTATGTATCTAAATGCTTTGCTTTTTTCAGGGGGCTCTGTGGCACATCTATGCAGCAGAAGATGCGGATAAGATCAGGGATTGTCTCCGCGCGGTGAGTGTCTCGTTCTTGTCCTCGAAAAGTACGACATGCTGCGGCCAAAAAAAGAAAAAACGGAACTGTTGTATGTTCTGTTACGCCGTGTCTCATCGTTTGTAGTGATCCGTTTATCTAGATCCCATAGTTTAACTCTATTTTTGCTTATGTTCTGTCAGTAAAACGTTTTCAAGTTAGAAGAACCTTATGAACGTTAAGAACAGTTTCTCACGCATATGATATTTATTTTGTCTTAATTCAGGTGGCCAAAGAACGGAAGATGAAATATTCCGCTCATCACGACCCCATACACGATCAGGTTTCTGTTGTTACTCTGTCCTTTTACTTGTTTATTTGTTTGTTACGTCAACTGGATGAAACGCGAAGACCGAATTCTTCTTTTTTTCTTAGAAATCCTTATTCAGTTAGAAATTTAGCTTTTCTGTACTCCTTGAATTTCTGTCAAACGTTCAAGTCTTTTACGACGCCTTACTAATTGGAAGACTTAGATTACTCAGTAGAAAGCAGGGTAACTCAGCAGGAAAGAAGGATAACCTTTTGGAGAATGTTGTTTTCAAGAGAGAACTAAACTACTTTTGTTGTTTTTGCAGTGTTTTTACCTGGATCATGAAATCAGACAGAGACTGAAAGGGGAATATGGAGTGGAAGGCTGGGCGATCTGTCAGTGCCTCGGTGATTCTGTGTTCATTCCAGCTGGAGCCCCTCATCAGGTACTTTATCAGTAAGTTGTATCGGAGCGAGTTTCTCTTGAAGCAGTGTACGAGTTGGGGCTGAGTGCTGGCCATGGTTATCTTGCTTAATTTATGATCAAAATGCTAGAATTTAATCTTTCACAGTACCTCTACTTAGGATCATTTAACCATGGGACAACATGTAGATGCGATTTAGTTTCGCGCACTTTAAGAAAAATTATTGAGGTACCTGTCAATCGGAAGCAATTTGGGATTCCATTGGTTATGTTATACTATGCTATGGGATTGGTCTAAAAAACTCGCGCCGCGATCCTAGCGAATCAGATAATAAGTTGAAACCAAGGGCGGCATGGTCACCCGTGTGAGTACGTGTACTTGTTTGGCGTTCTGACAGGCCCCATGTGATATTCCTTTTTGTACTAATCGGCTATCATGATAACTTGGGTTTTGGGGTTTTGATTGATGACTCCCTATCGAAAGTTACTCTAACTCTTTGACTCTCGCGGAGTTATGATTTGTGTTTTATTACCAATAGCTTAACATAAGTTTAAATTAAAAAAGCGTCATTTTCTTATTTCAAAATACATTATTTCAGCTGTTAAATTAATTACTTTTCATTTTAGGTTCGAAATCTCTATAGCTGCGTTAAGGTGGCTGAGGACTTTGTTTCTCCAGAGGTAGGACTAGTATTTGTTTGTTTTGTGTTCCTGTTGTTTTTCAAGGCGGGTGGGAGAAGGTGAGAAGAGAGGGGGGGAGGGGAGGGGGGATCCTGATTTGATTTTAAGACATGCTACGAAGGAAACTACAAAGTGTATTGAAATGTCCTTGTTTGGCTGATTTTACACGGTTAGGCGTTATTTTAATCGTGCTGTTTGTGTTTACATCCTAGCGTATTGATCACTGTTTCCGGATGACTCAAGAGTTTCGTCACCTGTCAGACAAACACACAAACCACGAGGACAAGCTACAGGTAAATTCTTTTACTTGGGTCAGTCATTCAGTCCGTCTGTCAGTCCATAAGTCAGCAAGTCAGTCAGTTATTCATTCAGTACGTCATCCAAAAAAACTGTCATCCAGACAGACAGCTAGTAAGTCAGTCAGTCAACCAGTAAGCCAGTCAGTTAGTCTGTTCGTTTGTCAGCTGCTTAGTCAGTCAGGTAGTCAGTCATCCAGACAGACAGACAGACAGACAGACAGTCAGCCAGTCAGTCAGTCAGTCAGTCTGTCTGTCTGTCTGTCTGTCTGTCTGTCTGTCTGTCTGTTAGTTTGTCAGCCGCTCAGTCAGAGAGTCCGTCAGTCATTCATGCGATCAGTCAGTCTGTCCATCTTAAGGAGTTTCTTCTCTTTTCCACTCAAGGTTAAGAACATCATATTCCATGCAGTGAAGGACGCTCTTCATTCCCTTAAATATCACGAACAAGAAAGCACCGACAAAACACAGAATTCATCGGATGGAATACACTGAATCTTTAATGTTAAGTTTTACTATCTTTGTATGGTTAAGCTTGCAAGTATCGCTAATCTGACAAATAAGTTATAACTAAGTTTTAACCTTTTCATATATATTCCGTCAAAGTTTAAAATAGTTGCTAAGTGTTATCCGCTCTCCCTTCCAGTAATAACTCTTAGATTTTAAGCGAAAAAGCATAGTTTACTTTCATCTCTAGCATATGGTATTATTAAACCCAGAATATGAGCGTAGCAGGACTTTCCAGACCCGCCTCTCGCCAGCCCGCTCAGCTCAAGGCTTCATACTGTTACGCGGCGGAAAAACGCTGGTACCAAAGTACGCAGGCTTGCTGGCAGGTAGACTACTTGACTGCCAAACGAACATTAGTTATTTAAAATTTGTATTCATCACACATTTGCATTAATCCAAGTTCGACTAGTATTTTATTCATAAAAAGCACGCGAATATCTGGTTCTAAGTCAATTTATTCGGAGTGTGTCCAGAATATATTATGTTATCTCAGAGTATGAAAAGAACGCTTTATCAATAATCTCAGTGTTCCAGATTTGAAGTTAAAGCAGTATATAGATAGGAGGATGGACTTACTCCAAAACAATGGTTGTATTTTCATTTTGTTTCTGTTGTAACTCCATTCTTCCGTTATTGTAGTTCAGTGTAGCAAAGAATGACTTTCGTTTCCCGGAAGAAGATTTCTCGCCGAACTTGTAGATATTCTTCCTTAGCTTAAAAGAACCAGTTGACAGTCAATTTTTTTTTCAAACTGAGAGTTATTCCCTTGCTCTGCAACTCCAAAGACATGATTAGTGATTCTCCTTTCCAGTCGCTAAACATTTTCTTGCTAATTAGTTAAGAGAAATTTATGTTTCATCAGGATGAAATCCGCAAGCGGATTCTTTTGTCTTTTCTCATCACCTGGTTCTTTAGATAATTTATTGAAGTTGTAAGGAGAAATTACATGCTAGTCAGTTCTTGGAGTTGAAGAGTGTAAACCACCAAGGTGTTACGTCCAGTCAGAGGTGCTCTCCAAATGTTTTTCAATTTTATCCGAGTTACCTTTTTTATTCGTAAACTTACGTATACTCTTGATTTTTTGTCGTTTTCCTTTTTTTTTTTTTTTTTTTGTCTTCTCTAGAATATAAAGATTTTGTATACCTAGCAAAATATTCTTGTCTTACGATGTTGTCACCTCCGATGTGAATCGCAGCTTTTCAGCTATGCACTGCCAATCGTCTTTAGACAATTTTTTTTTAGAATGCAAAAGGAAAATTCAAACATGACGTAGCGCCTTTCATGACTGTCTTACTCAAACTGATCACCTGTGGTCGGTTTTTTTCTTGTGTGATGGTTGGATTTCCACACTGCTTTACTAAGTGTTTTTAGTGCATATTATTTTAGGCAACATCTCTTTCACAGTTGTTATGTAATAAGTACAGATAATAGGTTTTCGAGTGAACAATATCGCACCGCACCAAGCTAATTATAATATACTTTCCAAATTTTAGTACAGTTTCTTGCGCAGCCGTTACCTGAGTCGTCACGCAACGCACACGGTCGCATTACGAGTCACACAGCAGATGCAACAAGACTTATAGTCAAAAAAACTTCTTGCCAAAGTGATGAGGAGGTAACCGGCTAAAGAACTACTTAACTATTGTATATATATTTCCTGATAAAAACTTGTGACACTTGAAGAGCCAACGTTATGATCGAACTACTTTTATTAATTACTGTGGTGGCTAAAGTCTTCTTGCCGGTACCTCATCAAATACTTTGTTGCATAAGAAGGAGAAGCGTTTTGCTCTCCTCTTCGCAGTCTTCGTAACTTCGCAGTCTTCAGTTTTGTATTATTGAGTTGTTTGGTGTAAATAGAGCAACTGGGAGCTTTCTCTTTATTGGTTTGTATATTTTCAGCTTTATTCTACAAACGCAGCATATGCGCACAACTTTTGGCTGCTTGAAAATAAAGGTATTTTTGTATAGACAAAATATAAAGTGCTGCCACTGTTGTTGTTGTTTTTCAGTCATTAAAGTTTTAGTGGGAGAAATAAGATCTAGGAACTTGGTAACCACTCTTTCTACGTTCAAGTAGTTTGCTTAGTACAAGTTTGCAAACATCTCAGGTCAGTTCGCAAGCATAGGTGACTCGCAGGCGAAACGACCTTAGAAGTGGAAATTTTTTACAAGCTATCCAGCTTCTTCAAAATAGCCTGATGGCACAATTTTCAACTGAGTGTCAAAAGCAATTTACGATTGCGTTATTTTACTTAACTTCGCTCTGCGATTGGTCCAGAAAACTCGCACCATCTTCTCAACCAATCAGATTCTGAACTAAAACTAACGTTGATTTGGTCACTCGCGTTTTCCCGCCTAAACCTAAGCAATATGCCTGTTTTAACTCGGAGTTCTAATTGACAAATGACGGAGTCAACCTTCGCTTCAATTGGCAGTAGTGATTACTTTGGTCTGGCCTTTTCCGGTGAATTTAAGAGGAAACTGCTCTAAAAGTGAGTTTTTGTTTGATATCAGGAATTAAGAACAATCGAAAACCAAATTCACTAGTATCACTCGAAACTTGCGATGTTCTTACAAGTTCAAATCGGACAAAGAAGCAGTTTCAGTAAACCGATGTTCAGATTAGAGCAGTTTTCAATTGAATGTCTAAAGAGCCGGCGATTGTACTGGCTTCACTTAACCTCGCTATGCAATTGGTCCATAAAACTCACGCCACTCTCTAATCAATCTGATACAAAACTCCACCCAATTACGAATTGGTTACCCGCGATATCCCGCGCCTTAGGCAGTGGAGGGGATGGGGGGCAGGAGCCCGGGAGAACAGGCGGACGGGAGAGGGCGGGAAGCGGGATCTATATGAAGGCGGGAAGCAGGAGCAGAAATAAAGAAGGAGATAGTTTGTTGTTTATTACTGGGTTTTATTCAGTCAAAAACACTTATTTAGCAAAGTTTTGAAATTTCCATTTAACATCCACCAATGCTTAAAAAAAATTTTAGAAGCAAGAAAACGTAAATTTGTATTCGGGCTAGAAAAACAGCATTTATTCCGGTGAATTTGGAAATCCCCTCAATTCGATTACGTCATAGGTCATGACCTGTAATAACTTTCATCGGGACCCAATGATCCCCCGCTGAAACAAAGGCCAGTAAATGAACAAGAATGTTAAGTTTTGGCACAGTTTGAAAGTTAAACCCGGGGTTTCTGATCCTCTTGATTAACCTGACGACGGGAGCAACACCATGAAGGGTGGGAGTCGGGAGGCAAAGGGGCACAAAACAACGGGAGGCGGGAGAACGTGGTACGGGAAGCGGGAGACTCTGACCCCCCTGTCTCACCCCATTAGGCAGATATTTTATTTCTTATTATTATTTTTTTTTACTTTAAGGTTTAAATGGCTCTTAGGGGTATTATCCTTTTTTTGATTGGTCCCTATGATTACTTTGGTCTTGCTGTTACGATACTCAATCTAGAGATGCTCCTTTGTAGATAACAGCAAATCATTTATTCGCGCCTTTAACCCCACTCAGTTTAAGTCAGTGATTAGTAACGACACGCACGATGCCTCACTGCGACACTCCGCGAGAAACATCGCAGCAACAATACTCTTCGCCAAGATACGTTCTTACGATAGAATATTGTCCTCTTACAAACTGCTAAAACTGGTTTAGATGGTTCGATGATGGCAAAGAGTTTTCTCGAGTCGTAAGGAGTTGTTTTTGGAGTAGTGACTGGAAATGTCACTTAGAATGCGTGACCCTTATCAGAAGTTTCGCTGTGCAGAAATTAGGAACAGGTAATAGGGCACTCCCAAAATCGGCACAAAATTGTCGGCTCTCATCAGTCATAGTATGAGCTCCATGGCAACCACTCGCCACTTTGTTTAGCAGAGATGAGTCCTAACACGCCCCGTTTCAACAAGGATAACCAATGATTAAAGGACTAACAAAATCCTTACTCGCTCATCTGGTAACTGGACAACATAACGAAAAAGGCGTTGTTCTAAGACCCCCGCACACTCAAATAAGTAAGGAGCGGAGGCGTTGGAACTTCGCCAACAGTTAGTCCCAAAGACATAAACAACGTTCAAAGAATACCAGTTAGAGAAACGAGCTCAACCCTTCAAAGAGAAGACACGGTTCAATATGCAATATGTTGATCCTTTTGTGGGTCAATCAAAGCCTTCCTGTGACACAAGGAAAGATTAGCGGCTTCTGCGTTTTCCTTAATGGGCTATTGATTTTCCATGAGGCAAAAGAGGTAATTACCAAGAAGAGTTTTCAGTCGAAAGGTTAAATGTTCTACAAGTTGTTAACTTATTAATGTAAATCAGTCATGACTGACGAATTGTGAAGTAGACTGAAGCATGAATTTGAAAACTTTAGAGTTGAACGGGGTGGTATGGACATTAAGAACGGGTGCGATTTGCGGTTATGAAAAGAAATAAAAACCGCGTTTACTCAAATGACCCAGGTTGGCGTTAATGAGCTTTTGAGAAATTTAAACCGATCGGCTTAGTCACTCACACTAACGTTTTCCTTTACCTTTGAAGAGGCTTTGTCGTGAGCATTTCCTTAGAAGTTGTTTCACAGCTACAACGAAGTAACTTGCTGCCATTTGAATTGTCCATGTATACCGGCGAACATGCAAATAATATTATCTTTTTTACCTTTAACCTGTGAGCAAATAGAGAAGTCAGATCCAGACCAGTTTTCATTATTAGTAGTTTTTAACCCTTTCATTGTCTTGTTTTACTGTTTTTTTTTTTTTTTTTTTTTGAAGCCCTTGCCAGCTTTCATTACAAAACCGCTTTCAGAACCTAATACTGGGAAGAAACACGTCAATTCCGGATTTATTTTCATCAACCACAAATCTTATTCCTGTATGGAAAAAATAATCCGACATTCAGCTGAAACAGCTGCTCGAATTGATATGTCATTCATAACGAGGAATAACGCTCGAAACAGCAGCTACAGCAATATAAAAAAGTTTTATAACACCCTGAAGTCAAACGTGCCTCTTCTAGACAGCTTTTGCTCAAAAGCTAATGGAGAAAAAGAGCGGTTTCAACGAAAATGAAAAGTTCTCGACGGAGCCAGGATTTACACAGGAAGTAGAGGAACAAGGAAAGAAAGAAAAATGTCTCACTTAAACTGTACATACAATGATGCGAAAGATCTATTCAGGTTACTAAATTTGCTAAAACTAGAACTTCCAGTGGAAAGCTGAAAGCATATGACGGAAATTTTATTTTAGAACCGGTTACGTCAACTCGAAGTGGTTCAAAGGTTGTGCGTATTAAATCCGCAACACTTCAAAATAATGAAAAATCGGCAGAAATATTCTTACTCTGAATATTAAAAGTTTATTAATCACGCGAACTTGATTTCTACCAAACGTTGCGCGTTTGAACTCCATAGCATACCAGAGAACTCGAAGTTTAGGACAAACCGTCATGCTTTGGGAAAAATGAAATTTTCTTCCTCTTTGAAGCATGCGAATTTGCTGTGCATCGTAGATTTGGGTTGAAAATTTATTCTAGGGGTTGACGAAAAATTCGAACGATCTGAAATCAAACCAGACTTTCTTGCATTTGCCTCTACGCTCTTTTACATAAATTTCAACTGTACAGGTTATTTATATGGAATTCCCAACACTATCGCAAGTTTAACCTTTGGTTTGACCCCTTTTACGTACGGAGTCTCATTGAAGTGCTTTCGTTGAAAACAACGCAATCCTAAAAATAGCTAGCAAGGCTGTTTTCTTTACCGACTGTGGAAATTGACCCACACCAAAAGCTCATACATCACACGTCAGTGGATCACTTTTGCATGGTTAAAATCTAGATAATCTTAATGAGAAATTTTGAAGTTGTAGCAAACATAGACAATAATTGTTACAACTTGTAAAATAAGTTGGGTTCCAAATTTATGGACAATATATTTACAAATATAAATACAAAAATGGAATGGGTATATTTGCAATGGTTGTTCTGCTAAGGACAGTTTTTACATGGAAAAATTCCCTTTGAAGCATTTTTTCCTCAGAAGCAACCCGATTTAAAATCTTGTTGAAACAACAAACTTAGTGTAATAAAATGAGCAGTATGGACTCATTCCAGCTCTTGAGTAGGAAATAAATTTTATGTCCATAGACGGACAGATCTTATTACACTTAACTGTGTTAATTGCTTAGTCTGTTTGCATTTCTATCAATAAAAAAAAGAAAACGTGAAATCACCAAGTAATTTGTTTAGAATACCAACAGATATTGTAAAAGTATTTCCAAAAAGTATTCATAGCTAGTTTTCAATTGATTCAGCAGGTGGACCATTTAAGTTGATCCTCTCAATTTGGAAACTATTCACCCTTTCCCACAAAACGAGAATACTCAAACTCATCTGGTTTAAGTTGGTTACCTTGATTAAACACTACATTCTCCTAACTAATTTACAGAGAAATGTTTGGCAGCTACAAGGGAGAATTAGCTACAGATGTTGAAAATTTAACCCTTTAACTCCCTGATCAAATTTGTAATTCTCCTTACCATCAACAATACAATTCTTATAATGTTAGTTCAGAGAATTTAGAATTGGATCAACTAATTATCCCCAAATTGATGTTTTTCTTCATTCTCATCACTTATCTGGTTGATATTGTATTGATATTGTAAGGAGAAATTATGTTTTGGTCACTCATTGGAGTTAAAGGATTAATAGCTAAAATGTAACTTCAGGTGAAGGAAATAAGCAACTTTGTTTGGATGTTACAAGTAGGTCTATACAATGAAAGGAAATTTCCAATGGTAAGAAGGGAGAGTATCTTATCCAATCTTAGTATTACAAGGGTTATCAAATGTTTTTACTCCAAAGAGAGGATTTCAAGTTATACTGGAATTAAGGTTGCTAAAAAAATAACTCCCATGAACATTGTGAAGGTTATAAAAGGTGTCAAGAATTTCCACACAGGCCAGAGTGCATAAATGGAACTGCAAAAGAAAGTGAAGTGACTGATATCACAATGATCAATGTACTCAAACAAATAACTATCACCGCCTCTTTTACATCCTGTCTATTCTCCCAAAACCTTGAACAATCATAGTGATTTAGCTTCCACACCAGCTATCCTGATCTTTCAACCCCCTTCTCAACTTCATCCATGTTCAACCTATCATTCTAAGATCAATAGTGACTAAGTTATCCAATAACATGAGATATTAATCAAGAGGCTAGAATGCTGGACTCAAGATCAAAAGATCAAAGTCTGAATCCTACTCAGGATCAAAGTGTTGTGCTGTCAGTCAAACTCATTAGTCTTGTTGAGCCTCCCTCTATCCAAGAGTAACAATTTATGAGAACCACCAAGCTATGGGGGAACCACCTTACAAATTACTAAGGTTTACCAACAATGGATATGCCCTATTCTATGGAGAGTGGGAATGCTTCAGATCATTTAAAAACCAAAGAAAAGCAGGATTAAATCCACAGCTTAAATGTATGCAAGTCAGCCCTATATAAAGAACTCACCCAAATTATCTCCAGTAACTGTTACAAATGAATAAAGAGACCTATGAGGAATCTTGTACAAAATACCAAGATGTAGGGGAACTACCTGACAAACCACTAAGGTTTACCAACAATGGATTTACTCTAATCTATAGAGAATGGAAATGCCTCTGGTTATTACAACCAATAAAAAGCACAACAAAATTACTCTGATGAAGAGCTAATGCTCCAAAGGTCAGCTTTTAAACTCTTTGCTGTGGTCAATTTATGTTATCAACTGAATTGAATAATGCTAAATTACCCTGTTATACTCTCCCATTGATGCATCACAATTTCTTTAGAAATTTAACTTACCCCCCACAAATGAATAAAGGGGGAGCTTCTAAAGAAACTGTAGAGTTAAATCAGTGAGGGCATTGAAAAAATTGGCCACTTGACCATAAAGAGTTTCTAAAGCTAATATTTTGAGCATTAGCACTTTGGGTTTTGAGAAATCATAGAATCTGCACTTACCAAATCATTCCAACAATAAAAGATGCAGTGGCAATTGGGATGATGTAAGGAGAGTGCTTTTCCCAATCTGTGATCTTCTTATAGTAGCTGAGCCATAGGACACAGTAACAACCAACGCACAAGTTGAATCCTATGAGAGCACCTCCAATGTACAACCATAGTCTGATATGCAAAGACATTATAAAAAGGAATAATGAAAAAAAATGTGTGAACTTATGTCAATGATTTTAGGATAATGCAAAGTCTAATCATGAGTAGTTATTTCTTGGAACATCTGTCTTAAACCATTTAGTTGGTCATCAGCTTCCACCTTAGACAACCTATACCGTAGCACCTGCAAGAGTTTTGACAAAGGTTTCAAGATATGTTAATCCAGTCTTCACCCCAAGCTTTTCATATGTCTCTGGAGTGGGAGGAAGAGAGGGAGTCACCCTTATGGATTTCAGTTCATAAAGTTGTTTAATGGCTTTTCTCAGAGGTAACTGTCATTATTTTGTGGTATCAGTGATCATCCAGGTGAGGGTAACCCTCAAAAGCAAAATTGAAGTCACAGGGTCTGATATTTGACATTTCTACTCAATCAGGTTGTCTAAGCTTCAGTCACTGTCACTGATTGTCCTTTTTCAGTAATTCCTACAACCATATAATTAGTCACCACTTTATTGACTGTGAGGTGGTTGTCAAGGGAAAACCACATGATATAGCTGTAAACTAGTTAATAATTTGCAGGCATATCATGTGGTTTTTGTAGTTTTTAATCCAAAGTTGTCAGAATCACAAGAGAGATGTGGGAGTTGGCAAATAAAATATAAGCACCTGGAACAGGTATTAGATACTTGCACATGATGTAGGATTAGAGTAGAAGGTAAATGCTATTTTCTTTGCATAATACAGGTATAAATTATCTCATTTTTTCATGAATTTTCAAATTTAGTAAACAAGCAGAGGTTTGTGTGCATGTATTTTAGATGTTTTCTATCAAAATTTAAAATTTTGAGGGCATGTATAAAGTATCTTGTGGGGCAGAATTTGTCAGAATTAAGGTCTATCAAAACCCTTTTGACTACCCTGGCTGCACCTGATATGATGTTCTACAACCCGCTACTTCACCCTTTAACCCCCATGTGTGACCAAAGCAGAATTTCTCCTTAAAATTTCAATACAGTATCAGGCAGACAAGTGATAAGAATAAAGAAAAATATCAATTAGGGGATTATTAGTTGATTCAATAACAAATTCTTTGAACTAACAAAGTAAGAATCGTATAGCAGACAGTAGGGAAAACTATTACTGTGATCTTGGGAGTGAGAGGGTTGAACACACGTAGCAAATGAGATAAAAAAGACTATATTTAACATAGAAATTGTCAAACCACGGTATAGAATCTTACAAAAAAAACTACCTGTACTTCAAAATAAGTCTTACGGGATGAGTAGTGATGAGTCAAATCTCTGGCTGGCTCACCTATGTATTCGTGGATCGAACCTCACAGCGACATAAAAGTCCGTGTAATAGAACACAGCTATTGCAGCTATCATCCAAAACACAGAATGAGGGTTTATTCGAGATTTTGATGCTGGGTCATTCTCCCTCAGTAGTCTTTCTCCTTCTTCTATTGCCCTCTCTAGAAAATCGTAGGTAACAACGTATTTGGGTAAATCATACAACATAAACAATAGAATTTTATTCAAAGTTTCTTACTATTTAAAAGAGAATCATATCGTATATCTCTACGACGAAGTAATGCCTCTTGAAGATCGTCGTTAAGTTTTGATCGATCCTTGAACGCCATTTTTTGGTACACTTACACTTAGAACCCGCCCCGCTGAGTTTAAAGTACAGTGGGCGCATAGAGGAATTTGATCACCGATCGATCACAGGAAGTACGTGACAGTCCTCCATGGGCGGTGGATATGCAACCTAAACGCAAACGAATTATTCTGTATCTTAGTCACGTCTATAGAGGAGGCTGTTTTTTCTTTAGTAACATAAATGACGAGCTTAAATCTGTTAGAAATCTCTTTCATAATCCTTGTTGTGCATTTGGGTTTTCTGCAAGGCAACTCAGGTGAAAAAAGCTTGGACGCTGTGCTTAGTCTGTTTTCTGTTTATTCTCTGTTTATAATGATTTCCTCGCGGTTGTAAAGGATGATAATCATCGCTCAGCTTTATTTCTCTGTCTTCGGTTTGAATGAACTTAAAAGTTAATATTTATTTTCCTTCTAAATGTAGATAAAGAGAGCAGTTTTAGACAAGAAGTGCGAAGCTACCAGTTCGTCTCACCGCGGTTAAGCCTTAATCAACAAGGCCGATGGAGAAGAACAAGAGATACTTCAACGAAATCAAGTTCGGTGAGTGAGCCAATATTAGACAATGATGACACAATTTTATGGCTCTTTCTTTCTGATCTGAAGATAACTGTGTGTTTCATGTTATCGGGCCCAAATTGATTTGACTTCCTGAATTCTTCCTTTACGGAGCTCGACTGTTGCCGCGCGATCAGCAAATTGCAGCGCACTTCAATAGAATCATCGACCAAATTTTCTTTTAGGGTGGTCATTTGGGAAGAGCAACGTTTTCCCTTAGAGGATTTGGCAAGGAATTTGTCTTAGATGTTGTACAAAACCGGTAAGCCTTGTTACTTTGTCTAACACAGATTTCTATCTTAATTTTTTTGCAAAGCTTTTTTAAAAAGTTCCGTGATATTCCCACAGATTGGGTTCATCGAATTTTTATTCTTGTTCCACAGCGTTTTGTTCTCCGCCAATTATGTGTCAAGATATTTTAAAACGGATGGTGGAGAAATCATTGCCAAAAATGAGGTTTGTTCATCCTATTCACAGAATAAATTTAATTAGGATTATTTCATAGCCGACTTCGGTTCATGTAAAGCGATTTGGGGTTTTCTTAAGAGATAGCCCGGTATTTGCGAAAGTCAAAAGGCCTAATCTTCTTCGCACAGTTGCATGTCAAACATAGGTGTTTACAAAAATTCCTTTTGAGTTTGTTTGCCGAGCAATTATTCTCATGTTCTTCAAACAGGGAGCGGTATACCACTAGCTTGCCTGGGTGATTCGCCTCGTTTCTAAAAGAGATGCAAAATTCTGTCGAAGGCTAATTTGACATGTGTGTTTTGTTGTCGCAATTGATATTTGAAAGTGTAAAGTGACGTCCGATTCCTTGATCTAACCAGCCGACGAAAGCGATGAAATGACATGAAATGAGAGAGTGCATGCGACTTGAAACCGATTTATCGCGATTCGACGAGATAATTCTTGAAGTTCCTGTTGTTTTCTTGATTATGTCGAAATTAATTAAAAAATATTATATTAAAATATATAACTGTTCACAATTATAATTTTGTTTATTGCGATCGAACACTGTTTAGTTCAGGGAATCACCTTGCTGTGCTGACATAAAAGGGCGTATATGACTTTTTTCCCTCCTTCATAGAATTCAATTGTAACATATCAGGTCATTTATGAGTAAATGGAAGGTTAATTAACATATTGACCAAGGCTCACAGGTGCGAGACAAAACATGACATTGAGCTTGCGTTAGATCTTCCTTCAGCTTTTGGCTAAACACGATATTTTGATCGTTTAATCCAACATCCAGGAAAAAAAATGTTTTAACACAAAATCGAGAAGTGTTGTTTCAGATTACAATGTTTGATTTTGCTGCACTGTATTAAAATTAAAAGTGTTGTATGGTGCCTGATACAGTTGGAATAATAGCCATTGTATAATTTTGTTTCATGTCAACTTGATTCATTCGTTAGCGGTGTGTTTTGTGTAGTTTATCTGCTCTCAGCGAAGGTGAAGGTCAACTAAACAACTTATCTTTTTTTACTGACCATAAGTATTAAGATTATTCATAAATTGGAACTAGAAAAAAGGCCTAGCTTAAAATAATATATGTAAGTTAGAAGAGAGAGAAAAAAGGTTGGTTTTGAAAATTTAAAGCAAAACATTCTCAGCACAAGTGTATATTGTTTAGGCGGAACCACTGCAGAACCAGGGATGAGATTTGGGTACTTGTAAAAGGTCAAAAAATATCGAACTGTTTCCATTTGATTAATGTGGTCTCATTGCTTTATGAGGGTAATCAAGGATGTTGTGAACTAGGACTTCCCTTTCAGTTTTTTATTTGCTTTGAATTAAACATGCAACTTGCATGCAATGTATATCACAGAACAGGATCACCACTAAAGGTTAACTAGAATTTCTATTTTACTTTTGTAGAGAAATGAAAATTGTTTTTATCAAGGAAATATTCAAGGCTTGAAGCACTCAATTGTTGCTATTAGCACTTGTCAAGGAATCGAGTAAGTGGATGGTAATGGTGAATGAAAGGGGATTGAAGGAGACAAAGGGAAATCATTGTGTCTCATTATCTTTTTAGTTTTGACATATTGAATGTTCCAGTTAGGTTGGATTCTGTTTTATTTCAAATGTTTTTTGACTTACTGTGGTGAAGCTTTGCAAAGACTTTCTACTTTCCATACTCATCTTAATGCTACATTGAGAAATGGTTTTTCTTGTCATGCAATTTTGTTGAGTATGAAACCAGATTTGTATTGAAGATTTACATGTCTGTATTAATTTTTGGAAAATGTTATAAGGGTGAATCATTTCATTATTAAAAAATAGCTCCTTGCCCAAACAAGAAGCCCATGAGAAACTCATCTGATGAAACATTTTAAATTTGTGAGAGTTGTCTTTCACAGGGGAATGATATATGATGGGAATGAGACATATTACATTCAACCATTCCCTGGAAATGCAGACAGAGTAAGTGCTAATTCCTTATGAGTGGTTCTTTGTTAATGGTGTTCATTTTAAATGACTTTTTCATTTCCCTTACACCATACATCATGATTGCTAATTATTGTGTATAACATGCTACTGTTTGGCCTGTTAACCCTTTCAACCCCAAGAGCGATCAGCACCTAATTTCTCCTTACAATAATGTTGCTGAGTCATTCATTAAGATCTTGAGAAAAAAAGAAGTGATTGCCAACCTAAGAAGCTTCGATTGTTATACAAATTCTCCTTGTCAGTACCAAAAGAAAGGTATACAAAAGAGAATGGAGAATGTGGATGCTGATGTTAGGGTGTAAAGGGTTAAGTGATGGAAGTTTGGGTTTCAAAACCTCTTCTTAAGGCTTGTGGTGGTAATTAGTATAGCAGTTCCTTAATGCAATGGCGTTAGACATTTCTATTTGTTTTGTTTTTCTGTTTGTTTGTTTGCTTCTTTTTTTATTTTTTTTTTTACTTGTGAAATATTTTTAAGGTACCTTCTCTATAAATTGTAAGAAATTAAACCTAGTTAGAATATTCATATGCCTCTGAGTGAAACTTGCCATTTATCTTCACACACAGCATGTTATGTACCGTGCTTCAGACCTGAGAACTGGTGAAAAAAATTGTGGTAAGTCAACACAATGCAAATTAAAATGATTTGTTCAGGATTTAAGATTTCAAGCATATATTGAGAGTTACAGTAAACTTTATAAAATAACTGCAGTTTTTGAAATGTTAAAGACATAAATTTATTTACTATAGTAAGAAAAGAAATGATTTTTTGACAGGTGTGAAGCATTCTGATTTTACACATGCTATGGAGGATTTTGTTTCTCTAGGAAAACATCGGGTGAGGTTTCTTTATCTTTTCCTTCTCTTTGCATGTTTCTGTTGTTGTAGTTTCAAACCTTCTGTATGACCCAATTATTGTGTCTTCATTTAAAATTTCTTGTTTTTTTAAATGATTTTTTTATAATTTTGTGATTGTCTCTATAGTCTCGCAGAAGTGTGATGAGTGAAACCAAATTTGTGGAGCTAATTATAGTCAATGATGGTAGTCAGGTCAGTTGAACACTTTTATACAATAGCACTGTTTTCTTTATATTTATTATGGGACTGACAAGGAGAATTTATTGGACAATCACTAGCTTCTGAAATTGGAGATCTTTTCCCTTATTTATGTCACTTTATTGTTAGTAGAAATTAGTACCAGTCCCTCTCAGATGTTAAAGGGTTAATGGGTATTGGAACTAACACCCTATCCAGGAGGAGGACAATTAGCAGTAGTCTCCAAAACTTCAATCAATTCAGGCCACAACTGTGTAAGTCAGTCCAAGGTACCTACAACAACAACAACAACAACAACAACAACAACATCAACTTTATTTGCACCCTACATTTATTTACATGATACAAAAAATAATATATAAATTACATGAAAAATGGAGAGAGTTCAGGCAGCCCATTATAACCATTGAGGGCTTAAAAGATAAAGCAGTTTTACTTAGGTTATTAATAAATTACTTAATCAAAGGGTCAGGTACCACACGTGCACATCACGCACGCACACACCACACAAAACACAAAAGAAAAAAGAAAAGTTATCCACTCCTTAGAGGGGAGTGGAGGGTTGGTGTAAATACAGGGAGGGAGTAACCAGAAATGGGAGAATAATCAATTTTGATAGGGCCATACTTTGTTTGCAGGGTGAGAGTTTTTTTTTCTTCAAGAAATTGGGGAGGGCATAGAAAAAACTGCACACACACACACACACTCACACACTCAAACCCCCCTCATCTTATAAATAACAGTTCCTTCAGTAAACTAAGGGAACATAAATGGTTAATGCTGTGGTGGATCATTTAACATGTCATTTATTGATTGTGAAATTCAGTTTCCACTGAATGGCTTTTTTTGTTTTTTTCTTAGTATACGCACTTTAAGAGAGACAGGAAAGCAGTTGAATATCGTTCAAAGATGATAGCTAATATTGTAGACTCTGTAAGTAATGAGGCATTGCTGTTAGACTTTCTGTATCATGTATATTGCTGTATGTAGTAAATACCAGCAATGAATAACATTGTGGTGCTATACTCTCAGCAAAATATCTTATGCTACGCAGAATTTCATATGGCACTCGTTTAAAATTTAAGCTTTCTTCTCATGAATGTTTTCCCTGACAATGTAATGATAATGTAAGTAGAAATTACTTATGAAGAACTCCTTGGTACTAAAGGGTTTAAAAAGGTTGCTAACAGAACTTGAAAATCTAACTCCCCTCCATTCAACTTTGTTTAACGTTAAATATATGTGCAGGAAAAGTGCTCTGTTTGTGAGGGACTTAGATTAAATTTGAATTGTCATCAAATCAGAGCATGACATATTGAGCAGTGATGAAGAATATGCACTCCTTTGTTTGAAATAATTGCAAACTATATGCAGATGCTAGGAAATCAAAGTCAGCAATTGTAAAGTGGTCATACAAAGCGAATTATGGTCAACTTGTTGACGGTCCAACTCGCCGATGGTCCAACTCGCCGACACCAACTCGCTGATGTATAAAATCGAGTAGAGACGTCGGAGAGTTGGTCCTCAATCCAATACAACTTATTAGAAGTTAAACATACAGAAAAGTAAACGATATTTAGTAAAAAAACACTGGTGAACATTGGTGAATATCAAACAGAAGCTTAAACATTGGTTGGTGAACATCACCAATGACTAGAACAGCTTAAGACGCGAACGAGTTATTGTGCGACAACAACACCGTAAAGACTCATCATGTCAATTGCTCAGATTTTTTTAAGAAAACTTGGCTTTCTAGACAAGATCTTTAGTAAAAAGCAATTCTTTTTATTTGCAACAAAGTTTATAAGGATCTCAAGGCGAATAAAGCAAAGTAAACCTCACCAATGACTCTAACAGCTTAAGACGCAAACGAGTTATTTTGCGACGACAACACCGTAAAGACTCATCATGTCAATTGCTCAGATTTTTTAAGAAAACTTGGCTTTCTAGATAAGATCTTTAGTAAAAAGCAATTCTTTTTATTTGCAACAAAGTTTATAAGGATCTCAAGGCGAATAAAGCAAAGTAAACATCGCCAATGACCACATCTGCTTCAGACGCGAACAAGTTATAAATCACGTTCGCATCTTAAGCTGTTATAGTCATTGATGATGTTCACCAATGTTTAAGCTTCTGTTTGATGTTCACCAATGTTCACCAGTGTTTTTTTACTAAATATCGTTTACTTTTCTGTATGTTTAACTTCTAATAAGTTGTATTGGATTGAGGACCAACTCGCCAACGTCTCTACTCGATTTTATATGTCGGTGAGTTGACTGGATACCATACAAAGCAGACTGAATATAACATGTGTTAAAATGTTTAGTTCAATCAGGGAAAGTGATCCAATTTTACCTTAATGTCAGAGAATTAGCATCCAAATTGGGACATCAGGAGATTTGCTCTGTATCTCAGTGGGGCTCCTGGGTGATGCATTGGCATCTATACTTTGGAGTTGAAATTTTCAAGATAAACAGAACTTTGGGTAACTTCGGTAAGGTTCTGAAAAATTTTACATATTCAAATGCAGGCTACTAACTATTTAACACTAAATTTGCCTTTAAGTTGTACCGACCTCTCATGGTACGTGTAGCTCTGACTGCTGTGGAAACTTGGACCCAAGGCGATAAAATAGTGGTTGATGAAGATTCAGACAAGAGTTTACAAAACTTTATGAAATACAGAAATTCAGATTTGGTCAAAAAATACCCACATGACAATGCACAGCTGCTGACGTGAGTATGATGAAAACATGGAAATAATAAACAAACACTCTACATAAAAATATTTGAGTTACTTAAGACAAATACAGTATGTGTTTAAGGATTTGGTGTAGGAATGAAATTTGTACAATGTCTCATTAATATGTAGTTTGATTTCCAGCAAGAGTTGCCTAGGTTTTAGTGCTCTCAGATTTTCAAGACACCAGTGACCAACATAAGTGTGTTTCAGGACAACCCCCTAAGAGTGTCCCAAGGCACTCCCCTTTATTATGCCTAGATCTGAAGAGTGCTATATGGCACTTTTGTAGTTGCTGTGATCCAGCCAATTAAAAGTAATGTTATTGTCATTGTCAGTGGTCCATTTGTTGCAAGAGCCTAGAGACCAATCAGAGAAGATTTTAAACACTATTCTCGCTTGTCACCTAGCAACTGTTCCATACAAATTTAGCATGAAAATTTGTTCTGGTGTTCATAATAGTGGAACCTGTGGCTTAAGATGCAAGTGGAAATTGAAAGCACCAGAAAAAATTGCTGATAGGGATGATGAGAGTGACTTTTCTGTTTCTTCTGTTAATACAGGAGACCTTTCAGAATTAGAATTCCCCACTTGATGCTATCTTTTTTGGCTCTTTCTCTAGAGAGAGATTAAAAAGACTCAAAAAGAATGAACCTTGATAGACCATAGGAAAGTTTTATAGGGTTTCAGGTCTGAATGTGGTACTGATGTGCTTTTGTCAAAAAAAAAACCACAGATTTACATAGTAGGGTGTACTATCTAGAAGATTTCTTCCAATAAGAGGAAATTGAGAAGACAGGTATTTTTAATAATATTATAATTGTGCTTTTGCTTTCAGGAGGATAAATTTTCAAGGTTCAACTGTTGGAAAGGCTTCAGTTTTGGCCATGTGTGGTGAGAGGTCTGGTGGTGTAGTACAGGTACATGTCATTAGAATTTTAAAAATCTGATGATTACATAAATTATTTACCCAAATAAGAAGGATTAAAAGGTATCTTCTATCTTTGGGTGGTCAGTCAGATGGTCATTAATTCCTTCTAATGAGTCAAGTTATATCATTATTTATAAATTTGCATAAATTATAAAAGGTTGAATTAATTAATTACTATTATTATCACTTTGGAGGGCATTGGGAAAACAAAAACTGATGAAAAAATGACAACATAAAAATCTGAACAATCACACAAGTGCAAGCATTTTAGCCCACAAAATGCACCACAATACCCAACAAAGTAATGGGGTAAGCTTTTTCAAACATTTTTGTCTTGCTTTATGTTATGTGTTAACCAGATAGTTTCTTTGTTGTTTTGTTTTTTTGTAATAAGGATCATTCTGGCAGTGCTGCAGCTACAGCAGCAACCTTAGCTCATGAAATGGGTCACAACTTTGGATTTATTCATGATCAGGACGGTAAGTGTATTGACAAAAATCTTGGAGTCCTGATATACTTTGTGGTACACTACACATTGCAACCAAAGCAATGTGAGATAAAAATGTGTATTTTTAACCTTTGCAATTCCCTATTACAGAAGTTTAATTTTATATAATTACTAAAATAGCTTTCAGTACTTTATTGCTATATATTTTTTTAATTACCCAAAAATAAAACCCAAGACCTGGAATTATTATGAGGCATTTCCTTTTAACTGATTGTTCAAAAATTGTAATTGTTTGTTACCAGGGATTTAAAGTTGTTAATTTACTTACATATGTTGTCTTTCCTATTCAGTTCCAAGTTGTAAATGTGATGCACCAGCTAATCAAGGATGCATCATGTCTTCTGTAGCAAAGTATGTCTTTCCTGAATTTTTTTCATTTAGGGACTGAGACAGAGTCAGAAGTATGTCGTTAGGTTGTTGTTGTTAACTCCTTTTGACGAAACATTTTGGGGTTTATCTTCCATACATGCTAGTGCAATTGTGTGTACTTCATCGGGGACTTAACAAAAGTCCCATACAAACTCTGTAGTGATGTATTCCCTTTGGTAATTGTTTTCAGTTATGGACACCTCATCTTCTTTAGAGTAAATGTATCTGTTCATCTCCTTTTATTATGAGATGCAATATTGAAGGGCACTACCCTTGTACCTTTTAGTAGAATGAGTGCTTACCTAAATGCTGTGGAAGGGGAAGGAAAATTAGTTAGGCAAACTAAGCCCAGGGTATTGCCCTGCAAATCTTTTGTGGGCCCCCCACATCCCATTTTGGAAACTACTCTAACCTTGCCTTAAGAAAAGTTAGCCTCAGGCATTTATCAGTCATAACATAAGGGAAAGAAAGAGAACTGTTTGTCTCATGATTGAACTCCCAGTGAAGACAGGTGGTAGCATGGTGTATACTAAAACAAGTTTTCATTTAACACAGGAACACACCCTCAACAGACTGGTCATCATGCAGCAGAGATTCATTTCACACATACCTGAAGCGGGGCCTGGATGCCTGTTTGTTTAACACTCCATCAAACGTAAGCTTATTTTGATAACAACTTCTGAGATTAAAATGGACAACTATGGCACTAACTTGTTTATAGAGGTTTCCTTGGGATTAGTGACATTTTCAGTCACTCAAGAAACAAATCAAAAAATTTATGAAAGGTGTCTTTGACCCAATCTCTCTTAGCTTCTTAAACTCAATAGGTACACCTGTTCTCTCTGTAAATGTGTTACCTTGTTGTTAGAGTGGGTCAGATCAGTTCCTTGCAATAATTTTCAAACCAGTAGATTCTGAATCACCTGTGGCATTTTTTGGCACTTGTAGTTGTTTGGAGATGCATTGTGTGGCAATGGCTTCAAAGAGGAGGGTGAAGAATGTGACTGTGGCACCATAGAGGTACAGTACAGCATACAAACAATTTGGAAGCAAAATTGCTGTTTCCATATATTTGCATGGTGTAGTTTTAGGGGTAATGGTAGGCCTAAAAAAAGGTGGTAGCCAATGGCAGCAACTGACATTTGGTTATCTGAACAGAACTTATCATCAATGTTGAGTGAATAAGAGTTTTTTGTTAGTGGAATGTAATGCACCTGGATAGTGAAAACTGATCAGTCAAGTTTGGTGTACAGACTGTAGTGCTATTGGCTGTTTTTTTGTTTTTTTTTTTAAGAACAGTTCATGAGCTGCAGTAGGCCAGTTTTGATGTGTTGATTACAAGGCCATTCTGTTCAATTTGATAAAATTTGCTGATCAGTTTTCACAAAAAGTCAATAAGCAAGTAACTCCTTTCCTGACCAAAGGTAAACAAAACTTATGGATAGTGTCACCACTATAATGCCTTTGTCATAGTGCTACTGGTTGGAAAGATCCCCAAGATGAAATTTCTATTGTATTGTACCTCTAGCCAGTAGGATCTTAGGAGGCTTGGAAAGCACTACCACTAGAGGTACAGCCTGCATATCTAGTCCTTTCCTGACTTTGATGATTACTGAAGGTCTGGGTTTTGAAACATCAGTTGCATATGGGCTCAAACCACCTATTTTTTACCCAAATAATTACTTAAACATAGTTGAATTCAATGTGTGCCACATGGTTAGTGGTAGCTTTGTCTTCTTGTAGCTTAACAAGTCCTAGTGAAACTTTGTTGAAGGTAACTAAGCTTTTTGATATTATGGCAGAGGATCTGTTGATGTCAGGATGGGTTGCTTGAATCTAATATAGACTATATCTTATTACTTCTGCTTAAGTTCTTTTTGTTGAAGTCTGGTGGAAATTTCCTTTTGTACCACAGACACCTTGTAGAGCAAAAGTTATTTTTTTTTATCAACATGTGCACCTCATGTAGTTAAGATAGTTTTAAGGTAGTTCATGTCAATTTTTAATGGAAGTTTATGATTATGTTACGTGTTAGGAGTGTGAAAAGTATAGTGATCATTGTTGTAATGCCACAACCTGCAAGCTTCATCCTGCCTCTGAATGTGATTCTGGCCCATGTTGTGACAAATGTAAAGTAAGTTTAAATCAACACAGGGAATTCTTTTGCTTATAATTAAATTGCATCAACCACCACTTAGGGAAATCCCTTGACTTGCCATTAAAATGGTAAGAAGCAGACTAAATGATACTGGGAAGTTTTTGTCGATTCACAGGCAATCTATTTTTACAATGCAATGTGAATTGAATTGATTTTTTTCCTATGAATATATTCCTTATGGTTGGTGTTGAATTTTTTCTCAAAATTTATTAATTGATTTGACAAAATATTCTCCCTTTTGATTTCCTTGTAGCATAAACCTCAAGGTTTTCTCTGTCGCGACACGATCAATGAATGTGATTTACCAGAAGTTTGTACTGGAAAATCAGGATTGGTAAGTGAATCAATAGCTTTGCATTTCCTTTTTTTGAACCATGGGTGGTACAGTTTATCATATTCCAGTGTGAGCCTATGGCAGTTTTAAAAGCAGGTTGATTGTGAAAAGTATTGTCATAAGTAAAGATTGGTCAATTAAAACTGAAATCTAATCAGCAAGGTACTTTCCACTCAGCATAATGTAGTTCTTTATCCATGAAAAATTGCCTTGTTTACATCCAGTGTATTTCAGGGCAAGAACCTTATTGCTCTGGCAATAATGATTATTGCTATTGGAACACCCAGCTTGCAGCTGAATAATGCCAGCCTGGCACAATATTCCTAATGAATAAAATGAATGAATTAGAACACTTCCTTTCTTTGAGCTCAATATTTTAGGTTGAGAATAAGCAGGTCTTTGATAAATTTATTTATTTTGTAAGTCATCAATGGCACTAACAGCCTCTTTCAGTTCTACCTGTAGGGTAGATTTGTAAGCTATAGGACCCAAAATGTACCATGTTTCGACTTGTCTTTCAGTGTCCCAGCAATAAATACGTGCAGGATGGTGCAACTTGTGCCAATGGCGAGGTGAGAAAATATGATGCCACTTCTCCATTATCGTGAATTCAACTTGCTGTTGTTCAAGATATTCATGTCTTCATCAATTGATATGCTGTTTTGCTCTTTTAAGGGATACTGCTTCAAAGGCAAATGCCCCTTACACGACACACAGTGCAAAGACTTTTGGGGAAAAGGTACTTTTTATCTTATTAAGAATCTTTGCTTGAAGCTGTTTTATGTTCCAACTCTTTCGTCGCTGTGCGTATCTATTGAAACAAACTTTCTGCCCAGAATAAGAAAGATGGTAAATCTTGAGCTCTGTTGTGGGACACAAACATTTTCATTATTTGTCGTGGCTGTCAACTCTTTTCAACCTAACATCACCTAATTGACCATTATCTTTATTCTCATGACCTTAATGTGTGATTTAGGGGTGATATTGTTAGGAGAAATTAGATGCTAGTCACTCTTAGGGGTCAAAGGGTTTTTCATAACGAATAAGGGATTTGCACAGAGAACTCCGTGATGAGCAACGCCATTTCTAAGTTCTTATGTCACTTGCTTTCTGCAAGTTGCTTGAATCGGCAATGATGCGAGTATCTTGGACGAAGCTTTCATCTTTTCTAACAAAACAGCGGGATGATTAAATAAAAAAAGAAAAACAGAAACACTTGAAGGTTGAAAAATATAGCCTAACCTGAATTGTGATCAGATGTGTTTTGTAATGTCTTTTAATGCAAAAATAGGTGGCTTAGCAGTTTCACGTCCAAATATGAAAAAAACGAAAATTGTTGTTTCATCACCCCTGCAACACCCCCCACCTTCCTAGATATAAAAGGAAATGAAATGGAATTGCCATAATGCACCGCTATTTTATCCATTCAGATGCACTTTCCGGCCCAGACGGTTGTTATAACTGGAATATGCAAGGAAATTACAGAGGGCATTGTGGCATTCAGGGTAGCAACGTGTATAAGAAGTGTGATGAAAAGTAAGCATTATTCATAATTATATGTTCGCAAAGCGTGCCGATTCTGAGAGTAACTCCAAGTGCATCTAAAGAAATCCCTGCTGTTGGCTTTTCTACCCAAATAAATTTTCTAAGATTGATCGAGACACTGGATCTGCATAACTAGCTAAAAAGATTACCTACCAGAAACCTTCTATAACTGTGAACGATTTTTTTTTATCCTTTTTTTTATCAAATTAATTGTTTCTTTTTTGTAGGGACAAGCTCTGTGGCATGCTTCAATGCACAAACGTAGAAGATAAGACTCACCCAATAATCGGACACCCCAAAGGCTCTTATGGACACACCTCTGGCGAAACATTGTGCAAGTTAGTACTATACTGTTGAGAGAAATTAAAGTGCTTTTTCCGTTCAAGAATTGACCCTTCACACCTTAACATTCGTATGCATATTCTTCATACTGATCTTTGTCCATTTATTATGTTACTGGCGAAGAGAAATTGTCCAATAGTCAAGAGCTGCTAAATTTGGTGATCATTTCCTTTATTCTTACGACTGCAATGTTTGATTCAGGTTGATCTTTAAGAAGAAATTAGATGGTAGTCACTCAAACCATACTCACCCGTTGACCTTTTATAAAGTTAGACCACTTTAAGCGTATAGATCATTTTAACCATCTCGATTGGTTGGATCTAGGTAAACTAGTTGGACCAATGTAACCCTTTGGGCCAATTCAAGCTGTTTGATCATTTGATCCAGCAAGATCAATTCATTGGTTAAAGTGTTAAGGAATGGAGCGTTTTCAACACTCCGCACCTCGCGATAGCATAGTACGTCCACGTTGTAGGACTCAACATGGAACCCGTCCCCATCCCTCCTCCCAAATAGTTTCCTTGCTTCTACTACCCTTTTAGTTTTTTGTCCAAGAGGAGCTGAAAGATATACTTACCTCCTATTTATTGAATTTGTAGAAGTGCTTCCGTTAGTCTTGGCTCAGACATTCCCGATCCTGGTGAAACTTTGGAAGGGACAAAATGTGGAAAGAATATGGTATCTCTTAATTACGTTTCTGGTTTGTTACCGAAAATATTTTAACCCATAATATTTTAAGGTCATCTATCGCTGCGACAGGCTTATTAGATCGTGTAGCTCGTCACGGTTTTCAGTCAATGCGCTTAAAGATGAAGAGTAAATCGTAGAAAGCACAATCCATTGAATTATATTCCCTAGTTTGTATCTTAAGTAAAGAAAAGAGCATGAGGTTTTTATGCCTTAGTGACTGGGTTACTAGTATTACTGTTCTTCGCTATTGATCAGCTTCTTGGAACACTTTTCCAATGCGTGTCTTCAAACCAAATCCAAACTAATGACAACGACAATCACAGGTGTCCGAAAATTGGGGAGATGACTTGTGATTAAGAGCTATGATTAAGATTAGTTGAGCGGTCTACGTGCATTTTCTTGACCAATCTCACAGCGTAGTGAAGAAAAAGCGACGAAATTCCGTGTTATTTTAATACTGGATTGAAACCGCTCTATATTTCTTCATTATGCTTCACCTAGTCGCCCAAGCATCCATGGAGGGAATAGAATAAATTATTTATTCACTTAACAATTACTCCACGAGAGTGCGTTGGATATGAGATGAAAGATATCCAACGAAGCGCGTAGGGCAGAATCAACTTCAAATCATCATAATCATAGAGTATAATCATCTTAAATCCAACAAGTGCGAGTGGAATAATTGTTTTATCAAAAACGCCCCAATATATAGATAAATTTATTCAACTTTAGTTTTTTAAGCACTAAGGGAATGTTACAATGTACAAAAACACTTCCGGTTTAACACATCTTCATGTGCGTGCAATGTTTAATGGCTCATAACCCATAATTGCTAAGCCAATGAAAACTCTTGAATTGCATGATCCAGTGATCTAGTTTTCAATTTTAGGTGATATTCATACAGGTCACGTGGACAAGATGTACGGAGGTCAAGAGGGATTACTGAGTAACTTGGGAACTAATGTAAAGTGATTTTATGCGTCATATATTCCACGTATTACTAACACAAAAACACATCCTTTGTATTTTTTACTTAGCTTTGCATTCAGCGGAAATGTATCAGCATAGACGTGTTTAATGCCAATAACAAACCATGTCCAAACAACTGCTCAGGTGAAAACGGGGTAAGTGATTCTGTGTTAGATGTAGCAAGTGTCCTTGTGCTCATGTTGATGTTATTTCCCAAGACTGGTCGTTGTGTAGTGTTAACGAGCAAGACACATTCGTCACAGTTCCTCCACCCAAGAGTATACGTGAATATCGGCAAACTTTTATGGAAACGTAGAGAAGTGATGAGGTTAACTCTGCGATGGACTGGTATTTCCTTTACAAGGGGAGGGAGGGTTAGGAGTAGTTGTGATAATCCTGTTCGCTTAATGCTACTTAAGCTTGGGTAAGCCCCGCAAGTGGAGTCTTTTGAACGTAAGCTGATCTTGTCTTACGTTTCATCCACACTTAGGAGTCAAAAGGCGCCCCCCCCCCCTCTCGTGCACACTCCCCCCCTTTTTCGGGTGAGTGTTGTGACTACTTCCTAACTACACCCTCTATCTTATTCAAACCCTTCAGATTTGTAACAACGATGCAGAGTGTTTCTGTCATAGTTGTTGGACAGGAGCAGATTGTAGTGTTCCACTGAAGTGTGGAACAGAAGGTTAGTGGGTCTAAATGTATAACATGGTATCGCCTTGCGAGCTCGGTCAGAAGTTAGAATAGCGATACATTAAAGAGGTATGTGCGGCGGTACGAGTTCCTAGAAAGGTTCTGAGATGTTATGTACGCTACAGTAATCTTAGAAACATAGGTTTTGTCGAGGGTGCTGCGTGGTTCATCTTACTGTCGTGGTGGATGGAAGACCGCATGGAGGACCTCGTGTTGAAAGAGTATATGACGTTTCATTTCCAAGACTTGTTGATTACATGTCTCCAGAGGACCTCAACAACCACTTGCAAGATTTTTAAGATGTACAGGACCAGATGAAAGTTCTAAATTTCGTCTGTTGGAAGCAATAAGTAAGATGCGACAGCTTGTGACCATCACGTGTTACTCAACATATTTGGATGCTTCAGCCTTTAATACTGGGTTGTTGGCTGGATTCTCACCAGGGTGGGGTTTAACACCAGAATCACTAGCTTTTTTAGTTCCACATAGGGGGTCGCGTTTATCTGAGGACCCCTTTGGTTACGCCCTTGCACTATTTTCTGCTATCGACCACATTTCGTATTATCGCGATTTTTTTGTGCATTACACAATACTTCTTCTTAAAATCAATCAGTGCTTTCATGAATTAAACTTTCTCTTCACTGACTAAAAATTTAAAAGTCGTTCATAAAATTTAAATGTTCGAACGTTGTAAAGTAATACGCTTGAATTGAAAATAGTGCTCTTTGCAGTGCTACATTGTACAATATTTCTTTTTAAATAACCTGAAATAAATTTTCATAAAATTTAACTTTAAATTTAACTTACATTAACAGTAATGAGAGGTCATATTAAAATGATTTATTTTAATTCTTCTTTAACGCGTACAGAAAGATGACGGTTTGCCACGCGTATAAAAATATCACATCGTGCTTGCCATTACTTACTCACGAATAGTATGATGATAAAAGATTAATGCCAAATTTAATATCACCAATACGACCTCATTGACATAAACTGCGACTGAGCTTCTTAGATATGAGACGTCGTAAGCTAATTGGTGTATCTAAACCATATTCGCGACTAAATGGTTACTTCTAACTGTAAGATTTATCAAGGTTTATATTTGTTTTTTGTAATAACCAGACTTAGATACATGACACAGCTCACATAACACAACGGTGAAAATAATACTTCTTTTTGATTGGTTCGTAAACGTGTGTCGTGATTGGTCCTGAGTAAACTGTTCTTTTACGAAACGAACTTTGAACTTAGTAAGATCCTCATGTAAATACACTTAATGTTAGAGACGCATCTAAAATAACTGTTTTGTAGTGTTATCAAGAATGAATAGTAGTTGGTGGATATTCCACACTCATCCACACTCTTGCTAGTTTATTAAACCCTTCCTTACGCACAGGTAATGGTACAGAGTACACAATAAGCACCCCAACTAATTTCACAGGTGTGCCAGGTAAGACCTTTATTTCCTCTGTCCTCACTGTTTAACGCTACTCATATATATATATATACATATATGCACTGTTAATCTGTTATACGCTAATAACCTCTTAAGCTCTAATACTATTCTAAAGCTCTAACCTTGCTGTAACTTTAACGCCTAATTATACTGAAAACGTAGAATTATACGTAGAAGTACCAGACTTTAGACTACTTTTGCCGATGAGAGACTGGCCATTAGTGAATCGGGGATACGAAGATGCGCCTGTTATGACGGGAAGAAAAGGGAAACTTTTCTTCCGATGATAACCTGCAGGCTTCGAATCAGTAAAATCCATTCTCTGGTAGCCTTGATAACTCAGAGATCACTGGTACATAGTTAAGATATCGCTCATAAATGTGACTGACTCACATTACATTCGGGGTAATGGGCATTTAACTCATATTCAAATCGCTTTTTGTTTCATATTCCGGATTCGTTGCAGATCCCTCAAAGGGAAAGAATCTTAGCAAATACTCTTCACTCCTAACGTTTCATTGCAAGTTAGAATTGTCGCTCATGCCCACATTTTAACCTCTGCCTTTCCAGTTCATAAAGCAAGAATTTGGGTGAATTTGAGATTAATTTTGTTTCCTAATCTGGTGAAAAACTTTCCGTCGTTTCATATGAGAGTCGATCACTTACCGAAGCTCTGCTGTGCGTTAATGCTTCTAACCATGATAAAAGAGTAAAAAGTAAACATGCCAACGTTATCCTTTACTAATGTCTTATCAAGTGGCACAGAACATGTCGAGCAACACACGGAGATTCACACGAACATGGCATTTTATTTTTTTAGTTCATCGATGATCAATTGCTAAACATCGCGTCTTTAACATATACGAGTCATTATACTCGTCTAAAGGCAACCACACCATTAACTTATTGAGCGAAATAGTGATTATTAATCAATTTTAATAAGAAAATGATAGTAATAAATGATTAATAATAACTAAGTCTTTTTGTCACGTGGACGGTTTTCATTTCTGTTAATCCTGAAAAACTCATCAAACGAAGCAAAAACACTAACAACGAATAACAATTGAAGTTGTTGAATAAGGAATTGGAAGAACTTCCAGGTCTTAGTCATCACTTAGTCAGTGGGTGTTCTTGGTTGTTTAACAACTTCAATCCTTTAGATGTCTATAAATGCTTCCAAAAACAACAACTGCAGAACAGAACAAAGGTGAATTACTGAAGAGATCTGTGAGAACACTGAAACGTACCCAAGCGTTGATGTTAAGTTTCCTGTCTTATTGGTTTCAGACCAAACTTATACAATAGCTATCCCACATAGCTTTCAGTACTTGATTTGTAATTTATTTGAGAGGGAGCAGTGTCACCTCTTAAGGAGTGGATTGAGGCAGTGGATGCTCTAAGAAATAACCATGAGAAAGAAAAAACTAAAAACACTTCGGTTTGCACAAACTTTTGTACGAAATTTCACGTAAGCATGCGTAAAAATCAGCTTGCTTGTCCGAACTTCATGAAGTAAGATTACGGCAAGAATCTGTTTCTAAAAGAAAAATGTATGCAAAGAATGCGCTAAGTAAACTGGACAACGTGGTTCAATATTGCTAGCAGTAACTTAGCCTTCACGTAGTCGACTTAAGTTGTTTCAAATATTAACAATATAATCTTTAAATTTTTATCGTGATAATGAGAGAGTTACAAGATAGGTTTTGACAAGAATAATGAGATTGACCCTTCAAGCTCTTACCTTTATTGGCAAGAGGAAATATCTTCAAAACTGTATGGAGAATTTAATCTTGATGCTGGCATCGTTCTGTCAACAGGGACTGCAGAACCTCAGGCAAAGCGAAGCAAGTTGGCTGGGATTTTGATTTTGGTGTTTTTTATAATTTTCCTGATCGTTGGTGCTGTTTTTGCTTTTATTTACCGGAAGCAATTGAAAGAGAAATGGCAAACATTCAAGCAAAAGGCCCCTGTCAATAAAAGGTAAAGAAACTAAGTGTGGGTGTTTATGTGTGCCTTCATGGCTTTCCACCTTAGTTTTTTTTTTTCTTGACTTTGTTTGTCTACTTTTATCTGTGTGTACATTTTTTTTCTGTCTGTCTTTTCGGTTGGTCTTTGTGTCCTTTTCGTAGTATCTGTCTCTTTGCCTATTTGCATCTTTCTGTCGGTCAGTCTGTCTCTGCCTGATTCTTTGTTTCTCTCTGTCTGTTGTAATGTATCTGTTTCTATATCTGTCTGTCTGTCTGTCTGTTTTTTTGTTTGTTTGATGGACTGACGTACTGATTGTGTGTTTCGCGCTCACAGTGTTGGGGTTGTTTATTTGAAAATAGCTACCTCTCTTGTTGAGTACAGAGGCTACCTTTTGTAGGAACCTTTATCCTTGCTAGAATGAAGGCTTATTTTGATCTCATTGACTGGCAGATTTTATTTATATTTATCTGTATTTCATCTCGTTTCCTAGTTATCAAGGTCTGTCCCGGGCTTCTCCTAAACAAACCAGGGCTCGTAATGGAGCAGAAGCTACAGCAACGACAAATTCGGAGCCCTTAAGGCCGAGACCCGATATATCGGGGCCTACGCTCACAAGTACCACCCGTAAGGAGCCTGTAAATATAACAACTAATCCATTAGGGACAAGTAAATTCACAGCTGCATCCACTAAACAAGAACAACCGGCCTCTCAGCCACCAGTGGTCTTTAAGCCTACCCCACCGAAACCGGATAAACCTGAACCACCTGTTGTAGAAAAGGAGAAGCGTCCTCCCAACCTTCCACCTGTCAAACTTCGAAATCGTGATTGGCCACCCAAAGGTGACAAGACAGCATCATTAAATCGCGCCTCCAGTCCTCCGTCAGTAACAGAACCAACTAGACCGGTAAAACCTGTTAAACCTCCGAGACCAGAAAGTCACGCGGGTGTTTTAGATAAACCATCTGTCCCTCCCCACTCTGGCGTAAAGGCTTCGAAAGAATGGCCCCCTCGCGATAAGAAAAACGATACACATTCAAACCCAGCTCAGGGATCTAAAGCCCCTACGAGTCAACCGATAGTTCCACTGAGACCGGTTCCGAAAGCTGTAAAAGGACCTTCAGAAGAAAGACCATCTTCCATTCCACTGAAACCGTCTGATATTAAAAAGGGCCTCGGAACCGGAAACGATAGGCCTCTTTCAGCTTCAAATGTTGCAAGCCCTAAAAAGGTTCCTCTTAAGCCCCCTGGGCCCATTCCAAAGCGTCCTGGATCAAAGCCGACGTGAACGACGGGATATCGCCATTATATGATGTACATAGAGATAGAATGTCCTGAAGTAAGAAATGCCCATAACATAGACAGCTATTGAATTCGTATAATAATCCGCCATTAAGATATGATGAACGAGAAAGTTTTAAATTAATCACCCATCGTAAATCGGGCTGCTGTCATTATAAAGTAAATGAATGATACAACATGCTAATTTACGTAAGGTAAACTAACATACATTTGAACAATTTAACTGAGTCGATGTTTCAAATGATGTTACAAGGTGCGATAATCCTTTTATCACCAGGCAATATGTCACTTTCTGGAAAAGACTGGGTGGTTAAACTTTTCCATCCAAGACAAGGAATTTGTTTTTATAATTAGTGTTTTTTACTAAGCATTATTATACATAAATGAACGTTAAATCGTTGGTCTCGCGATGTAAGAATCAGGCCAATCAATCGCGTATTGATTAGCCAGACTCTCACATTGTGTGACAAACGATTAAACGTTAATTTATTCATAATACCACGTTGAACAACAGCATTTTCTATAACACTATTACACGTGTTCTTTTGCCACATTTTTTCCGCTGGGTTGGTGGGTACTTAAAAACCTAAACAAGAAGGAGGAAAAAAAAATGCAAGTATTAAGGAATTTTCTTTAATTGGTAATTCAGTTGTGTATATGTTGGTGTGAATGTTCTTGTTACCTCTGACACAACTTGTTAAACCTTCTTAATATGGTCATCTCTTCGCACATGGCTCAAAATTCAGCCCTTTATCTTAACCAGAAAAGATGAAAAGTTAGTTTCGAACATGAACAACGTAGTTAAATCCATGAAGTTATAGAATTGTTATGTTTTGTTGTGCTGTTCAAGACTTAACTTTTTAGGACGAAACTTAATTTGAAATGCCAAATTTTCTAGCTCGATCATCCTTAGTTTGGGAGACTTCTAGTGGAAACTCAGATTAGGATATGATTCTCTTTTTGATGCCTTTTCGGAAAGCGCCATTTTGTGGCGTTTGTCTACATATGGTCAGATAGTACATTTTACACTGTCAAAGAACATTCTTAGTAGCCACCGGATGAAGTAATTCCTAAATCCTAGAAACCCACAAATCTTTGGACGAAATGGGGCGGCCAGACCAATCTGTTATAAAATTATTTGGCTTATTTTGTAGTCGGAGAGTGGATAGAATTCAGAAATTGACTAATTTGGCTCGACAATCCTGACAGTCGCAGTCTCAATTCCGATTGGCTACAAGCCTGCAGCTGAAGCACTGTTTTCGTGACCTTATTCCAACAGACAGATTTTCTGCTGTACTATTAGGATCATAGTGGAAGACAACAGTTTCGAAGCAGCTAATGTATCAATAGTATTGGATTCGCTTTACAGCGAGAATTGTCAAAAAGTAGGTTTGTGTATATCACTGGCTTGGCTGAAGCTGAAAGCCGAGGCGGTTGACGACAACTAAAGGCTTGATTATTCATGGAATTATGCTAAAACTTATTAAGAACAGAATACTTTCTATGAATTCACTGGTCTGGTCAATCATTTCCAGCTGATTGTAAACGCTCACATTAATCTCCAAACGTTTTATTTACGGTTTTCAACAACACTGTTACACGTATGTTCTCTGCATTAAAGTGTGAAGTTTAAAATAAATTTCTTCACTTAAATTTTGGAAAATTATACTTTTCTTCATTTTACTGTACGTGAAGTTTATATTACAGTTTTAAACACATCACTTTTTTAAAATTTAGGCCCATTTAAAAATTACTTTCTCACATGGTTGGCTGAGTCGGGAAACAGTAATTTCAAAATAATTATATCAAAGAAAATGCATACATTTTTTTCATTTTAATCAGTTTTTATTCATTATTTCAGTTTAAATCATACACGAGAACGCGAGCTTAATTTAGTTGAGGGGGTCAAAGAAAATACCCGTATCTTTGAAAATTATTAAAAAAAATTTGTAATCCAAAGTTTAGTTGATTAAAATTGGAAAATTAAAAATATTATTAAATGTTTTTATTACTGTATCTTGACTTTATTTCATATCAATGTCAGTATCTCAACAACTGCACACCTACCCCTCCCCTAACCCAACATCTGTCAACTGATTACAACTTAGGGTTAATGTTGGGTTAATGGGGGAGGGGTAGGTGTTCAGTTGCTCCGATACTGACATTAATTCGTTATTGAGCGTGTGTTGATAATTTTGCAGTAAAATCTCAGCGTAGCGAGGATCATGGGAGATTTAAATACGGGAATACTATGATCCCATGGCATGATTGTCCGCGTGGTAAGCCGGGAAGGGACTCGCTAAGGTTCACAGTGATTGACGTTTGTATAACTGGAGGGAAAGGAATCATCAGAGTCAAGGGAAGATTTTTCTGACAGTCGTCTGCAGCTCTGCTCTGACTAACTGTCCCGTCAGTTGTGTGATTTACCTCAAATCTCGATCCTTTTAGTCGCGTAAATGCAAGCTCACCTATACACAAGTTAGAACAGCGGTATAAGCCAATTTCACGCAAAGGGCTCGGAAGTTCGAAAAAACCTCCCCCCCTCTCTTTCCTTTAGAGTGTCCAAAATGACCCAAGATTGCTTTGGTTTTGTTTACTTTGTTATATAACTGGTCCAGAAAACTCGCGCCATTTCATGAACCAATCAGATTTAAAACTGTAAAACCGATCGCGACTTGCTCCCGTACTTTGGTCAGTTCGTTTGTTTTAACTTGGAATTCTTACTGGTTCCTCATCACATTTTTCTTGCTTTGATTGGCTGTTGTAATTGCTTGCAATCGAAAGGCGCTCCAACGCTCTCTTACACTGATATTGCAATGGTCAATGTGACATGTAAACAAAAGTATAGAATAACGTCTTGGATACTTTGAGCACGATTGCAATATTTTGTGATATTCTCCTTGTTATCGTGTTAGTGTGAGGTTCCATTATACTCTTGTATCTATCCTTGAACCCGTCTGAAAATTGTGTTCTATAACTAATGATTGTAGTGTTGCCCTTGTCTATCTTATAATTACGAATAACGGCTTGCTTGTTGACAATTTTGTTTGAAAATGATGTCAGATTTGTTTGAGAAACAGTGAGAAATAATTAATTTGCTTTTAGTCATTATGATGGAAAGTTTTGTTAATTCGTCATATTTTAGTGCAAATAATTTATTTACTTTTAAAATTATGTCTGAGCTATAAGCATATAACTTAAAGGTAGGGGTTCTTAAAATGAATCATTGACAATGTTCTTTAAAATAGATTAAGTCTAAAGACAGACTCCTGAGGAACCTCACATAATATGTCTTTAGTTTTTTATTACATCTTTCTATAGTGGACACACAGCTCTCTGTTATGAGCAGTTAAAATATCCCACATGCAATGACTAGAGTTTGAAATTAAACAGGATTATCTTTGCCTCGCCGCAAGACCTATAAATCGCTAATAACTTAGTTCTTTCATTGTTTTGCTGAAAGTACACCTAATTACATCCCGCGGCCTAATTTTGTTATTAACAATTGAGTTGATGATGTAAATTGACCACCGTTTAGTCTGTAAAGCTGACGTTTCAAGCGTTAGCCCTTCATCAGAGGTTTACCGTTCTGAAGAAGAACCTACGCTCGAGACGTCAGCTTTAGTAACTCTTTACGATAGCCAATTCACATTATCAACTCAGTTGATTAAATCAAATTATCTAATAATAACCACCACCGACGCAGCACCACAATGAGAAACTTACCCCCTTTACCTTAGACCAAGACAGACTCGATGTGTGCTACGCTGCCTACTATTGTTTTAAGATACCTCTCAACAAAGAATGCAACAAGTAACAAAGTCACCTCTATAAATAACTTTTGATGTTGGCTGATCTCGACTCGTTTTATTTTTGTGTTACCCAAATTTCAAGTTGTCGTGATACAGGGCACGGAAAATTAGTCAAACGCAATTTTCGGCCGATTTTAAGTTCAAAATTAGCTGTGATCGTGAAACCTCCAAAGATTAGAGTAGCGGTTCTCTCTTTATAAAAAGTAAAGATTTATTCAAAATAGCTACCGAAGTAACTTGAGCAATATTTTTAACTTCCACAAAATGTTTCGTAAGAGAGAGGTCCTCATAAACTACCTAACAAAAAAAGTTAACTAAAACCAAACAAAGCATGTACTTTGGGGTACCTAATTCTTGACTACAGTACATTCGTTAGGATGAACTAGGGGCAACTTATTCCTTCATTCCCATGATCAGAAAGACCACGTACTCTCTCACTCTTAGCCCTTCTTCAGAGGTCGCGCCAATTTACATTATCGACTCATTTTATAGACAAAATTATTTTATTTCTGGTGAGTTGCTCCCACAACGAGGGCTTATGATGTCAAGAATATTTACACCCAAAAAGGGAATTTTTTCTCTTAGGTGTGGTGTGCAGACATTCATACACGCCCCGGTCCCCGCTTAGTAAAGGGTGGAACTGGAAATACCACTCCGGATTATCGCATATTCTTGGCCTGTTTTAGATCATAACTGAAATTGAAACATTATCACCTTGTCAGTATTAAGTTCTTGTTTTGCCAGGGAAATCGATGACCCGAACGTGTCGGCATCTTTTGCTGAGGTGGCTTCACCTTTTGTTTGGGGGCATAAAACCACAATAACATTGTCAAGTCATCTTTTTACCTTAGTCACGTATCCTCTTCATAACGGAAATCAAGAATGTAAATATTATGTCTTTTACAAAATTGAACTGGGGTTATGATGCTTACGGAAGCCAATATTTTCGCATACAGCTTTGTGTCTGATATCGTATAATATTACGACATTGTCTCTTCAGTTTTACCAGAGGGGTTATCATGCAACCTAAGATTATCGGGGAATTTTCCTCTTTTTAATTCTCATGTCCTTGCCATAATCCTTCTAAATCAAAACCAAGAAAATCGAGAAGTTCAAGCTGTCAAAAAAATATACGAAAGAAAAATGCAAATGACAGAAAAAAAAGCTGTTAAAAGAAAAGTTAAAAAAAAAAAGAAATTTAACCTCTGATCACGTGACAGTGTTCTCTGTTTTGATTGGTGAATACTGCTGTTGAATAACTTGAACCCCTCAGCAAAGCAAAACAAAACATTTTCTCTTCTACAGTATCGCTTGAGAGATGAAAGGTGGATAACTGTCTCTTTCACCCCGTTCAATTACCACTTCTGTAACGCTGTACTGTTTACCAAAGGACGGAAAGTGTCTGACAGCAAGGGATTAGAATTAAGCCTCATTTGACAGCGCGAATTAAACCTAACAACAGACCCACCCGAACTTATTGTCACATCGCCAAGCTTATGAAACAACTCGTGCGAAGGCTCCTACAACTGAACCTGTACCTTATCTCCGAGACTTGGCGAATCTCGTGGATGTTTGCATTTTATGGAACCAATTTCTCCATCGTCGCCATAGGAATGTTCTACGTTATTGATTTCCGTCGTTTATTTTGATGTGACGCATTACCACTCCTGCTTTCATCACTTTCCTTCTACAGCGCAGCGACCGAAGAATCTCCTGTTCTTAGACACGAAAAGAGAACTGTCTGGTTCTCTGTTGTGAAAGGAGTGTGGTTCTGAGGTACGGTAATGCTTCAAGGAGGTTTGATTGACGTGAACAGGCATTTTCATACCAAACTGAGAAAATCGCTCTTCTTGCCAGTGCGCCCGCCATATTAAACGACGATAAGAACGTAGTTAAGTCACCTAAACAAAACGTCCTTGTCTGACCAGTTTATGGGCTTTGAGGGATTACAGTGAAAAGCTTTTTAGTGGGCTGGGTTCACAGGTGACCTCCATAACTTGTTTCGTTCAGGTTGCATAACGACTTCAGAGACTTGAGAGTGATTAGTGCGCCTGCCAAACAAGGCGGGAATTTCAAATAAACATGGACGAAGTCGACTATGATCAGGAGCTTCCTCGTGAGCTCATCAAGTGTGTCTTAGTTGGAGATACTGGTGTTGGAAAGACACGCCTTATTTGTGCACAAGCTCTTGGAGTTGGTATCCCTGCACCCCAACAAGAAACAAAGCAACATATACATTTTCCGACGGTTTTTGCAATTGATCAGTATCATGTGTCTCAAGAAATAAGGGAGCGTGCGAACTTCCGAGTTGATGGAGTCGATGTGGCATTGAGACTGTGGGATACATTTGGTGATCATGAGTTTAACCGAAAATTTGCATATCAGAATGCTCATGTTGTATTGCTCTGTTTTGCTTTAAATTCCCCCAACACTTTCAAGAATGTCAATGCTGTGTGGTACAGTGAAATAAAAAAGTATTGTCCCAGAACCCCTATCATTCTGGTTGGTATGCAATCTGATTGGCGTATGTATGGCAAAGAGACCACAGTGAACTCCAACAGAAGTTTGTCAAAGCGGATGCGAGAGTGTTCCCTTGTGACACCAGACATGGGTCGCCAAGTGGCAAAAGAGATTGGTGCAACTTACTATGAGACAAGTGTTGTAACAATGTGGGGCATCCATCATGTGTTTGAAAATGCAATTCGTGTAGCACTTATCAACAGGCGACAGATGAGATTCTGGTCATCTCAACTGAAATGGATCCAGAATCCACAGCTTCAACCCCCTTACTTGCCAGAAAAACCTGATCCTCCCAAAGTCACTGTGCCACCCTCCATCTTTAAGGAAAACATTAAGGAATTACTTGATGGTGGCATGTGTGCAGATGTAGAATTTCAAGTTCGTGGTCAGACCATCAAGGCTCACAGAGCAATTCTTTGTACTGCAGCACCAACATTTGCTAAGCTTTTCTCTTTGAATGAGGAAAAACTCTTCAAAGGGCTCAGCACTAGAGAAAAACTTGTGCTTCAGGATGCTCTTGTGTTTGGAGAGCGAGGGAGTCTACCCAGGGGTTTTGTGGCGCTTGATTCTTACAATGATATCTGGGACAATGAGGAACAGAGCTCCATGGTTCAAGTTACAGTTGAAAACTCTCTTACATACAGAAATTTCATGTACATTCTTGAATTTCTGTACAGTGGAAATATTCCTCTTGATGCATGCACTGAGGAACTCAAAGATGCTGCAAGAAATCTTCAACTCTGTAACCTTGTAAGTTACATTGCCAATGTAATGAACAATATGGAGTACATGAACACTGAAATTCACTCAAAAATGGTGCGAGAGATGTCTTCCAGTGCTAAAAAGCTGGTGAACTCTGAAATGTTCTCTGATATTGTGTTCCGCATTGAAGGCAGGATTGTTATGGCTCACAAGGCATTTCTGGTTGCACAGTGTGAGATGATGGCAGCAATGTTTATGACTGGACACTTCAAAGAAAGTGGGGTACAAGTGGTAAGAAATTCTAAATTCTTTTGTTGAATTACCATTTAATTTTCAATGACTTGTAGTAATGAGGGTGGGTAAACTTGTATTCAAAGACAGTGGCCTGGGTTTGATTCACAAATTATGCATATTATGTGAGTTAAGCTGTTTGTTGTTTTTTGCTCCTGACCCAAAGGCTCTCCTTCAAGTTCTCAAGTTTTCTTTCCTCCACAAAATCCAACCTTTTAAAATTCTTATTCAACCTTGAAACTTAGAGTAGAAGAGACACACTTTCAATGAGGATGTGACAGCCAAAATAATTTTCATTTTGTTAGTTGTTGAATATTTTTATGGTACACTATATTTTAAGATACTTAATTCCCATGCATGTACATGAAACTTTTCCATGTAATATCAATGCTCTTTTGAATAAACTTGTGATTAGGACTGAAAAACTCACCAAGTAAGGGTTCTATTAGGGGGTTAATTTTGGCTCTACACTATGTTTTCTTGAAATGTAAACTCACATGAGGAAAATTGCCAGATCATTGTCATGAAAGGGTCAACATTATAACTTTGTCTAAAAAAAATGATCCAGAGGGATAATGAGATGGTCATCTTGATGATCTTTCCCTGTGATCAATTTCTGAGATGACTGAGTGGGTTTTAAGGGAACAAGTTTGGTGGCTAATGAAATATTCACAGCGAAAACAAAAGAAAAGTAAAGAAAAAAAAGAAAATAAAATCAACAATCAGCGCCAAACCACTCAGTAATTTGCAAATTGGCACCTATTTTTGTGCCTTACAAATTAACCCAGCTGCCTTGTTGATAGCCATTACTTGAATTGCTTATTGTTGTACAATTGTGCATCAAAAAAATATTAAAAGGAAGCTAAGTTTAAAGTATGGTTAACACTATTCCTAGATATCTTCAACTTTCTTAGATGAGTATACCAAACTTAAATGATATTTAGAAAATTAAAACAATGATTATTTTAACAGGCGTAGGATGTATTTAGTCAGCTCCACCCAATACTTAACTCTAACTCTGTGAATAATTTATTTCTTGCAAATTTTTTTCAGTTTTAAACCCTCATGGCATTGAAAACCAACCATAAAAGTTATGTGGCTGTTGAATGTGAATTCTGAATTAAACAATTTTTTGCAGTTAAACATTACCTAGTGGCATTTAGGCTAGTTGTATATTTACATAACATTCACACATCCGCTCAGCAGGTGTTTGTGAAAAATGTTTTAGTAAATGGTCACATTGAAAAGAAAGCAAAGTGGCCAAAATGTTAGTTCAGTTGGTGGGCTTGGAATATTCATTTTGTTTTGTCTTAACAAGTATATTGCCTTCCACTAGGAACAATAATTGTGATTAGTATTTACATTACAATTAGAGCTGAAGAGTGTCTGCCTTAGCCACATTCTCTGCATTCATATGCAAATGCATTAATAAATGTGTAAGATTCATGTTATTTTTGGGAGTTAAAAGGTCTTGTTGGACAGGTTTTGCTGTTAAGCCCTTTCTTTACAAGAGGCCTGATGTCAAAAGACTTAACCCTTTAACTCCTAAGAGTTATTAGCATCTAATTTCTCCTTACAATATCAGCCTGTAATCACTCAGTCGGGTCACAAGAATAAAGGAAATGATCACCAACCAAAGAAGCTCTTGATTAAACAAATTCTCCTTGTGAGCAATGTAGGAAACATGTAGAGAACAGTATGGAGAATATACATACTGATATTAGGGTGTAAAAGGTTAAGGCTTGGTTGATTTTCTCTCACCTATAACTAAAGTTAATAAGGCAACTATTGAATGCAAACAGTTAAAAAATAAGAGTACTTCTACTCATGACATCAACTTTTGTCTTAACTTTAAATTTTGATGCATCTGGCATGCACTTTGGTGTGGGTTAGTCAAGAAAATGAAGAGTTATGTGCACACCCTCTATGTAAACAATCACTACTTTTGGACTGAGTGTAAGGGCAAGGTGGAAAGATATTTGGCTGTCAGTCATGACATTCAGAGTTTGCTATGGTTAGTCTATATGTAATGACCCAAAGTGAAATTTTTTCTTGTTTAGCCCGACCTTACTTGCTCAAGAAGTATATAGCTCTTATCTGATTGGTGTGCTCTTTTCTAGTCTTGCTTGTCCATCACATTTGGCCCCCATCTAGGTCTTTTCTATAATTTTTGTTAATAAAAGGGTATGTGAGAAGCCTTACAGGTCACATGATAAATATGTAACTGTATGTTTCTTGAATTGCATTATTTGCGGCTCTACAGTTTTTCACTGTCATGGAAAGTTATGAAGGCTGGTCACTTCGAGGAGGTCAAAGGTTACATACTTTCTTTTCTAGGTGGAATTTAAGGACACAAACTTTGAAGCGTTTTTAAATGTCCTAGAATATCTCTACACTGGTCACTGCCTATCTCTATCAGTGGACGATATCATTAGTGTGTTGGCTCTGGCAAATTTCTTTTGTCTGCCCAGACTTGTGGCTCTTTGTGAGCAACACATTGTCAAAGAACTGCAGGTTGCCATAGCAACAAATGAAATGGCTGTCGCTGAGGACATTGTTGGTATGTATTAATATTTTTCTTGTTCAAAATCAAAGCAACTGAGTATCTTACTTAAAATATGGTTCAATCCATAGCTGGGAATGAAATTTGATATACATTTGAATGTATATGATGATATTTATGAGAAGAACTTGTGTAGCAAAATAAGAAAACACTTATAGTACTTTAGTTAATTACAGTCAAGTTAGTTCATGATGGTTTTATATCATCTATATTAAAACAAAGATTAGTAACTTTAAGAGAATGTCGCAGTCAGTAATGTGTAAGCTAAAAGATAGTGACAAATTTAGGTACAAGGGGGTAGCTGGAGGAAAGGATGATGGAAGTTAAATATGGAATCCTCTAGCAGACTCAACTCTTTCAGTTCCTTTTAACCCTTCTCACTCTAACATCAATGTGGTTATTCTCTATACTGTTCCCTATATTTTTCCTGTGGCAATGACAAGAGGAATTGATTTAACAAGCAAGATCTTCTTTAGGTGGCCATCTTTTCTTTTTTTCTCCTGAACTTAATGCTTGATTCAGGAGTAATACTATAAGAAGAAATTACATTTTGGTTACTATTGGAGTTTAAAGGGTTTCTGTGGTGAGGCAATTACCTTCCTCGACTGTGGAAAAAAAAAAGAAAGTTTGTAGTCGTCCAATGCAATGTTAAAATTTTGTGTTTTATTTACTTATTCCATTCAGCTATCCATGCAGTTGGATTTGCTTAATGGTGGTCTTACATTCAAGTCATTGACTATTCTCTCTAACACTACATGTAGCTATTTGCTTTCAAGTTGTTTCATGTTTAACCACAACAAAAGTGTATTATGACTAGTGACTCCACTCCAAAAAGTTAAATAATGTTTACTTTTACTTTATGTCAACTCAAGGTTATCTTCTTGAGGCTCAAATTCACAATGCTTCACAACTAGAAGCCTGGTGTATTTACTACATTGCCACACACTACAATGCAGTCTGCCGCCATTGCCCTAAGCATGTGAAGAACCTCGACTCATCGACACTCAAGAGCATAGAAAAGAAACGGTGGCCACCAGCCTGGTACATTCTAGAGGCTGATTGGTATGAAAAAGCAACAAAGGAGCTTGAAACTGAGAAGGCTGCAGAGAAGCTACGGAAATCGCACAAGCACATTAGGCATAAGAGGAAGTGTAGCTGCTTGTGAGATCACCCTCAAAACAAGGTGGCAGTGTTTCACTGTAGTGGCAAATAAACAGACTTTAAGTAGTGTATTTTGCATCTTGATATGACAGAGATATATATCTTAAAGCCTTAATATAATAAGTATTCATATAGAGCATTATTATTATTATTATAGTTGACATATAACTTTTGGATACAACATGTATGTATTTTTTTAATTACAGTATAATTACAATGGAATTATATTCAGTCTGCCTTACTTACGTGTCTATCAGAATATCACCCATATCAGTAGTGTCACTAGTGATGTGATTTTGTGACAGAAATGCTAATATAATTGTAGTTTAATTTCAGGGGCTAAAGTAGAAGAAAAAGTGAAAAAAATGTGTGGATGTCTCTGTATATGAAGTTTAAGCTGTACACATGAAAAATAACAGAGGGTAATGAAAATTATTGTTTATTGTTCAACAAAAATCACATAATTGCAGTCACACTGAAAATTTACTTGATTGTAAATTAAAGCAGTTGCAGGCTGGTCAAGTGGATACCAATCAATACAGTACAGTAGTAATATTAACTATCAGTGCACCAGGTGCTCCTATAGAGAAATTGATTATATTATCAACAGAGAAAAATTAGTGTATTGTGACCAGTGTTGCGAGTCATAACTGAATGACTAATATAACATGGACTATACCAAAGCATTAGAATAGCCTCCAGAGGTGTAGATATGTATCACAGTTTACCAGTACATGTATAGGAATTTTTTTTTCTTAGTTTGTACCTGTGTTTAGAAAGTTATATTTACTGGAAGTACTTTTGGAAAGTTACTATCCAGTCCAGATATAACATTCTTTAAATTACCCAAAATGTTTGTGTAGGCATGCACTATCAGTGCAGAACTAAAACCCAAGTGTGTTTTTTTTTGGTGTTCTTTGTACTTATCAGGCGTATACTATCAATTACTTAATGATATCTTCTTGTATCATCAAGCAATGTAGCCCTTACTTGCTTGAGCTAAACTACATTGAATACTTAAATACCAAAATGCATTCCTGCAAGCACTGTTATCTTTGAAAACAAGTATGTGCAGAAAATATCCTTAGAAAAAATTCCACCTTTTTTTCTTGTGAAAAGGCATTTTTATGTTTTAGTTTCAAGGAACTACTCTCAAGTAAGGTAGTATATTTACAAATTCAGGTTGTCTTTAGCTGTTGTTTTGGAGCTGCATAGCATAGTTCCTTATGTATGTGAATGTTGTTTTGTAAGTCTTACAAGTATATTCCAACTGTGCTAAACAGTGCTAAGAATCAAAGCAAATAAGCATCCTAAAGAAAGTAGATGAAATTTAATTTTTGTTTCTCTTTTGGATGTGCCAGATTTGTAGAAGTCACTTAGATAGAAGTAGCACTTTGGGTTTGTGGCTAATTTCAATCTTGATAAGTTAGGAATTGAGATGTTATGGCAAGTCTGAGAAAACTGTAGAAAGATGTTGATATATTTCTTGACTGTGACACCATTTGGTAGCATAGCAAAGTTTAAGTGCCAAGGTCACATTAGACTGGACAGCCATTTAGTATTTTGTTTATAGATGTCTTATATAGGACAAAGAGAGGTAATTTTTTCTTGGTGAGCATACAAAATTTAAATTTAGTTGGGTGTTACAAAAGAGATGATTTATAAATATACCAAAATAAATTTAATAAATATGGTTGATTACCTATTAGAGTCTGTTGATTAGTAAGTTTATTTTAATGTTTATAAAAATCTTGCAGGTGTTCAAGCCAGCAGCCAAAGAAATTTCTCTTAGTACAGCTAACCCAGTTTGTTGAAAGTTAACCTCCTTTACAGTTTCTTAAATATTTTTGCTTGGGCTGTACGCGTAATGGGACCCAATGTACCTCAGATAAGAGCGAAGAGAATCCTTTGTTATAACCCATTTTCCATTAATTTTTTTTTTTTTTGTTTTTTTTTTTTTGCACTTTGCGTCACGTGGTATAAAATCACAGGACGGTTCTCACACCTCAACCCTCGTCTGGGTCGATATTCGCCCCCGATTATTTCCGTCGAAAAGAAGCAAAGCCAGCGGAAAAAAAGCAAGCTCACGAGTAATGTCCAGAAGTAGTGACATTGAATTTCTGGTCGCAAACGCTGTTCCGAAAAGTACAAAATAGTCAATCAAAATCTGCCGTTGACGTCTGGGAAGTAGAAGAAAGTTACTACTAAACTTTTTTTGATTGACTATTTTGTAAAGGACTATGATCTTAAAAGATCATAGTCCTATACAAATTTAATTGAGTTCAGTTACAAAATAGAGAATTTATACACTGCGTTTACCTACTACAAATTAAACCAACAGTTCTCGGCAATCGCGCGCATTCGCCATTAGATCAACGCTGGCTTTTTTTACGAGTGGTTTGTGCGTGATATGGAAATTAACGTTAGGGTAATTAAGTAAATAAACCCCCTTCTGACTTGCTGATGTGTTGGATAATGTATTTGGCTGAAAGATCGTCCTTCAAATTTCACACTAACCATCAAAGTTTTGCTTCTTGCCAAATATTCATATTTAGGACAATCTCTCAGCTGAGAACATTATAGGTTGACAAGTAGTGGGGATGGGGGGGCGAAACCTCAATAAACCGTACTATTTCTTCATATCCCTCTCCCCCCCCCCCCCCCCCCATCTTCGTGAATTGGCCTCAGAGATACGCCCCTTCCTTAGTTCTTGCAATGCAGTCAGTCGATATAAGCTGAGTACAATCAATCATTTGGCCTTTGACAGAGATAAGCTTCATCGCGATTACATTTTTGTCTCTGATTTTTTAAGCAGATCATAACAATCAATAAAGAGGGCAACAATGACCGCATTAACTGAAGACGCGGTTACTGAAAACTGGAAACTAACGTACAAGAAGCCAATCTCGACACAAGCTTATTACAAATTCTGTAAATTTTTGAAAACAAGATAACTTTATTTATTGGATGGAAAGGTGACCACTTTAAGGCGACTTTTTATTCTGTATTAGCATCCGGTGTTAGTCTGTGGGCTTTAGTGCAAAGTGTCCCATGTAATTCGTAACAAAAAAACATTGATTTGAAGAATGCTTGTCTTTTTCTTGTTTATTGTGGTAGTTGGTTGCTAAGGTCACAAAAAGGTTGCTTCGATGTATGTATTGAGGGGATTGTCGGGAACTTTAGCGGTTACTATGGTGTCAACTGGGTGGGGCCTTAAGAAATTGGTCCTAGCAAATGTCAGTCGAATATGGCATTTTCATTTCTCCACCGCTGGTAGACCCAGTCCTCAAGACTCGAGCCTTCGTTGCGTCAGAGGTGGGGGTCACGCTGGGGCCTATCCTGTTTCTTTGTTCTTTGCTGGGCGACATTGACGTCATCATCATCTCGAACATCCTTGAGGTCCGAAAAAAAGTTGTAGTCAGTCTAGACAGGAGCTCATTGCTTAATGGGTTCCTGGTCTGGAGGTATTGATAGCTCAGATTATCCAAAGTGCTATTGTAAAGAAGTCACGATCCATCTGCGCTTAGAAGTTGGAGACTCTAAAGGACTCAAATAACGGATCGGCACGCCTGTCAATCCTGGTGCGGAAGAAAACACTTTTTCCCAATCTGTTTACATGGAACGTCAATCGCGGTCTCTGGCATGGCTTGTAAATGGGCGTTTCCTAATTAGGGGTCTGGAAACGCTTTTTTGTCATGCGCCCTTGAACTCGACAGAAGTAGAGTCTTTCACCAACTGGTGGTAGAGCCCACAGAGTTCTGATGGCTCTTCTCGGGGTGTGTGCGATACACTGCAATGTAATTCAATAAAATTCATACAATAACACGAAGTGGGTGTTAATTTTACAAAGTCGAATAGCTCAAAAGAAAATAATCCCGGGTTACACACAATAAAAAAATATATATAAAAACCAACATGTAAATTTGAACGAAAAACAAGAGTTTAAAGAAGCTCAATTAACAATTCCTGTGATACAGAGTGTGCCATTTTTAACTTTAAAAATAGCAACAGTCGAATATCTTTGTTGCGTTCGACGAAGGAAGAACGCTTCCTAATCTCCTGGGCTACCTGTCCTGTGCACGCAAGCGAAAGCTGACCCGTGTTTTTTCGTTCGATCGGCCGGCCGTTCATCTTTTCAGCGCCATTTTGAATGACGTCACAATTTCGTTGCGCAAAGGATGCTGCCTCGTGCATCGCAGTTTGTCGGACGTTCGAGGACGTGGTTGTTCGCCTTCTCAATGCAAAACTTCAGAAATTACTTTTCCAACCTACCAATACTCGAACGCACTTTTTTAATCTATGATTACTACTAGTAATAAAAATAGTGGGATCATTCGGTAGGTCTCACTTAACCGTCTGGCTTTATTGAAATCCAAGAAAAATGCAAATTAAATAATAACTTTTCTCAGCAATTGATCCCAGCTTTTGGAAAAAGAGCTCTTTATTCCCTTGACCGGCAGTAAGCGGGATCTGAAAAACAGTGACACTTAGAAAATAGTCAAAGGAAATGGTTTCCCTAAGTGATGATGTATGACGTAAGACGACGGACACGAAACAAGCCAATCAGCGACGAGAATTAGACCGCGTGGGGAGGAAAGAAGACAGGGCGCGCTCTTCAAAACTTTCTATTCCGACAACAACGGGTGAGAAGATGGCAGACACTTTTAATCTTCCGACAGAAGAAACTATAAAATTCTTCAATTCTTCATCTTCTTCTTCAATGCTCATGGGAAGTGAAACCCAACGTACACTTTGCGAATTGCAAAGAAGAATGAGCAAACTGGTAAGTTAATTTTTTTTTTTTTAAAGGTTTCACTTGTGTGAAAATGAAACATAAAATTTCCCACATGAACATGTTGCACGGAGTAACTTGAGGCTCTATCGCTACGGTAAATTCACTTTTACGCTGACGAAAGTTTAGTTAAGAGATTCTGTCACACATAAGTGAGCTCATATTTAATAAAATGCTATCAATTCGATTTTCGTTACAGAACTTACCTAAAAAATTCTTATTTCTTGGCTCTCTTGAGTTCGTCAAATGTAAATGTTGCGGCCGTGGAAGCTGACAAACACGCTGCAGAGGAAACAGAAAGAGGTGAGTTATACTCCCCTGTTACATTTTTCACATATCACAGTGGAAATTTCTGCACTAAAAACTGGATGCTCAAGCATTGGGAATAATTTATGACAATTTTTCTAAAAAGTGAAAGTCTCTCAAACACTTCCAGCCGTGATTGACGTTTGGCGCGTAAAAAGCGTACTTGTTTCCAAAACATTTCCTTTATTTTTTTTACTAGAAAATTGAATTGTTTCAGTGATAGTAAAACTTGCTGACTCAAACTACATAATTTGACGACAATATGGTCTTTTCCGTTCATTTTAAATTGAGAGTTATATTTTCTGCTTTAGCTTCAGCTTTTTAGTAAAAAAGCATAATTGGCGGCTAACAATTTGAAACATGCAATGGTCACTCTTATCATTAGGGACCTTTAGCAAACCACGACGGCGACGGCAACGAGGATGTGGCAAAACAAAAGATCTAATGAGCAGAATAATAGCTCAGCACGTACGTTTTAAAACTTTGTACATTTCTTAGTCGTCCTATGCAAAACAACAACGTGAAATTACCACAATTTGCGTCGTCTGCGAACCGAAACCACGACGGCAAATTATTTTCATTTCCATTTGGAAGTCAACGCTTCTTTTATACGTTATACAGAAGTTAAGGTGTGGCGCAGTTAGAGACGGTAAACAAATGCAGCCATTTTTTAAAATCTAATTAAAGGCAGAAATTCATTTTTTAATCGAAGTCTTCCTTGGCTTTACCGTCCTGACTGCTTAAGGTCCCTTATAACAACGTGAAATCATCAGAATTTGCGTGGTCCGAGGAAGGAAACCCTGACGGCAGATTATTTAAGTTTCCATTTGGAACTCAACGTCGCTCTCATACGTTATGTTGGGGTTAACTTGCGGCGCCGTAAGAGACAGTAAACACATTCAGTCGTTCGCGAAATTCCAACTAAAAATACGTATTTTTAAATCGACGTCTTCCTCAGTGTTGCCGTCTTTACTGCTAAAGGTCCCTATTTTAATTTTTAATATTGTTGCTTGTTACACTTTTTTTTCGGGCGTCTCGCCACAAAAAACCCCAATTCGGTCGATTTTTGCTGCCCCCAAGGTAAATGACTAGAAAATTGAACTGTTTCAATGACTGTAAAACTTGCGGAGTCAAACTAGATAATTTGACGGCAATGTGGTCTTTTGCGTTCATTTTATAGGGAAAGTTGTGTTTTTTGCTTAGCCTCAGGTTTTTAAACGACAAAGCACAATTGGCCGCTAACAATTTGAAACATGCAATGGTCACTCTCATCATTTTAAGCTTTTTATGCTGTTCCTGGTTAAATTTTTTTTTTCGGACGTCTTGCCACAAAAAACCCCTAATTCGGTCGATTTCTGCAGCTTGCAAAGTAAATGACTACAGTTTTAAGGTACTACTACAGACAGTTTTATCCACACAAAAAATACCACAATGAAAAAATGAAAATAACATTTTTTGTAATTAACCATCAAACTCTAAAGGTATTCAAATAGGAAACATGTTTTTCTTCTTTTCTTTCGCTGAATGTCGACACAGAATATTCCTGATTTTTGTCATTCCTTTCCTCTACCGTT